GGGGGAGGGGGAGGGGGTGGCAATCCGCTCTCTCCTGGCGGTGACTCGGTTGGGCTCTCGCCCGTCTCGTCACTCGTCGATGCTGACACATCAACGATAGGGATACAGGGAGGGAGGGAGGATGGTGTGAGTGTATGCGTGTGCGTGTGCGTGTGCGTGTGCGTGTGCGTGTGCGTGCGTATGTCTGGTGCGTCCCTCCCTCACCAGTCTGCTTGGTCATGTTCTTGCCGGCCCCTTGCTTCGAATCCTCATCTGACAATGCCCAGATGGATGCACATATGGATGGATGGATGGATGAGCAACCAACAGTGCGTCTTGCCCTTCGTCGCTTGCTCACCTTCATGTTGCACATGCGCACTACCAGAAGCGCCACTAACACCAGCAGCAGCGACCTGCGCGTCGCCCTCGCTCTCGCGTGGGCGCTGTGCGTCGGTGGCCCTCGGCAGGGACGACTCGACGCCGTCACTCACGGCAGGAGCACTCTCCGGAACTGACAGACAGACAGACAGACAGACAGAGGGACAATGAATGAGAATCCCAATGGTTGGAAGTATGTGTGTTTGTGTGTCGATAAGTGGCTACCCTCAGGCAATGCGGGGTCGGGGTTGCATTCATGGAAGGCCGTATCGTCACTCTCCTGCTGGTCGCTCTCCTGCAGTTGGCCGAGCGCCGCGTGGTCCGTCTCCTGTGGGTCATGCTCGGACCCCTCCAGCGACCTGTACTCGGCGGCGTGGCCCGGCCGCCCGCCCGGGGTGCCCGACTCGCCACCAGCAGAGGAAACGTTTGTAGGACCTGCACACACAGGCAGGAAACAGTGCGCCCATCCATTAATCCAGACACCGCAACACCTTGTTTGGGTGACTTACTGAGGAAGGTCTCATTGTTGTTGCTGCTGCTGGGCGGGCCTGGCTGTGACTGCGCCTGCGCCTGCGCCTGCGGAGGGTTCTGTGCAGCAGGCTGGCCGGTGGCGGCTGTGGCTGTGGCAGTGGTTGATGTTTCCATCGGTACTGGTGCCTGTTGGTTCTGGTCCTCCTCCCCTTGGTCAGGCGGGGCGGTGTGGTCTTGTGTGACTTGTTCTGGAAGGATCGGGTTGTTCCTCGGCCGCTTCGATTCCCTGTCGACCAACTCCACCCGCTGCACACACAACACAAACACAACACAGCACAGAGAGAGAGACCTGTGACATGGTGCGAGAGCGTCGTCACGAGAATGCTGATCTGAAGGCGTGGAGCGACACTGACTGCTCTGCGCGGTCTCATGGCGTGTGTGTGCTGCTGATCTGCCATGTGGCCTGCCGCGCCGTGCTGCTGGGCGCACAGGCGATGGTGAGAGCATCGCTGAGACGGGCTGGTCTGTGTGCGCTGTCCCTGTCTGCCTCGTGTGCGTGTGGCGCTGTGCGTCCGTCGTGTTGTGTTGTGTGGTGTGGTGCTGGCTTACATGCTTCATTCATCTACCCATCTCTCCGCCGGGAGGAGCAAGAGAGACGCCGCACAAGAGCAAACCGACGGACGTACGCCTCTACAAACACTCCATCACACCCTGCTATGCCATGCACACCGAGAGAGAACCTTTTCCTCCTCCAAACATTCCCAAGCTCGCAATGCAAGCTCGCAGGAAATCAGCAGTGGTGAAGCAGTGGTAAAAGATCTGCTGACCGGCGAGATGGACGAGAAAGGTGAGCTGGCGCCTCACCCAGATCTGCTGTTTTGCTGACGACATACGTGCCCTGCCCTGCCCTGCCGTGCCGTCCGTCGGCCGGCCGCCATCAGAGGGCTCACGAGACGAAACGCAGCGGCCTGATGGACGAGAGGGTCCTCCAGCAATAATGCATTCCTGTAAGCGGGCTGAAAGAAACAGCAGGCCAGACGGTGCTATGCGTCATCTTCTGTGTTTGCTGCATGGGGTGTGAATCGCATCTGCCCTGCCTGCACTCATGACATCTGATTCAGCAGTTGCGCTAGAGGACGCATTGCGAATTGACCAGGCGGAGTACGCCGGCCACCAGCTTTGCCGCGACCCGTCCATCAAGAACCAGCTGGCAGACTACTGCGGCAAGGTCGGGGCGTCCCCCCACTACTTCACCTCGTCGAGGGCGCTGCAGTGGTACCCCAACCTCGTGCGCATCTTAGAGGACGCCGCCAGCCAGGAGAATGCCACACTTGAGCTACAGCGGGTCACCGACCCAAAGCACCCGAAGCGTGCAGGTCTTACGGCAGACGATTCGGCCTTCGTGTGCGTCTACCGGGGCGAGCCGAAGGGTGCCTCAGACAAAGTCAGAGAGGGAGGCGGGAGGGGGGGGGGGAGGGCACTCCATAGATGGAATGATGATCTGTGTCTTTTGTGTGTGGCTGTGGCTGTTGGTTTGGTTTGTCGTGCACACAGAGCATCACGTTGCTGGGTGAGCTGACGGGTGAGGTGGTGCCGCAGACGCCCGAGGCATGGAACGACCCCCGGCACATCTGGCCGCTGCGATTCGTCGACGACGCACTCCCGCCCCCACCCCCTCCCCACGGCAACACACCTAGCTCCCACTCACAGCCGGAGCCGGAGCCAGAGCAGCGGCTCCAGCGGCCACCTGTGCCACAGGACGGCAGCCTGATGCTCAACTTCCGCGCGGCCAAGAACCGCGTCGCGTATTTCCAGCCAGCTGCGGTGCTGCAGAGCATGCAGTAGCGAAAATCTAACGTGCAGATTGGCACGGTCGGTCAGCACACGAACGAGTGAGTTGTGGTTGGTGGTCACCTATGTGTCCGCGTGTGTGTGTGTGTGTGTGTGGGTATGGGTGTAGGTGTATCGTGACGGCTGGCCGCACCTGTTGCTGCTCCGGAGGCCCGGCAAGGCGCTCAACCCGGGGGACGAGCTACTCATCGACCTGCCCCCCAACATGACAACCAAGTACAAGTGCTACATCGCCGAACGGCTCTACTCACTGGACATGCAGAACCTACCACCACCACCAGAGCCTGACTCAGCAGAACCAGCTGCGGCGGCGGCGGCAGCGGTCCCTCGAGGCAAAGGTGCCGGGAGTGCGTCGGCTGCGTCTGCGGGTGTGGACAGAGTGGCGGGTGGGTGCCGCTGCTGGGGGTGCATCTGGGCAAGTCGGTCATCGATCGCAAATTCAACGCGCGCAACGATGTGCGTAATAGCTACTACTTCCAGGTACGAAACAGGGGGAGGGAGGGAGGGAGGGAGGGGGGGAGGGAGGGAGAGAAACAGGCGACATATCATCCGATCTGCCCATGTGTTTGTGTGCGTGTGCAGGGTACTGTGTCAGGATACGACAGCACCAGCGGTCTGTTCAGCATTGAGTATGAGGATGGCGACGCCGAGGAGATCACGGGCATCGAGATGGCCATGCTCATCATCGACAACACACAGCGCAATAAGAGCAACAAACCCTCCGACCCGACACCACCACCTAGACGTACCCAATACACACGTCCGCCCGCCGCAAATGAGTGCACCAACCCATGTGTGTGTGTCCCCAGTGCTCCCCCAGTACTGCGAGGACCCCCTCAAGGCCAACATCATTGAGTACGGCGCCATCGGGCACGCCCCGCCAGCATCAGCAGCAGACGACAACGACGGACAGCGAGGGGGACCCCGAGGCCGAGACAACGAAGACGACGCGTCAATGCGAGACAGAGACAGAGACGAGGAGGACTCCAACTCTGACGCATCGCTCCCCCCACACCCATCACTCACGCACTGTGACGACATCAAGCTCGCCACCCGTGGCAAAAGGGGCCGCGGTGGGCGAGGTGGGAGTGGGCGTGCCGCCGCTGCTCGGGTGAGTGAGCCATGGATGACGCAACAACACAGAGAGGCTGTATGACTCCTGCTCTCCTTCTGTGTGGGATTGGATGCGTGTGCCGGATAAGGTTGCTGGCGTTCGGTTGGCTCAGCTCGAGGCCGAGATCGTGTATGAAGTCGGCGGCTTCCTCACCACCCTCGAGCGCAAGCCGCTCTCACTCGTGTGCCGGCAGCTGCATCAGAAGACCACCGACGCCACATACGGGGTTGTATCGTGACCTGACCATCTTGAAAAAGGAGTACGACTACTGGGACAAGATCGAACTCACAGACACACTCAAACCACGACTGGTGCGTGGGTGGGTGGGCGAATGGGCAGTGGTGACGACAGAATGGTGGATGGATGGATGGATGAATGGATTCGTGTGTGTGTGTGGGTGTGGGTGTTGTCTGTGTGTGTGTCAGAGCAAGCTCAACGCGGCGTTCATAGAGACCACAGGCTCCAAGTGGGTGCTGGAGGCTGCAGTGGAGGTCATCGAAGCGTCCAATGCCACGCTCACCCACATCCGTGTGGACGATCCGAAGCGTCAGTGCCACAAGAACCGAGACGGCAATACGAAGGGGGCGGAGCCGGTGGTGTTTGAGAAGACCAAGCAGCTACACATCACACATACAGACTACCTAGACCTAGTCATGTAAGGAAAAGAGGGAAGGGCAGCAAAAGCGCGACGAGCAGACACAACTCTCTGTGTGTTGTGTTGTGTTGTGTGTTAATATGTCGTGTCAGGGATTGGAAGTGGATGTTTCCGAGTCTGGAGGTGCTGAGTGTCGGCAAGGTGTGTGGCGAGCGTTGCCTTTTGGACGGGCGCATTTCCCACCTGCCGGCCGTCACCCACATCGTGTCGACCTCTCGGGCGATCACATCCATCAAGGCCGACGTCATCGATGCCACAGAAGGGGACGAGTGGCAGGCATTCACCCGGTAAGTAAGGAGGTATATATACCATTTAACGACAAGGCAACCAACCTCACTCTCACACACCACACGGACCTTTCTTTCCTTCTCTCTTGGTGTGTGGATCTGTGTGTGGATGTCAGTTCGCTGAGTGGTTGCCCCAACATCAGAAGCATCAGCGGCATCCACCTCGAAGAGGAGTGAGCAAGGCGGGGAGGCAGACGCATGGGGTGCATGCGACACCCATCCACGTCCCTGAGTGTGTGTGTGTGTCAGTCCCAATGGGTGCATCTACGATTCGCTGGGCCGCCTCACCACGGCACTCGACACCAACTGGCGCGCCCAACACATGATAGGTGGGCGCGCAGCTTGACACCACACAGGGAGGCACTTTTTGCTGCATATGTGTCATCTGTGCTGTGCAGATGTGGAGAAGACCATCACCATTCACCATCGCTTCTCGTTTGGTGCCGACTTCAGCCGCCAGCTGACCGACCGCGCGGCCCCAACCACTTCAGCCTGCAGGACCTGCTCACCTGGGCCGAGAAGACCAAATGCAAAATCGTGTTGATGCCACGGTGAGTGAGACCTGCAGGGGGAATCGAAGCGCAGAGCCGACACATTGCGTTTTGTGTCCGTGTGTGTGTGTGTGTGTCGTGCAGTGAGGACGACCCCCGATGCAAGCGTTCCAAGATTCTCACAGATACCCCGCCGCAGTTTGACGACATCGTCATCGACTGCAGCAAGGAGGGAGGCGATACACTTCCGGCCCCGCACGGACCTGTCGGCCAACTCATCACCGACCTGACGACAGAATGCGACGCGGTGAGTTAGTGCGGGAGAGGGACACCAGCATAAGTGGAATGGTTCATGTCTGCCCTTCTCTCTCTTGCCCCCGTCGTAGGTCAAGTTTGTGTACGGCGGTGCTCCCCTGCACGACACATGGGGTCCGGTGCTGACGTTTCCCACGGCCACCAAGCTCTCCATCCATCCACCCCGCGACAGACGCCGAGGTGACCCCCTCCCCCCCGTCCGCCAGCTCATCACCAGCATCCCCGAGTGGCTGGTGGCCAAGGACGACAACGGCAACAACACACACCTCCCCAACATACAGCACCTCTGCATCAGCATATCGAGCTACACGCACGTGTGGCGCGACAGTGCGGACAACCACAGCATGCCGACCGGTGCTGAGGCCGCCAGGCTGCAGGAGCTGCTGGGCAGCCTGACGGGTGTGCGTCAGGTGTTTTGTGATGCAGAGAGCCTTCGCACCGTGTCGCAGTGTGTGTCGTATCTGCATGCCCGTGAGCTGGATGAGCTGCATATTAGGCTGGGCGAGCAAGAGCTGCCCGATGCATCGCACGTGCCCGTGCCTGGCCTGGCCTTCCCTGCCGTCAAGTCGCTGCACGTGTCGAATGAGGGGCAGATTCTTAGCAAGGGGTGTGCGCGGTCTGTCTTATCTCTGCTCATGTCCATCAAGCCAGCCAAAGCCAGCATCAGCCTGCGCATAAGCACAGAGTCGCTCGCAGGCAAGTGCCGGCTCGTCGAGTCGTTAAAGGAGTATATCGAGCCGTGCCCTCGCGACGCCCTCAGGGCTTTGCTGCGGGAGGCAGAGAGAGAGGTGGGGTCCGCCTATGATGTGGTTGAGTCGTGGAGGTGTGTGGAGGGGAATGGTTATAATGAAAGCTACGTCAACTGGATGAATATGGAGCTAGTGTTGAGCTCCGAGGAGAGCTCCGAGGAGGGCTTAGGATGTGGATCTTCTGATTCTTCCGAGGAGGAGAGTGAGGGATTGGACACAGATGGGGGGGAGGTGACGGATTGAGGAGGGGACGGCAGATAGATAGATTAGATAGTTGCCAGCCAGCCAGCCCCAGCCAGTGTGAATAGCTTAGCTAGCTAGTGTACAGACAGACAGACAGGCGCCCTGTCCAGAGAGTATCCCGGCCGGCCGGCCGGCCGGATGTGACGCTCGGCTGCCGCCTTTTAGACGAACGAACGAGCGGTGCTGTGCGGTCGGTGGCTCGCCATCGACACAAACACTGAGCGACAGACAGACCACTGACTGGCTAGAGGTGTGCCAGAGATAGATACGCACATCCATGTCATTCTTATGAATGCATGAACGTCTTCTCCATTCCTATACCCTTCCTCTACAAACACTCCATCACACCCTGCTATGCCATGCACACCGAGAGAGAACCTTTTTCTCCTCCATACATTCCCAGGCTCGCAATGCAAGCTCGCAGGAAATCAGCAGTGGTGAAGCAGTGGTAAAAGATCTGCTGACCGGCGAGATGGACGAGAAAGGTGAGCTGGCGCCTCACCCAGATCTGCTGTTTTGCTGACGACATACGTGCCCTGCCGTCCCGTGTGGTGTTGGCGCATGTGCGGTGTGCTCTGTGTGTGTGTTAGGTACGGCCGAGCGTCCCATCGAGGACTATGACCTGGACGAGGAGGGCGAGGGCGAGGGAGACGAAGATCAGCAGGACGAAGGGGGAGACGTCCAGGACGACGACGACGGTACGCACCCACTGACGCACACATACGCACCCAATCTGACGGTTGCCGGGGAGGATGGTATACATGGTTGGTGGCTGTGTGTGTGTCACACTGACTGACCGGCACCCACAGATGAGTTGGAGCCCGGTGCCACAGCCGAGACGCTGACGGTTCAGGGTGAGGAGGCCAAGAGAGCCAAAGAGTACGTGCGGGCCATTCACCGATTCTGCAAGGCACTCGAACTCAAGTAGGGACACACACATTGGGCACGACGGACGTGATGTATGTGTGTATGAGGCCACTGATGGATGGATGAGTGCCTGCCTGCCTGCCTCCATGGCTCGGTGGTTTGTGGTGTGCAGGTTGGCCGAGTACGACAATGAGGACGGGCACCCCGACCTCGCCGCATTCTACCTCAACTACGGGTCAGCGGAACGATACTCTTTTCTCCATCCATCCATCCATCTGTCCTTCATGTCGGTCTGTCTGTCCGTCCACTTCTGCCGTTGTGTATGTTTGTATGGATATCACTCAGTGATGCGTTGCTGACCAACGAGGAAAACTCGGAGGACTTCCTCAAACAACTATCACAGCTGGACGACCAGCAGGGCGCATCAACAGCAGCAGCAGCAGCAGCACCGGCCACCAGTGCCCCATCGGCCAGCAAGAAGGACCAGCCGTCGAGCAGCTCAGCCGCTGCGGCATCTGCATCAGCATCGGCGGCAGAGAGCTCCAGCGCAGCAGCCGCCGCTGGTGGTGGTGGAGGTGGTGGTGCCGATGAGGAGGAGTTCCCGATTGTCGAGACCGACCACGAGGACCTGCAGGTGGGTGGGATGGGTAAGGCGCCATTGGGGATGGAGGGAGGGGGACTCACGGCGTGTGGTTGGTTGTTTGGTGGGTGCAGCTGGCGTGGGAGATCCTGGAGGTGGCGCGAAGGGCCTATGAGAAGCGAATCAATGCGTAAGGGGGGCAAGCAAGCAACCAGGGAGGGAGGGAGGGAGGGAGGGAACAGACACAGACAGGCAGGCAGACAGACGGTGTCCGCCCATCCATCCCCTGTCTGTCTGTTGGTGTCTGTTGGTGTCTGTTGGTGTCTGCCCTGCGATGGAACACCATGTGTTCATGTATCCATCAGTCAGGAGCGTGCGGGCAATGTGGCCATCGAGGACGTCAGAGACCTCACGTTCGTCATCGTACGGTGCGCTCCCACCACGGACATCACAACACGCGCCCATACGCATTTGTGTGTGTGTGTGCAGTCTGGGTGACATTCTGATGCTCAAGGGGGAATTCTCGCAAGCGGCCGAGGTGGGCAGATCGAGGCACTTGGCTTGCTGCCCCTGCACGAACGCATTCTGTTGTTTTGTGTGTCGCCCCCCCTTCAGGAGTTTGCCCGCGCGATTGAGCTGCGGAAGCAGCACAACCTGCCGCCCAACGACCTGCACGCCCCGTCAGCACACCACACAAACCCACACACACCTGCACAGCACACAAGTGCCTCCATCCTTCCCCCTGTCTATCCGGTGTGTGTGTTTGGTGTGTGTCTTGGTATCCCCTCATCCATTGGACCGACCACAGGCTGATTGCCCTGGCGCAGGCCCACACGTATGCCGATGAGAACCAAAAGGCACTCGAAGCATACCAGGTAGGTCGAGAAACGAGCGAGGGAGGGAGGGACCGATCTCAACAGACAAGTGATCTCCGCTTTGTTGTGTGTGTGTGTGTGTGTGTGATGTCTTATGTGTAGTTGGCGTACGAGGGGATGGAGAAGGCCATACAGGGCGTCGGGGGCACATCCCTCTCACGTAAGAACGTCGCTCGCTCTCGCTGAGGATGGATGGATGGATGGATGGCGCACGTCGTCCGCACACACTTGCTGCCCGCTTTGTGACGTATGTTATGTTGTGTGTGCGATGCAGCCGAGCGCAAAGAGGACTACCAGGTCACAATGGAGGAGGTCCAGGAGAATGTACGTGAGAGAGAGAGAGACATAGAGAACAAACGGACGCACACCCATTCATCCAGTCGTTCATTCACATGTTGCTGCGTTGCGTTGCCTTGCGCTGGACTGCAGATGGCCGCTCTCCGCAGAAAGATCGAGGTGGGTAGGGCAGGGTAGGTCAGCACATAACATGCATGGTCCCACCACCACCTCGCCTCACCATCACGTGCCATCCGTGCCACAATTGGGTGTCTGTCCTCTGATGCGTTCACGTGTGCATCGCATCGCATCTCATCGCCTCAGGGTGGTGAGGCGAACCTCGACAAGGGCACCATCCGCGACATCCGGAGCGAGGCGCGACAGATGGGCTCCATGCAGTCGTCAGCCTCGTCCGCATTCGTAAGCAAAGCACCCTACACGGACCCGTCCAAAATACGGACGGACGTGTGGATGGATAAATGGATGTGGTGTGGTTTGGTGTGGTGTGGTGTGGTTTAGGGTCAGCCCCAGCTGTCTGGCGGTCAGGTGCGCGACATCGGCGTTGTCTCTGCCAAAAGGTATGCGGCTACACACAGACACAGCCTCGCTCCCCTTGATCCCTCACGCATTGACCGATGTGCTGTGTGTGCACACGTGTGTGTAGGACCGGTGACGGCGGTGCGGACGAGCAGGGCGACAGCAAGAAGCGCCGCATCGACTTGTCTGCGGCAGCAGCCAAGACACAGCCGGCAGACCAAGACGGCACCGACGACACTGCGGCAAATGGCGAGGACACCAAGTAGATCAAGCCATGGAAGTGACTAGATTAGCTTACTCCTGTCATGGGGGTGGTGGGCTGTGTGGGGGTGGTGGTGCGTGGGGACGGACGGACAGACGGCAGCATGCATCCATTCCTTTCACAGACTCTGACCCGTTTCGCCTGCAGTCGTGTGTGTAATGACCACCCATTTTCTGGGCGGATGCGCGAACCTGACGTGTCGCCGACTTCCTGTGTTACGTGGGCAGCAGTGGCTGGCTGGTCGGCCATGGCTGCCTACACGTATGGGAAGGCACAGAGACGCCAGGCATACGCGCGGGGGGTAAAGAAAGACAGACCGAAGAACGGATGGGTGGACAGCACAAGTTTATTTCAGTTGGTCATGATGAATGAAGACTGGCCACACAGACAGACAGACAGACAGACAGACAGGTGGGTGGGTACACATGGACAGAGGTAGGTAGTGCTTTCTGGTGCATCCATCCATCGGTAGGTAGCTCATTAGGTCACACAGAGAGAGACAGCAGGTGGTCCATGTCCGTGTCCATGACTCACTCACTGATGTGTGTGATGCGTACACGAGATCGACGACACAAATTAATACTCTTAAAGGTCAATGTCAGTCGCACACCGATCGACCGACAAGGCACCCACGCACCCACACCCCTCTATGCCAATCGTTCACTCCCCGGTGCCCTTGACCACCTGCACATCGGTGATCTCGAGGTCGAGGGTATAGTTCCGCGAGCCCCCCTCACGCACAAACCGCAGCGCACTCGACACACGCACACCAGCAGCGCCACACGAAGCGCCGCCCTCGCCTGCCCTCTCGTCCGCAACCATCTCACACACCGACATTGGCTCAGGCAAGGGAATCACCACCTGACACACAGACAGCCAGACAGCCAAACAGCCAGACAGACAGCAAGAGAGGATGCAATGACTGACTGCCAGTGCATGCCATGCATCACTCCTGCTTGCTATCCCCCGCCCCCCACCCCCTCACCCAACGTGCCTGTTTCCAGTGAGTCTGCGGCTGCCACGGGGCAGTGGACAACACAACGGGCTGCTCTTTGTCAGACACTGACGGGAAGCCCACGTCAAACCACAGCAGGAAGCCGTGCACCTTCCTGGCCTCATTATTGCCGCCAGGACACACAGTCAACCTGCTCTCGACCTGGAAGGCCTCCAGCTCACTTGCAGAGCACTTGCTCATGTCCAGCTGCAGCACCGTCGCCGCACTCTCGCGCCACACACACCGCTCGTCCACAGACATGATCAACGGCTCACGGAAGCGGCGCTCCTTCAGATGGGGCACCAAAGGCGTCATATCAAAGCCAAAGAAATCTCTCGTCCACTCAAACTCTTCTCGCCAGTAGTCGGAGAGGTCACACATGGCGATGTGTAGGCGGGCCGACGAGGGAAGCATCAGGCCGCCCGGTCTGAGCCATCGATCTCGGGCATAGATGACGGAGTCGAGCATCGACTCATGCAGCAGATAGAACCCCATCCACTCTGAAAGTACGATCCATCACCCCAACAACGACCAACACCACGGGATGGATGGATCATGGATGGCCTGCCTGCACTCATGTGATCTTGCCTCCCAAGCCGTCCGTGTGTTTGTGTCTGTGGCTCAGTGCACTGCCTCACCGGACACAATGACATCCACTGCATCGACGGGCAAAGTGACATCCTCCACTGCGGTATGGATCACCTCCACCACGTCGCCCAGACCGTTGGCAGCCACGATCTCCTTGGCTATGTGGGCCATGTTGCTTGCCTCCACGGCATACACACGCCTGGCTCCGGCACGGGCGGCAAACAGAGAGAGAATGCCGCTGCCGGCCCCCACGTCGAGCACCGTTTTGCCCTCAAGGAGGCCGGCGCACTGCTGAATGGCATCACAGTACGCGCGGGTCCGCGGCAGGTCCTTCAGCATGAGTGCGTGCACGTCGATGTCCTCATAGGACGTCAGGTACTCGTCCATCGATTCATCCATCTGATTGATCAAGTCGGCCCCTTATTCTTTTCTTCTCTCTCGCATCTTGCGAGCTGATCTCAGGCGAGATCCACGATCCCTCACGAGGGCTTTTCCCATTGCAGATGGGTGTGTCGGTGGCTGACGTGCTCATCCACACCCTTACCGTGCGTAGGATATGCTAATTCAATGCATTGGTTGGCCTGTCCGTGGCACACACTGGATGTACGGAGAGAAGAGAGAACCGGGCGTCTGTCTGTATGTTCGCCATGCTCTCCTTGTATACCACTAGGCGCGACTTGTACGCCAAAGCTGGCCCTGCGACCGGGAGGTCGGCATGTTCAGCCCTGCAGTCAGAAGGCCAGCCTTACAGTTAGAAGGCTGGCCTTGTAACTGTAGGGCTGGCCCTGGAGAGGCCACACACATATTGAACGCACACATTGGACCTCTCTTGACTGACCGCCGGCTATGGGGGAACGCCATATATCCAATTACTCAGAAAAAAGTGGTCACATTCAACTGCTCAGACAACGCAAAATAGCCAACGCCAACGACCCATTCCTGATCACAATATGGCCCACACACATCGGCCTCATCCCCACCACGTTCAATCATACTCCTCGTCCTCGTCGTCATCGCTGTCATCATCTTCGCCTACAGCAGCCCCTCGCCGCTCCGCCCAAGCCAGATCATGCTCGAACTTCTGGTAGGCTTCATAATCATTCATTGGTAAGCGCAGTGCAGCTCGCCGTTGTTGCCTCTCTCTATCCACCCAGTCCTCATAGGCCGCTGAGGGTGTCGTGGTTCGAGCCTTAGTAAGACGGGCGCGCTAGGTGCGAGGTGTGGAAAGAGAGAGGCGGCAGTGGATTCGCTTTCAGTGGCTGCAATCGACGTGGGTGGCCTGCCTTGTCCACGATCAGCAGCTGAGGCCGCAGCTGGTGTCGCTTCAGGTGTTGCTCTTCTGCTCTGTCCACAGCGTCTTTGCTGTGTCGCCCGTCTTGCGGCTCCTGGGGATTCCGCTGGTGCTGCCGCTGCGGTAGCTGCGGCTGCAGCTGCTGAAGAGGCTCGGCCACCTACTGCTGTTGAGTTGGGTGCCTGCAAAGGATGCAGCCAGTCGTCTTCTTCCCCAATCACGCACACATTGTGGGCGTAAGTTTGCATCTCACGGCTGCAGAGCACGGCAACGGTGACGCATGAGTGCATTCGTCGGTACCTGTGTGTTGCTCTTGCGCTTACTGGAGCGACTTGCGAAACGCCGCCACGTACTTCAGTTTGCTCTTTCGAGACTCCTGACTGTCAGATGATTCAAGAGCCTGCAGCCTCACAAGGACAACATCCATGGATTTGTCAATATTAAGCGTGCGGTGGCTGCCTTTACTTCAACGAAATCCCCATCTCCTGCAAGCATGTCGCACACGTCACACACACATTAGATGTCGCTCCTCTACTCTACTCTGCTGACCGCTAAAGAGAATGACAGCATCAACCTGATCACTGGCAGCTGCATCGGTCATTGCGATGCCGATCGCACAGTCGGCACCCCGCTGCTGCAGGAATGGCAGCCCATTCTTGCGCATCTGAGGGCGATACTCGTCGCACATGTGGCAGAACGCCCTCAGGGGCTTCATCTTCACAGTCTTGACTCTGAAGCAGTATTTCTTGAGCAGCCCCCCTTGGGCCATGTCGCCGACGCAGCTGCCTTCAGGTCTTGCCAGCAGCTCATGAAGGCGCTCCTTCTCCTCCTTCTCTCTCAGGGCTCGTGCCTCGGGGGACTCTTGACGTGCTGGCTCGGCAACGTCCTCTTCTACTCCCCCCTCTTGACCCTCCCCATGTCCTTGCTCGCTGCCCTCTTCCCCCGCCTGCTGATTCTCTGGTCGGTCTGCGGCGACCGCTTGATCCGCTAGCTCCTCCGTTGGTGGCCCTTGACTTGCTGTCTGGAGCGGTGCTTCGATCGCAGGCTGGCTCTGCTGACGGTCGCCGTTGCCACTCTCAGCATCCAGAGCACGCTTCTTCATGAACGCCTCGTAAAGCACGGCCGGTTCCGTGTCGATGAAGACCGAGTGGTCGGCGAGCACTTCGATCCTCTTCCCCGTGTGAGCCTCAAAGTGGTCACCAACACGATCGATAAGACGCTCGAAGGTGACGTAGGGCATGACTGAGTGGCAGCCGAACTGACTCATGTAGCTTTGGATGACGTTTGATCCATCGACAATGAGAGCGCACTGGAGCTTGGAAGTCCGCCGCACGCGGATGCGAATGGTTCGCGGCTCGTCATGGTTGAACAGCAGCTCCATCTCCTCTTCGGTGAACAATTCCTCATCGCCATCCTACCGGAAGGGCAAACACAGACAAGAGAAGGAATGGTCGATCTACTTTGGGTGCTTGTGAAGGCCAACGCACCTCTCGAAAAGGCACCGGATTATACACATCCGTTGGCATTCCACTGTATGACAGTATCTGCAGGTCCCCCTCCCACTCAACGGCGTGCTTGAAGTCCTCCTCGCGCTCGAACTTGACGAAGGCATGACACGCCTTGCCGTCAGCTAAACGGAAGAACACTACACGCCAACTTGCACCCACCGTAGCCAGCTCTCACCTGTTGTCACAATCTTGCACTCGGCGACGTTGCCGAAGTTTCTCTGAGAGAAGTGGAGAGCGGTGAGTGTGACTGAACGGCTGTCGATCATGGCTCTATGGATCTGTGTGGAAAGCATACCCTAAAGTGCTCGATCACGTGTTCTCTCATCGCGTCCCGGTCCATCTTGAGCGACAGGGCGGAGTTGGAATAAGCTTCTCCGGTCTCGACGAACTGGACAGCCACAGTGCTTTTGATCTCGATAAGCTGCTCGCGCGTCTTCCACTCAAGATACCGCTCAAGATACTCCTCGTGGCGGAAGTCCCTGATCAACGCTGACCTGATTTGCTCCGACAGATTGATGGTTACTGAAAGGGATACGACAAGGGAGGGACAACCAGCACGACACGAGAAACGGAGTGCATTGCAGAGCCTCTCCCTCACCGTATTCGGCATCGCTGTCGCTATCAGCTCCTTGATCGTACGACTCAGAAGGAAGAGCTGCGTGACAATTCAGGGACAGAGAGTCCATTGAAGACGGCTGGAGGGGTTCTGACGGGTGATGCAGCATCGATTTGTTACCTGCTGCTGCTGCTGCGGCTGCGGCTGGTTCGCTTGCTGAGTTGTTGCTTTGCCAGATGCATCATTGACATCCACACGAGCGTCTGCAGGTACAGTACAAGGCCACTCATTGCCAAGACAAACGCAGCGCACACAAGTAACGAATGGCGTACATGCTTCTTCACTCATCGACGCTTATCACCGCTTCCACGACCAACGACAGATCCCAGGCAGAAACCCGGCAAGCGTTTCGGAATCAACGACCGTCAACGACCGTGCAGTGGACTCAGAGGTCGGCTGGCGAGACTGGAGTCGCCACTTTTGCGAGGTCAGACGAGATCCACGATCCCTCACGAGGGCTTTTCCCATTGCAGATGGGTGTGTCGGTGGCTGACGTGCTCATCCACAACCTTACCGTGCGTAGGATATGCTAATTCAATGCATTGGTTGGCGTGTCCGTGGCACACACTGGATGTACGGAGAGAAGAGAGAACCGGGAGTCTGTCTGTCCGCAAAAGAGCGTCATGGCGGTACGTGTCAATAAGCAAGCTACCTGCCGTCATCTTCACACTCAAATCACCCTCGTTGGTGCACTGAACGCCGAGAAACACACGCATGGCATGGGCGGGCAAATGTGTGCATCTCTGTGTGTGGCTAAGTACAGAATCGACATCCATCCACGAGCAACCACAGGCACCCAGGGCCTCCGTTGCCTTGTGAACAACACCGCAAATCGACAGACAAGGTCTCTCCCTGTCTCCCCTTGTCTTGGCGCAATCCGGCCATACATTACCTCACTGCCTGTCTGTCTGTATCCATGACACCAACCCACCATCACACAGAGGTCACAAAGAACGTCAGTCACTACATACCACCGTGCGTGCCTGTGGTCCATCTCCTCCCCGTCATGTTGGTGCCCAAATCACCCCGGTACGTCCACTCGGCGCTGAGATAACTGTGTGGACGGGTCGACGGTAGACGTTCGTTTGGTAGTCTCTCAATACCCCGTACTCATCGCTAAAGGGGACCACAGGCCACACCCCTCGCCCAGCTCTGCATTCATAAGACACACACAGAGAGTCACAAATCCTCCGGTACACGTATGGTTTTCTGACGATATATGTGTGGTGTCGGTGTTCGGGTGTGTCTGCGTGGAACGTACGGACTGAGGGGGAAGGAGAGAAGTTTGAGATATCAGATCAGGGGGGATCGAGCAGAACCGCATTGAAAACATAAATCTATCCATCCATCCTATGTGTCTGTCTGAACGTCCGCAAGTCGTTCACTCAATCATGTACAGGCACCAAAACAGACGCGCATCCGGCCATTGCAGAAAGGCCAACGACTGAGTGAGTGAGAGAATGAGTGAGCGAACGGGTCAGCCCCATCCACTTTCGTTCATGCAGGCACACCTCACATCACATCCCTTTCCCTCCCTGTGCTGTGCTGTCCTACATCCATCCATCCATCCGTCGTCACTATGATTGCGGGAAGAGGGTCTCGCGGATCTGAGGCTGCAAACACCACCACACCACACCACAGCGCACCAGGGGAAGTGAGCGGCATGCAGAAGTGTGTCGAGTACCTTGCACTCTTCCACCACGAGCGACAGGCGCGTGTCCTGAATAAACGAATGAATGAATGAACGAATGAATGGATGGACGGATGGATCTCAGCAAGTGAAAGCATTCCATTGGCTGACTGACCAGAGTGTTGTCGCATGTGATCTTGCTGTCGTGCGCCAACAGAATTACACCGCCAGAGCTGCACGCAGACAATCAACACACACACACAACACAGCAGCATCATTAGTGTGTCTGTCCACAGCACAATGCCCACCCACCCACCCACCCACCATGTTTTGCCCTCATAGCCGGGCCGAGGGGGCGGCGGCAAAAACTGACACACCAGACGCATACATACATGGGCACAGAGAGACAGAGAGTCATGTGTCAACGTGATGTGACGCGATGGATGGATGCGTCTGCACCAAGTGTGGATGAATGTCTGTCTGTCTGTCTGTCTGTGTTGGTGCTATGCCTATGCGGTCCTATGTGTTTGTATGCCTGTGTGTGTGTGTGTGTGTGGTGTGTGTGGTACAGTTTGTTTGTCGACTTCGATGTGGACGGACTTGTCGGCGCCCGTCTCATCTTTGATGATCTGGGCATACTTGGTACACGCCTGTCACACATACACACACAACACACACAACGCACAACATCTCTCTCTCTCTGTCTCTCTCTCCCCCGCCTGTCTGTCTGTCAGTCATGACCGATTTGATGAGTCCGGTGTCGAACAGTCCTTTGTCGCACTCGCGGCACCGCACCACCACATGATCCTCCAGCAGCCGCAACAAACCCTACACACAACACACAACACACAACAACACAGCCCATCCCATCCCATCCCATAAGGCAACCCACCCACCGACCTGCACGGTGAGGTCGACGAGGAGGTTGCGGTACGCCTGTGTTTTGGAGCTGTCGGCAGACAGATTCGCCAGCTCCTTCAAAGCCAAATCCCTCACCTTGTCCACCATCTGACACACAAACAGGACGCGCGCCATCCCATGCCATGCCATATGATACACGTCAGATCGCCACAGACAAGTGGAGGCAACGATGTGTTGCGTACCAGCGACCGTTCCTCCATCTTCTTGACCCTCGCCTTGTTGACCGCCGTCGAGCGAGCACTGCAACACACACACACACACACAGAGAGAGAGAGAGAGGTGACGACAGGTGTCCTCTCCTCTCCTCGTCTCAGGGCAGTGTCGGTGGTGGCGGCTCACATGGCGCGTTGGACCTCGAGCTGTTTGGACTTTCGCTGGTACTCGTCGCGTATCTTTTCCTTTTGCTGCTGCATCATCCGGAGTTTTTCGATGTTGAAGTCCTCGAGGGCTTTGGCCTCGATCTCGTCGGCCTTGTCGCGGGCCTCCTTCAAAATGAAATTCACCATCTGCTGGATCTGACGCTGAGCCTCGGTCTCACCCTGGGAATGAGCAACACACAGGCGAGAACACACCGCAGACAGACACCAATAGTGTCAGCAGCGAGGTGGGACCTGCTATGTGGTTCGACTCACCATCTTGTGCGACGCAGACTCGTCAACTATGGCCAACCGGCGAAGGAATCAGCAGCCGCAATCACTTTGCGAGCTCGTGGCCGAGATGCCTGCATCGTTCGGCGAAAAGGCTTGAGTGGTGTGTCCCCTAGTGTAGTTTTGATCTATATGCTGTCAGTCGGTGTCATTTTGTGAAGACTCACAGAGCAGGCAGCTGCTGCGTTGGTTGAACACTGAGAGTAAGCTCAATGGTGCACCGGTGTGAATGGCCCCCGTTTGTGTGATTGTGTGTCTTTTGATTGTCTCATTCAGTGATGGCAGGCTGCCGTGTGGCTGTTTCTGAGCCAACAGTCGAGAGAGATGAAGAAGCAGCTCTTGTGACTCACGGCCCTGCCCAGAGGTAGTAGTTCACAGCCGGAAGGCACACTCAGTTGCTCCAACAGCACATACATATTCCGACAGCACACACAGTCATCTGTCTGTCTTTGTCTCATTCTGTCGGTCTGTCTGGCTTGTGTGCAGCGCGAGAGTCGTGGTCTCCACAGCCATTCACTCAGCCGAGCCGCCAGAGGTGCGCGAGCAACAACAGACAAGGAAAAGAAGGCAGATGGTCCATCCCTCGTGGATGCATACCTGTGTGTGTGTGTGTGTGTGGTGTGCCTTAATGTAGCTGCCCACCTCAGCCGGGCCCACCACGCCCTTGTCCAACAAAGACAAAACCAAGGCAGCTCTCCGCGCGGCCATCGAAGTGGCCAACACCTCACACCCGTCCTCGCCCAAGGTAGCCAGAAGGGCCAGGCCGCCTCCCCCGCCACTCACCGAGCCCCCACACGCCGTGCGGTCGCAGCAAGAGGCCGAGCGATCGTGCCACCGACGATTTGTGCGTTTTCTAAGCCGCCACCCGTCGCTGTGGCTGGTGCCGGTCTTCCTGGTCAGCCTGGCAGTCAACCTGTGGCTGTCGTGCGTGTTGATGGGGTGGCACTCGTCCGAGGACAATCTGGGCGGGTGGGAGGTGCGTCTTTGGGGGCTGGGGATGTTCCTGGTGGTCATACTGACCTACTGGCTGACGGGGCTGTTTGTGGGCGGGGCGGCCATCGTCAGCGAGATGAGAAGGGACGCATGCGCCTGTGTCCCCATCAGTAAGGAGTGACGAACCACACCTGAACAATTCATGGACGGATGTCTGTCTGTCTGTCTGTGTCTCGTCTGTCTGCCCATCCGTCTGTCCGTCTATTGATCGCAGATGTGTGGAGTGAGGGGTGCCTCTTCTTCACCCTCGGGGCGCCCACCCTGGCCCTTGTCGACGCGTCCCTGCTCGCCCTCACCGTCCGGAGCGGTCGCAGCGCCGCCCACCAACACCGGCAGAAGCGTCTGCCGCAGCAACCCGCCCCTCCACCCATCGACGCGAGTTCATCTAGCGCCCCCGACTCTCCACCACTCTCACACGACAAACCCAGCTCAAGCTCATCGACTGCCCGGAGACCGCCGCAGCTCAAGCTGATCGACCCTGGGCGGAGCGTGCTGCACCCCCCGCGGCCCATTCTGCCGTCCACACGCACATCTCGGTTCTGCAGGGAGGAGGCCGAGAGGTCTGACAGCCCCAAAGCCATGAGACAGTCAGGACGAGATACCAGTGGGGGCGAAAGAGAGACCGGCGAGCGGCAGGGCATGAGCCGGGGGTGGTGGTGGCTGTCGTCGCTGCCGCGTGTGCACGAGTGGACGTGGAGCAGGATCGAGGGGTACATGGTTGTGCGGATCGGGACCTACACGTGGCTCGGCCTGCCTGTGGTTCTGCTGGCCCAGGTCTATCTGCTGGTCGTCACTTGCCTCTACGACTACATGTCTGAGGGCGCCCTAGGTGTGGATCTTTCACCTGCACGGTCCACATGGCTGCCTGCGAGGGAGAGGACGGACGTCGACGCGGCGCTCGTGAGCGGCCTGCTGCTCTCTGTGATCCAGCTGAGTGTGTTCCACCTCTACTGTCGGCGCACCAAGAGAATCTTTGGCTACCCCTCGGAATACCGAGTGTGGCGGGCGGCATTCAGGTCAGTCGGCCAGGCAGTCAGTGTATCTATCGCTGTAAGTGGGTGGGGGCCATGTCACGTCTGCATGTTGTGTCGCCGTGGCCCTCTGCAGGCACGTGTATGGAGAGCCCCCGCGTGAGCTGCTGCAGGCGTTGCTGGAGTCCCCCCCAGCAGCTCAGCAACAGCAACAGCAACGACAGGACCAGCAGCAACAGCCGCCGACCACAACCACAACACCAGAGAAGCCCCCCACGCGTATGCACACCACAACACAACCACAACCACAGACAGACAGACAGACAGAAGGGGACGCACATGTCCGTGTTCATTCTCTCTCTGTGTGCAGCGGCGGTGCCTCTGAAGCCCTCCACAAAGCAGCCCACGTCTTCAGCCGCCATGCGCCGGATTGACCGCGCCCTCGAGACGTACGTGAGGAGATTCGTACACCCATAGATGAAATGCATGTGTCGACACGCACTCATTCCCTCAGTTATGTCGACCGAGGCGGCCGCATTGACTTCGGCACAGAGGAGATCGGGCCGCCAGCCACGCTCGCCATACCCGTTGCCCATGACGAGATAACGGGAGAAGGAGAGCAAGAGGACGGCCGCGGGGTCGGCATAGCCCCAAAGCAGCTGTCGCCCCCAGCAAAAGACAGAAAGAGGGAAAAGGAAAGGACGGTGGTCATCAAACTGGCTGAGCATCATGAGACCAACGACACCGGTGCCGCAACGGCCGCCAAGGCGGCCCCCGATGGGGGTGATGGAGGTGAGGTTGTGCGGGGGAGTTGTGTGCTGGACTGGCGGGAGGGCGAGGTGGTCATCGAGTCGGTGGTCCGGCACTTGACCTCTGAGGGGTGGCGGCGGCTGGTTGGGGCCATTGCTGCAAACAGCCATATCAGACACGCCAGATTCAGACCGAAACGTACGTACGTACGGACACAGACAGACAGACAGACAGGGAGGGAGGGAGGGAGGAGGGATGGAGGAAGCAGACAAAGGGACAGATGGAGGGACAGAGAATCGAATGTGCGTGTTTGTCTGTTCCGTGTCAGCTGTGGGTTTCGTTGGCCCTCCGTCAGATGAGGAAAGCTGGGTGGGCTTCCAGGGCGTCGCGATGCTGGCCATGCTCGTCACCCAATCGCAGTCCATCGCCACTGTCAACCGCCTCCATGTCGGACCGGTACAATATACCTACCTACCTACTTGCCAACCCACCTTCGTCACTTCCCTCAAGGTGTGCATCTTTCTCTGTCTGTGTGAGTAGTTGGTGCCCAGCCGCTGGCGCATGACGACTGGCCCCCCGCGTGTGTACCGTCTGGACCACACTCTCCGGGGTGACCTGACGGCGGTTGCCCTGCTGGCTCAGCTCCTGATTGACCACCCAACCATTGAGGAACTCTACCTCAGAGGCACGCACTCATACACACATGCCGAGCGATACCATACCGACAGACATGTGCATTGCGCAGGACTGTCTGCCCACGTGTGTGCACATGTATGTGTGTGTCTTCAGGCAACTGGTTGAACGACTTTGCTGCCGGTGTGTTGGGTCGTGCGATAGCGGCCCACCGGACGCTGCGGGTGCTCAACCTGAGCAGCAACGTCATCGGCGACGACGGCGCCGTGGCGCTCGGCAGGGCACTCAGCAGAAACAAATCGCTCACGCACCTCTCACTCAGGAGTAAGCCGCCGCTCTCTATCTCTGTGGGCACATTTATGTGGGCGCATTGGTTGATCGATTCGTGTGCATGGGATGTATGTGTGTGGCATGCAGGCAACAAGATCCGCAAGCGTGGCGGCCGTGCGCTGGCTGACGGCCTCAGGCACCACCCCACACTCACCTACCTCAACCTGGGGGGGAACTTCATCGGTCAGAGGAGAGAGACGCCCGTGTGCATACCTGTCCATCGGTCTGTCTGTCTGTCTGTGTGTGTGTGGTGGGCACATGTGTTCCTGCAGGTCCGCAGGGTGTGATAGCTGTGCAGGAATCCCTGCGGGCGAGTCCCTCAATGAAGGAGCGTACAATCAAGGTCATCCTCGAATGGGGTACGCTACGCCTGTGCCTGCATCTCATCTAACATACACACACACGCATGCACACACGCATGCGAAGAGCATCGCGCTTGAAGAATGCCGTCTTTTGTGTTTCCTTGTGTGTCTGTTCTGGCGCAGGTGGGACCAACGATTGAGTGGGTAGTATTGACTGACGATCGTACGTACAGGGCATCCATCCATCCTTTGACTGATTGATGCACTAGTGTATAGATAGCATAGACAGCACTAAGACACCCACCCTCACACAAGGGGTACCCCTCCCTGGACGCCCCAAACCTAGTCGGCAGCCACCCAGCCACACCGACAGGCTGGCAGCCATGTGTGTATATGGACGTTGATTTTGCCGTGGTTTTCTATTCATCCCCTTTTCTGAGTGCTGCCCGTGATGTGATGTGCCGTGAGTCGGTGGTAGTCAGTCAGATGTGGCGGCGTGCTTTTTGCGGGCGTACGTAAACAGTACAATCACAGTCACTCACACAAGCGCGTTCAGACGCGCACACACCGACACACAGCCAGAGGAGAGAGAAGGAGAGAGGGGTCCATTGCCATGTGCATGTGTCCGTGCCTGCTAGGTGAGTCGGTGAGCCATTGTACCTTGTGCCTTTCTTGTTGGCCTTTTTTTTCTTCATGGCTGGCTGGCTGTCCCGTCTGTACAGATGAAGACGTCCTAGTACTAGCTATGTGATGTGTGTGCGCTTGTCGCTAGTCGATGACAGGACTTAGTCGAAGGGATGGAAACAACAGACTGCGTAGTGGTGTGTTCACTAAGCGAGCCGCCGGGACATGCACTCGCACGTCGAAATGTGCACTGTGGGCAGCACCAGAACCTATTGACCAGAACCGTCGCACAAGCTTCAAATCATCATGCTCCGTGACCCACGTCATGGATCGCTGCCTGCATTTTATATTCTATCGGCCGATGACGACTTCGAACCGCACTGCCTTGCTAGCCCTTTGCACATCGAAGGTGAGCTGTCGAAATACTCTATGTATGCTGATCAAGTCGTGTGTACGTGTCTCGTGTCTGTGAATGCATGTCTACCTGCAGGTGGATGGCCAGCTGTCCATCTTCATTATATTTGTGGACTTGTCGGCGTGCGATGCAATGCAATGCATCTGCGCTTTCTGCCCGCGGTACGTACGTAAGTGAGGGAGAAGGAAAGGAAGACGGTATCTATAGGACTTCCTCGTGTCTCTTCTCTTCTCTGTGCGTTAACTAACGCATATTTTGGCCGCTTCGGCGGCCACCGAGAGGTATGTTGGTTGGCCAAGCTGCAGGACGACTATGGGGGGGCACACGGAGCTCCAAGAGAAGACCCCACGACCAATCAGGTCTGTCTGATGCACACGTCGATTTGTACCACACACAAAGCACTTGTGTTGGTGTGGGGGTGCGGCTGGCTGCAGCTGTCCGACTTGCAGAAGCACTTCGACGATATCGACGCTGAGAAGAACACCAGAGTGCGCGTGTGTGGAAGTGTGCGGGTGTGTGTGCAGCTCCCTGAGTTGGTCAAGGGCACGAAAGAGCTGCCGGTGGGCATACGACACATACATAGACACACACACGAGGGACGGGCAATGTGTGTGTGGGTGTGTGTGCGCGGTGTTGCGTTCCATGGTCGGACCAGCAGTCATTTCGTGTCAATTGTACGACGAAACCACCCTGTGTTGTGTGTGCCAGAGAAAACAACAGTCCCTCAGCTGATATCATCCTCACAGCCACACAGACCAAACGTACCTCGATGTAGACAGCCAGCGAGCAACACATGCGCTCATCCCAGAGAGAGAGACGTACCGACGCGCATCCATTTGTACGCACGCACCCAGTCACAAATCACCTCTAGAAAACATCACACATCCAGCCCACCATCAAACCGATTGTGCCATTCAGACAGAGAGAGACAGACAGACGCTCAGAGAGAGAGAGAGAGAGAGAGAGGCTCCTGTGTGTGGGCGTGGGCGACGATTGTGTTGTCTTGTGTGAGGGAAAGCGGTTGCAGTCACCTGACTGACTCTACCCTCACCCACCCCCTGTGTAGTCCAAAAGGGCCAGTGGATTCCTTGTATCTGTTGCACAGTTTGCCGACCATCTCGGGAATGGCCACCCACTCGCCAGTCGCACGGTCCTTGCGCCCGCATGGCCGCGTCTCGAAGTCTCTAGTGGACCTGCCGCAGAAATGTGTCGTCGCGCCTGCATCCACACACACAAGTGAGACACCGCTCATTTCAGGTGGTTGGCCTTGTCTGTGCCGTTCACCCGCAGCGGGGGGGGGAGGGGGGCGACACACGATGCGTGCTTGTCTGCCTTGGTTACTCAGTCACCTGTTCCGCCCGGCGGTTGCCGTGATGTCTCTGACTCACGAATCTGTGCGATTGTGCATATTTGCGTCCCTGAATGGATGGGTGGAAAGCTACCATGCTCACCACGTGGCCACATTTATCCGCAGCCACATCAAGTTGACAAATCGATAGACGGGGCGTCTGATACTGCGTCTTTCCATCCATCCGTCCATCCCCGCCCCCCACTCACTGTCTCGGCAACGGTCCCTCCAGCTTTGTTTCTGGAGCATATCATAATCTACCCTTCCATCGACACACAGGTAGATACTCCAAAACGGTTCGACGCGCAAAGAGATAGACAGTCAGTGATCCTTCGGTCATTGGTCACGTGGTGTCTGTCTGTCCCTCCCTCCCTCCCTCCCTCCTCAGTGGTTGCATCGAGTAATGCAGTCCTGGCGTCGCCAGAGGCCACCCAGCCACCCACACGAACACACACACACAAACGAATGTGCGCACGGGAACGGTACACGTATGCGTGTCCCTCATGGAGATGGCTGGCCACATACTTTGCGGCTGACTGCCTACCTGCCGACCTGCCTGCAGCAGGCAGACAGACATAAGCACTGCACTGCACGCAGTCCTCTGGCTGTGCCACGATGTGTATGTAACATACACAATCGACGGACAAATCGACGAGGCGAGAAAACAGGCAGGCAGGCAGTCGAGCAGGCAGGCAGTCGACTTGCGATAGACCATGGATGGCAAAAGAAACACGCGCACGGGGAAATTGCGAGGGGGAGGGAGGGAGGGAGGGAGGGAGAGGACGGGGAGAACAACCGTACGTGTGCAAGAGTCAGTTCACGCGACACACACGCACGCACGCACACATGCGTTTAAACACACGTACACACATGCATCACACACGAGTAGGTAGATGTCTGGTCTCTGTCTGCGGCAAAATCGACACGAGTCTCACTCCCGACACACACTCTCTCTACTGCGTGTTCGTCCGTCACACGAGTCCGTCAGTGGTGACGTCGTTGTCGGTGCCGTTGATGGTGCCGTTGGCCTTGGGGGATCCGTTGGCCTTGGGGGATCCCATCTTCGCCCGCCCCGTTATCCCCACCAAAATGCCGAACAAATCGCCGCTGCATTCACAACAGACAGTCATGCAAACAGACAGACAGACAGACAAACTTACACGTGTAGTCGTGTGTCCGTGGAGTGAATGTGTGTGTGGCTGGGCAGCCCACCGACCAGACAAAATTGTTGTCGACGATGTTGACCAGGTACCAGGAGTCGTGGATCTGAATCATTCATGGATGGAGGGAGGGAGGGATCGACGGACGACACACACAGAGAAGACCATAGATTGGACGCGCAAAACTGTGTATGTGCCGTGTGTCGCGTCGTGTGGTGTGTGCGTGCGTACGGTCGTGATGAGCTGTCGTGACGGCGAGCCCTCGGGATAGATGGCCCCCCACTCCTCCTTCCTGCACACACCCGTATGCCGCGTTGTTTGGTTCCATCCATTCATCCATCCATCCATCCATTGGCTGACCATAGTGAGAAGGCCTCGTCCTTCCAGGCCATGAAGGAAACCAGATCGACAACCGTCGGCTGCTTCACCTCCTCGCCTGTAGATGCACGGACGCGCACACAGAGAGGGCAGGTGGCAGGGGGACGGGTGAATGGCCATGTCTGTCTGTCCGTCCGTCCGTCCGTGCTCATGTGTGGGGGGCTTCTGTGGTGCGTACATGGGAAGACGCCCCAGGTGACGGCATTGACGGACCCCTCAGGCATGTTCGTCCGGATGTCGCCCTGCAACCCATCCACCCAAACAAGCAGCCAACAGATAGACATCGGTGTATTCATGTGTTCCGTTCCTTGCCCACGCACGTACGTCGATGTTGATTGCGGCGTACGAGAGGCACTTCTCGCCCTCAATGCCCATGAGAATCCTCTCCAGCGTCTCGGGCGAACAGAAGAACTCGCAGTACGCCTGCAACACAGTCAGTACCATCATACACCGCACGACTCACCAGACAGTCCCCCACTCTCTCAGTACTTACCTTCTGGAAGACGAATCCGTTCTTGGGTCCCCATCCGAAGTAGGGGTCGCTGGAGATGGCCGCGTTGACGCGGGGCTGTGAGTTGACGGTGAGGCACCCGTTGCGGTTGAGGGGGATGAGCTGCTTGCGGATGATGGACGTCTCGTCGCCAATGATGTCGCTGCACCACGGCAGACGGGTCACCTTGGTCGCAGGCGACAGGTAGTCACAAAACACCTGCACACACGACAGACACCACACGGCACGCGGGGAAGGAACGAGGAAAGAGTAGAATAAAGCATGCGTTTCTTGTGCAGGGAAACGGGGACCTTGGCTATGTCGGCGACTGAGCTCGGTGCCTCGCCCCACATCTCGCGACGGTGGGTCATGGACTGACGAGTGAACCACCCCCACACATAGAAAAACACAGCAGCCTATGCATCGACCCATCTTGCAGCTGCCTGCCCACTCCCCCACCGTCTCGTTGGGGTCGACATTGCTGCTGATGTAGTGGTCCGCAAAGTCAAAGGCAGGCGAATCTGCACACAACATAACGACAGGGCACACCACACCACACCACGCCACGTCACGCCATGTCAAAGCCCTTCCCAAATACACCACACAAACGTTCAATATGCACATCCATCCACACAGCCCTTCCTCCCTACCTCTGTTGCCCCATCGGCCGTTGGGGAATTCGTCCCACGCGGCGGTCCTCTGCATGTATGACCGGGGACGGTTGGCCCAGAAGATCGGCCGCACGTCCTCGCGAGAACGCTTCTTGTGCACAGACTGCATTCAACCATCAGCAACACACACACGTAGATATAGATAAAAGATAAGTCCATGGTGGATGGATGGGTGGATGGGTGGCTGACCGGTCGCCATGGAAGGACCCGGTTGGAGATGTGCGTGTCGACGAGCATCATGCCCTCGATGATGCGCATCACCGACGTCTCCAGGTTGAGCGTGTAGAAATGCAGACCCTTCACGCCGTGATCCAATATCTCCCGACACATCTACACACACATACACGGGCGCCTATGTGTGGGTGTTGGTGTGAGTGCGTGTACGCAAGCTACCTCGACGGCGAGTTTGACGCCGTAGTCCTTGACGGCCTGGTCGTCGTCCTTGATCGGCTCCAAATCATCCTGACATCAATGGCCACACGCATGGACATTTAGACTGTCTGTCTGTCTGAGTGCATGTAGTCGTTTGCTCGTTCGGTCAGCCTTACAATGATGTGCTGCGGCACTTTGGTCTTGCAGAATGTGGTCATCTTCTTGAACCCCTGGTACGACTGGATGGGCATGATGCCTGCCGTGCCAACCCACGCCAGCCCTCACACACCGAGATGAGCCATCTGGGTGTTGTGCAGCGTCCTTTCTCTCCCTCCCTCCCTCCCTCTCTCTCTCTCTCTCCCTCCCTCCCTCTCTCTCTTTCTCTCCCTGGCTGGGTGTGCGTCCATGTGTGGGTGACCGGGGAGTATGGGTATGGTGACGCCGATGGCCTTGGCCTTCTCGAGGAAGGCGAAGTACTCCTCGTTGTCGTAGAACAACTGCGTTATCGCGAAATCCGCACCGGCGTCTTGCTGCAACACACAACACAAGACACAACACACGTACACAACCAGCCCAGAAGATGCGTAGCAGGCGTCCGATTGAAGATCATAGGACGCCCCGCCTCTCCATCTGTCCGTCGCCACTTCAGTACTGTGCGCACCTTGACTTTGAGCATCTGCAGGTCCTTTTCCTTGTCAGGGTTCTCCAGGTGTCCCTCTGGGTAGGCCGCCACAGCGATGCAGAAAAAGTCACCGTAGTTCTTCTGCATCCATCCATTGACCGCAACACAACACACCAGATGGATGCACCAGTGTGTCGACGATGGTGCTACGGCTCGGGTGTGTGAAGGCCTATCTGTCGCTCTCTCTCTCTCTCTCTGTCTGTCTTCTGTGCCCGCCCCTCCGCCCCCAACCCACCCCCACCCACCCTGATGTATGCGACGAGGTCCGAAGCGTGTTCGAGTCCCCCCTCGACGGCCGTCCACCTCTCCTGGTCCTTCGGGGGGTCGCCGCGCAACGCTAGGATGTTCGTGATCCCATGCTCCACGCACTATACACACATATCACATACCTCTCGTGGATGCCATCGTTCTCCGTCCCTCCCTTTGTCTGTCTAAGCCAGCCAGCCAGCCAGCCAGCATCCATCCATCCACCAAAGGTACGTACCTCTTTGAGCGCGCTGTCGAGCATTTCCTTTTGCATGTTGGTGCATGTGAGGTGCATGAGTGGCTCGAGGCCGTGGTACTTGAGTGCGTTGGTGCAGAGCTCCAGCGTCCGTTGTGCCGTGGAGCCCCCGGCGCCCCAGGTGACGTCAATCCACAGGGGATTGAGCTGCGCCATCCGGTCGAACCGGTCGTACAGGTTGGCCACCCCTGCCTCCGTCTTGGGCGGGAAGAACTCAAACGAAAAGAACGCCTTGTCCTCGTTGGCCTTCTCAAACTCGCACATCGCCTGGTCATGAGCGGTGGACACATGCGTACAGACAGACAGACAGACAAGCCAGGAAAGAGAGACAGACAAGACAGACGAAGTGAGATGCAGACGAAGTGAGATGCACGTGCACAACAAGAGACCCAGGCAGGCAGGCAGCGCTCTATTCTGCTGCGCGCGCACGGTCTGTGGCCGCCGTGTGTGTGGGGGGTGCTCTTACGTCGGTGATCTTCATCTTGCTCTCTTGCTTTTGCGTGATGAAGTGAGTTGAGATGGCAAAGGCAGACGATAAACTGAGCGCACTGCTACTCTGAATGGGATACACTGAACTCAATCACCAACCGTGCTTCACCTCAGGTCGCGCAGCAGCGGTTTCATGGACCACCCTAGACGGCGTGACGGCTTATCAATTTCGCTGGAAATGGCGAATGCGGCCCGCAGATGGATAACCACAGCTTAGCTTATTCGGTTGATCCGTAACATTTGCGCCGTGGCTTCACGATGGGATGGGGCTATATTTGGTTGACAATGTGTTGTTTGCCATCATGATGTGATGTCTGCTGCAGACGTCAATGGCGGCGATGCGGGATCAGATGCTCAAACAGATTCAGGCCTATCAGGCGAATCAGGCGAGGGTAAGGAGTCAACACACTCACTCATCCACCCGTTCAGTGCCTCCGTCGCTCATCGGTTGCTTTGTGTTGTTTGTGTGTGCTGTGATGCGCAGGTCAACAATGGCATCGGCCGACTCACTCAGATGGACACCGCTGCGATCACACCATTGGTGCGACCAGACTGCCTAGCACACCACACAGCACAAAGGCCTCTGTGTCATGGTCTCTCGTGTGGTTGATTCGCTTGTCAGATGGTGGCCAAGGTCAGTCGTCAACTCGCCAACGAATCGGCCCGTCTGGCCCAGCTGGCGGACAACATCGACTCGACTATCGCACTCACAACACACACCCTCACACAGGTGAGAAAGAGACCACACACACACACACACACACACAGCTCCATGTGTGTCTTTGTGTGTGTCGTCAGGCTCGGCGGTTGCACGTGTCTGACCTTCCCGCCGGGCCGATGAGTATCGTCCTGTCACTCTCTGACCTCACCGCCGTCGCCCGACTCAAGGCGACAGCCCGCCACTTCAGAAACGCCCTGCGGCCCATCATCCGCAATATTCGGCTGCCGAGGGCCATCGAGTGTGCGGGGGTGGGCGGTGCGGTGCGGTTCGACGATCAGCTGAGCCACAGCGATGTGATGAAGGCCATGTGGGTGATAGAGGAGGGGGACGAGGGCGGCTGGCGGGAGGTGGCGGACACACTCAGATTCGCTGAGCATCTCGGCTATTGCCAGCTGCCGGTCACTGTGGGCCCCGGAAATCTGCAGACACACCCCACCAAGGCGGTAAGCACGACACACATGAGAAGAGGCAATAGGGCAATGAGTGAATGGCTCTCTGTGTATGTGTGTTGGGTGCAGGACTACTCATCGGTGCCCCGTTTCTGCGCCCAGTGGATGATCATCGGCCGCCATGTGGCCTTTCGTCGCCCCAATGGCCAGCAGGACGGCACACTCGAGCTCTTCCGCTATAACCATGACATCCGCGCCATCCGCAACGAGCCCAACTTCGCGATCACCATCAACCCGCCCCTCCCCCGGCCCAACCGCCCCGTCCATCCCTTCTCGCAGCACCCCTTCCAGCACCACGCCAAGCCACACGACCCGCCAGTCCGCTGCCGCATTTGGGGGGATGATGGTGTGGGCTGGGGACGGTCGGTGCCAATGACGGTGTCGTCTCAACATCGGCGAGTTCCATGCTGAAGAGGCTCATGCTGATTCACCGAAGGATGGCTGTGAGCGGCATGTACCAGTCGCCAATAGTGGCGGTTGACAGGTGAGTGGGTAAAGATGGCACACCTCGTTAGGGCATGTGGTCTATACTATATGTCAAACATGTGTCTGCATCTCAGGAGTGTGCGTGGTGGTCATTTGGATCGTATGCTGATCCGACCGCCTCATACGCCACTCGACGACTGCTCACACCTGACGGTATACGAGGCGGTCAGTGGGCTGTGTGGGCAATCGCATGAGCTGACGTCGTTCGATGACCCCTTCATCGCATTCATTGCCATGGGCACCCCTCCAGGCGACAGCCGGAACGGTACGCTTACACGGAAAAGAACAGCAACTCGACAACACCCCCATGCCGTCACTGTGTCCGTACATCTGCTATCGTTTGCGTGCAGTGGGCGTAGCCATCTATACCACCGAGGCGCCAGCAGCAGGTGTGGCCAATGACGCGCCCTTCGCACAGCGATTCCCCCTGACGGCTGCCAAGGCCCGCCGCGTCCTCGGCCCCATCGCCCCCATCATCCTCGACGGCCAGGCACCGTAGACAGAAGGTGAGGGCCACACACATGATGCAGAGGACCTGATGTATGTGTGTCCATTGTGTGTGTTTGTTGATGTGTGTTCTGCAGGGCGGCTGGCTGACGTCAAGCAAAGACACAGCTTGAAGTAGCTGACTGTCGGGCGGGTGGACTGGTGTGTGCACTGCGTGTCTGGTGGTGTGTGCGTCATTTCTGCTGGTGCATGATGTAGTGCATGACAATGATCTGGGCCACATTCAGCCACTCATTCTTCTGAGCCCCTGCTGAACGGAAAAGACATCGTTGCCTATACAAATCGGTGTTGGAGGGAAATCATTGGTGCCTCCATTTTGACGGTGATAGTGATCAGCCACCCGTGGCTGTGTCTGCACTGTGTCTCTCGTTCTCTTCTCTCCTTAGCTTGTTGAGTGGGTGTCGATGCGGAGGGAGAAACATTTCACCAAATTGCAAACTTCGCTTTGAACATCAATCCATGCACAATCAGTTTCCGCCTGCGTGAATCGGCATTTCCCGTTTCCAGGCCAAATGGCAAACGCCTCACTGTTCGGAACTCACGAAGCTTGGCGCCTCTTACCGTTATTTCCTCCGTCCGTCCGTCCGGCCGGCCCTCCCTCCCTCCCTCCCTCCGGTTCCCCAGCTTCGCATGGGAGCTTGCGGGCTTTGCATGAATTTCGCGAAACACCATCAGTCAAAACAGACTTAGAAATACGACCTACGTCAAGCATTACTGTGTCAGTACAGAGAACGATAACGGTACAGCGAGCGATAGAAAAACACATCGACAAAGCATTCGGCGTGTATACCACATATACACACAATACAGACACATACCACAAGCCATCCTACTAGTACTATTACAGCTCATCATGATCATCGCTATAGAACTCATCATCAGGCGATGAGCCTGATGAGTAGAAAGCCATGATTATTGGCTTTACTTTCTCTTCGACCTCTCGCTGCTGCTCCCGGATGGCATCTACAGAGGCCTCACGATTCTCAGCGAGCCATTCCTCTCCCTCACGAATCTGCCAGAGACACAGAAGAGAATGACAGGAAAAGAATCAGTCAGGTTCATCTTCTAGACCTACCGCCTCTCGCAGTATTTCATATTGATCGCCCGTCAGTTTCCCCTGTCGCTTCAAGTCCTCGCTTGTTCGTCGCAGTGCATCGAGGTATCCTGTCATCGCCCCAATGGCGGTCGCGCGCTCTTTGTGCTCTCGATCTTCTGCTTCGAAGAGCTGTGCATCCCTACAAGGATCCACACAAAAATCAATCAATCTACACAAGCGCTCATATGTTTCGTTGCTCGATTCACCTTATCATTCTTTCTACTTGCGCCTCAGCAAGCTGCCCACTGTTAGTGATGGTGACATTCGCTGTACTACCGGTAGCCTTATCGACAGCCGTCACGTGCAAAATACCGTTGTGGTCAATCTCCATATATGTCTGCATGTGTGCAGAGGAACGAACAACGCGCATGCGTCGTTGTCAAGGTTGCACAGAAAAACGTGCATACCTACCCAAACCTTCGCGACGCCCTTTGGTAGTGGTGGTATGCCAGAGAGAACGAAACTGCCCAGAAAATGATTGTCTTTCGCCATAAGACGCTCTCCCTCATACACCTGCGTACACAACGACAAAAAGAAGCACATGAATGGTTGAAATCGATTGCACCCAACTGCAGCCAGCAGATGCTACGTGATGAGGATGCATCACGTGGATATATTAGATACCCGAAATTTCATCGTCTCTTGATTGTCTGCGATTGTCTGCCATGAGTGCTGTAGCGCTGTGTGGGAATCGTCGTATGCCGCGGTATCTCTTTATGAAAGACACCATGCACGTCGTCCAGCCCGAAGAAAAGAGGAGTGACATCCAGGAGCAGAAGATCCTTGCTCGCCTCCTCACCACTCAGTATCCCTGCCACCATCAATAGAGCACATGGAGACGACGGCAATAGATGACATTTGCCCATTTCACTACCTCACCTGCCTGTACTGCGGCTCCATACGCAACAGCTTCGTCAGGATTGATCCCACTATGCAGCTCTTTGCCGTCAAAGAAGCTGACCAAAAGCTCTCGGATCTTCGGGATACGTCTTGAGCCGCCGACAAGCACAATCTCATCAACCTGCACCAGCAAGGAGCAAATCGTAAGCTTTCATCACGCCGATGCAGAATCACATTTACCTGTGACTTCTTGAAGTCTGCGGCCTGAAGCACCTCTTGTACGGGCTCCAGAGTCTTCTGGAAGAGGTCATGATTAAGCTTCTCGAATTGAGCTCTCGTGAGGGTCTCCGTAAAGTCGAGACCGTCGAGAAGCCCTTCAATCTCGATTTGTGCTTGCGTGACACTGCTGAGCGCCCTTTTCGCCTTCTCCACCTCCCGTTTGAGCTTCTGCATTGCTGCCGCGTCCTTCGAGATGTCTTTTTTGTGTTTCTTCAGAATGACCCTGACAAAGTGGTCGATACACTGCTGATCGAAGTCCTCCCCACCAAGATGCGTATCGCCTGATATACAACCCATCGGTCCTTCCATCCGTACAATACACACATACAAACATAGACCCTTCACAGTCACCTACCACTCGTTGCGACGACCTCGAAGACGCCATTGTCGATGGACAAGAGTGACACGTCGAATGTCCCTCCACCCAGGTCATACACGAGGACGTTCTGCTCCTCTTTCTTGTCGAGGCCATACGCAATCGCCGCGGCGGTGGGCTCATTGATGATCCGAATCACATTCAGACCAGCAATCGTGCCAGCCGCCTTGGTGGCTTGACGTTGCGCATCATTGAAGTATGCTGATCGATGAAATCGATTGACAGGGGTCCAAACACGCACACACACACACACACACACACAGTTCCATTGTGCCTCAGCGGGGTTTCCCCTTCCTTCCGTCTTTCTGACCGGGTACAGTGATGACGGCGTTTCGCACCACCTTGCCTATATAGGTCGAAGCAATGTCCTTCATCTTACTCAGCACCATGGCAGACACCTCCTCAGGCGCGAACCTTCTAGCCGTCCCTTTCACCTTGACCTCTACATGCGGCACTCCTTGCTGATTCACAATGCTGAAGGGCAACAGCTTCATGTCGGATTTGACCGTATCGTCCTCGAACCGACGCCCAATCAGGCGCTTCACATCAAATATAGTCTGCGAGGGAGCCACCGCAGCTTGGTTCTTTGCCGCCTCGCCAACATATCTCTCTCCGCTGTCGGCTGCAAATGCCACGTAGGATGGCATGATGCGATTGCCCTGGTCGTTGGGAATGATCTCGACGCGGCCATTCTTGTATATCCCAACACACGAGTAAGTCGTGCCCAGATCGATTCCCACCACAGCACCTTCGACAGCACCTTCGACGACAGGACCTTCGACGCGAGCGTCGGCTGAACCATACAGCACACAGCAGAGGGAGAAAGAGATGGCGATGGTGATCAGCCAAAACATCAGGGGTAGCCAGGGGGGGTCTGAGGCACTCTATTTCAGCCTACTTAGCTCGCAATGGAGCGGCTGGCCAGGTTTCTTGACAGCGCGATGGCGACAAGTGTAGCGCGACAAGTGTTTCTCCTCAGCAGATTCGCTTCTCGTGTTGCTTCTCGCGACCTCGAATGTTCACGCACAAGAAAGACATCATTTTCACGATTTCGAAGGCAGGGAAAAATGTCCACGTACCACAAACGCAATCAGGCAGACCGCCAATCCATACAGCGACCACAGTTCACGCACATGCACACAACGTGGTGCAGACAGACAACGAACCAGTTGGCAGAGATGCATGCAAAAGTGCTAGGAGTCCTAGCTAGGCGAGTGCAGGTGCAAGGACCACAAGCAAGCTCTTGTCATCCATTTCGGCACCGTTACTACTCGGTCAAAAAGGGACGAGCCGCGGACTCCCACACGCACGACAGACAGACAGACAGACAGACAGACAGACAGACAATACAGAGAGACACATCAGATTGATTACATGTCGACAGACACACACACAGAGAAGAACACTCCAAGTTCAGACTACCACAGAATGCAAACACATTACATGCAGGACGATAAACACACCGCCGCACGCACCACATGAAAGGACGAAAAAGGCAGGACAGTAACATCTTATCCGTTGTGGACAGACCAGGTACACATAAACACACACACATCCTTACTCGCACGAACACACCAGATAAATGCCAAGGAGGCCACACCAGCACAGTAACTTAGACCTGATGTTCATGATCGATCCTCCCCGCCTCGTCGTCTGCGGTCGTCTCGGAAGCGCGCCTAGCTTCATCCTCATCGCTGCCCTCCGAGACATCACAAGACTCCCCGTGGGAGCTGTGTGTCGTCGTGTCGTCAGCCTGGGAAGACGTCTTCGATTTCTGCTTGTGGCTTTCCTCGTCTCCTGCGTCCTCTGCTCTCGACATGGGTTTGGGGCCGATGAGCGAGAGCAGCACCGGCAGGAAGAGCAGCCCATGGAGGACTCCGAAGACGACCGACATGAACATCATCTTGAAGTAAACGCGAAAGACGTACGCAGGGGCCCCAGCCAGTGGCAGCGTAGCCAAGAGCGTAGACATGCCGCCTGCACACATGAATCGACAGGAGCGCATCCGTTGCCCATCCCTCACCCTTCTGGCCTGCCCTCACTCACCGTTGGCTATGCTAACGCCCATAGTGGAGAGCGCCTGCTGCATCCGCTCGTCCCGTGTGCCGGGGGCCAGCATGAAGGCGTGCGCCAGGTGGGCCGAGTAATCGACGGAGAAGCCGATAGACAGCACCAGACTTATCATGCTCGTGGCGTCGAGCGGCACGTTCCACCAAGTCATGTAGCCCATCTGCATCGCACCACACATCCATCCAAAGATCAGTCGGGTGACCGCGCGGCCGACTATTCCCTGCGTTTGCCTGCCTTTCCGTCTGTCAGGCGTACCAGGTTGGCGTCAATCATCAGGATTATCAACAGGACGAACAGCACGGTGAGAGGGTGCGACAGGAAGATGAAGGTGATGACCAGGACAGCAGCCGCAGCGATCAGCATCGTCTGCATCGTCTGACCAAGGATCGCCACCTCTTGCTCGAACCTGTGACACACAAACATAACGTAAGAAGGAGGCAGTCCAACGTGAGTCTTCCTTCAGAAATGCGCCCTTCTGTCTCACTCACCTGAAGAAGTACGGGTGCGTGATGTACACGTCGACGTCAGACCTGGCACTCAGTTTCGAGCCATCGACCACCTCGCGGAACGACACCATCAGGTCGGCCTGATGACGGACACACAATAATCACTATAGCCATATGCAACAGAACAGCCCGCCGATCGAAGGAAGCCTCACCTGGTCTTTGAAGGGCAAACCCACGGTCCTCACAGAGATTCTCATGTGCTTGATGGTCCCATCAGCTTCGTCAAGAACCACAAACCTCTGGAGCGGGGCGCCCTGCTGCTTCAGAAAGGTTCCGAGGTGGTCATAAAACGCTGCTGGGGCCAACGCAACTTCGTTCGCGGAACGCCACTGGTCATAGGCGCGGACGAAGGAAGTGATCTGAGCCAAGAGAGTGCATATCAGAGCCATACCTTACTGCTGATGTGTCCGGCATATCCTTACGGCTTTTCGTCTCTCCGGATGCGCGTATTCGCTGTCCTCGAGATCCCTTGTGAGCTGCTCCAGCTGCCCCATGTCATCGGCAGAAGTGAAATCGAGCCCGCTGATGCTCACGGTCAAGTCCAGCTGCTGAGCAGGCTCTTCAAGGCCGAGTTTCTGCAGCATTGATAACGGACACGGCAATCCTTCCACGATGATCCTCTCATTCTCTTTCTAGTCTGTGCACTTGCCTTTTCAGCGGCATAGTAGGCGCGGAGGAACGAGCCATACGGCCCCAGCTCATGAACAGGCAAGCCTTGTTCGAGGTGCAGCATGCCCACGATGCCTGTGGTTGGACACAGGTGGATATGCGTATGCGTGTGTGTGCAGAGGCAGGCGACTCTCGTCCTTACCTCCAGCCAGCAGGGAAAGGAACGAGAGGACAACCAGTGCCTTGACGATGGGCCTCGCGAGGAATGGGCCCAAGTGCACCTTGACGATTGCTGTAGGGCCCCACGGCAGCCGCTGATGCGACCCCTTGTATGCCTTCGGATCCCTGCTCTTACAGAAGACCAAGTCGATCCTGCACGCACGAGACGCACACAGCCACCCCATCCAGAAGTCGACAAATCATCAACAACGCACGATTGCCCCTTGCCGTCTCGTTGATGCTCACCGGTTTCTGCTCTGTCGTATGGCGTCCAGGTGCACGCACGCTAGGAATGCAGTAATCGTCATCAGGAAGGCACCTGCAGACGGCACACACAGACATAGATATTCCAATGTTGTGCTGCATTCACAATGAGCTGATCTGCCCGTCTCGCGCACAGAGGATGGCGATCGATGTGTAGATGCAGAATCCGGAGACCACAGGGAACGATGCCCCCGCGCCGGCGGCGAAGGCGACGAAGGATGTGAGAGTGGTCATGGTGATCGACGGGCCGCACTCCTTCATGGTCAGGGACACTCGCTCCCTCGACTCAAGGTCGGGATCCCTCTCGTGCAGCGTGTTGATGATGATGAAGATGTTGTCGACGCCGATGCCGAGGATGAGGAAAGGTGAGAGCCCGACGACTGACAAAAAGGGAGAAGACGACCAACATATGGCCGGCGCATCCATGTGACCTGTGTTGGCATGGACGTACCTGCCGTGAAGGGGATCCCCGCGAGAGCGCAGATGCCGTACGTCAAACACAAGGAAAGGCCCACAATGGCCACGCCGGTCAGCGCAACCAGCATTTGGGAGCGGACGAGGTTCCTGTGGCGGTATGTGACGGACACCGCATAACCTGACCACGTGCACATCACACAGAAATGAGGAATTTGTAAGGTCAGGCGGCGACGTGCGGACTGCCCACTGACCGATAAGGATGATGAAGACGACTGACATCAGGAGCAGGTTGCCTCCGACGGACCGCTCCACCTCCGTGTCGATTGAGTGCTCTGTGCGCACATAGACGCGGAAGCCTTCGCTCTCGCCCCACTCCTCGGTGTTCACGTCGATGAATCGCGAGACCAGATTGCCTTCCCTGCAGACGTCACACATCAGACATACGAGAAAACAGACGTTTGCGTTGGCAAATCGACTGACTTTGGTTTCCTCACCATGATGTGCCTTCATCTGTCGGTTTGGTGCCAAAGATGAAGTGATAGGCAGCAGCGCTGTCCACCCGGCTCTCGGAATCGTAGTGTGCTTTCGCCAGCAGCAGCGGCACTTCATCGCGCAGCGGTCTCTTCCACCGGTCCACGCGAGTCGGCGCATTCAGCTGTTCAATCAGCTGCTCGTCGGTGCTTGGGAGAGTCTCGTTGTTCCAGCCATTGAACACGGAAAGGAGGAAGCAGCTATCGTCGGGGGTCCTGCTGCGGACGCACACGTCGGTGAAGTTGACGGTCTTACCGTCGTGGTCCACCCTGTCCGTCAGGATGCCTTGGACAACTTTGTGAGCCTTGGCGAATCGCTCGGCCGTGAGCACGTTGGCATCAAAATTCCCCTGCCACACGAGCATGACTTGGCTGAACCTGCAATCAAATCGGACCCCCCCACACAAGTTATTCCACTCGACTCAGCAGCACCTGGGTGAGTCTGTCTACGTACCTGATGCCCTGATCGCCCCAGATCTTCTCCACTGCCGCGTCGTCGTACACGGCTCTCGAGTCAGTGGGGAAGTAGAGGGCATCCATTCGCGGCTCATACACCATCAAGGAAAGGAACGTCGCCAGGCCTGCCAGGGCGAGAGCCACGGGGATGAGGATGAAGGGGACCTTGTTCCGCCCAGCCATATGGGACAATCGGTAGAAGGCACTCGCCAGCAAGTGGTCGAACGCGTGGAGGATCCCGAACCACGAGCGTCCCATCGTTGTCGACAGGGGGGAAGATCCCGATGCGGAGGCGGAGGGAGCCTGACCACAGGCCAAGCAACCGTGGTCCGCTTGATTGTCGGTCGAGGCTGTTCCGCTTCCTTCTTACCTTGGAAAACCTCCGGAGGAGGAAAGGGGGACGGGTACGTGTTGGAAAACCTCCGGACGGAGGGGCGAGAAGGGGATCTTCGCTGCGGTGTCAACTCGACGCGCGGACTGGAGAGATCTACCTGGCAAGTCGGCCAAAAGGCAAAGAGGAGTGCTTGTCAGACACTTCCTCCTCTTCCCTTGCGGTCCTCTTACTCAGAAGTGGAGAAAGGGAGGTTTGGGAGGCCTTTACAAAGCTTCCTTCGGGATCGGACCGGAAGCTCGCAAAAGTCACGAGCTAGGGTGCTTCCTGAAACCGCTGCAGAGGGCCCCCTCCCAGCCCCCACACGCGTGCCACTGTGTTCGGAAAATGTCGTCCGGTGTGGAAGGTGTCTTTCTGGTTGCAATCCTTTGCTTGGTGGGCAGCAGCCACCAGCTCACTGTCGACCAAACGCTTCTCAAGCAGAACATCACAGCGGGGCAGAAGACACCCGTCACCATCAGAGTGACCAACGATGGCGGCAGCGAGGCCACCCTCGATATATCTCTCAAGGGCCTCAGGAGTGCGCCCCTATTTTGGCCAAAAGATAGCATCTGGACCGCGGAGGACTACGACAGCTATTGGAGCTGGTGGTATGCCTCGAACGAGAGCGACAAGGGCGTATGGGCCGAGGACAAAGGTCTGCTGGGCAAGAGATCTAGAGATCTGTGTCCACAATGCACACGGGACAAAGATTTGACACGTCATCCGTCCTGCTGTGCGTGCCGCAGAGGCGTGGCTGCCCAGTGGTGGACAGTTCCACAGCTTCGGGTTTCGCGAGAGTCCGGGCCTCTTCTCAGCTCGATATTTCCTGCCTGGCGGCTCGGCCGACTTCGTCGACCACTCGAAAGCATCCCCATGGGACGAACTCGCCTTTGCGCCGGCCCTGTCGTGGTCCGAGGGCGGGCCCTTCAGCAAGACCGGCATGAAGACTCTGCCGTTCTTCCCCATATCGGACGTGTCTCGCTTCTTCGGCACATTTCACGGGTGGAACTGGGTCGGCGGGGCCAACTGGAGATGGAGCGACATCTGGGGATGGGTACGCATCACCACACTATGCACAAAGGGAGGAAGACAGACAAGGGGGAGTGCATGGGCCCGAGTTGGATGGAACAATTGATGTTGTAGGGCTGGGTGGGCACTGCCCGCTGGTTCAATCCCGCATACTTCAGCTGGTGCGCACAAAGACCACATGCATGTGAAGGTGCCGTGGTGCTCGTGTAACCCTATTTGCCTATGCTTGTATGGATTACCAGGGGCTGGTTTGGCATGGCACGCTGGACCCCGTGGTACTACGAAGGGTAAGCCGCGATCAGGTATCAAATGCTTACGTCCGGGGTCGAATCTCTTGATTTCCTTACTCGCGCAGAGGCGCCATTTCAGGCCACGAGCGTTGGAATCCCCTACAGTATTGCGCGCACACATGCACACACACGCGGAAGACAGGCCGTGGCTGGACTCGCTTTCTTGTGTGTGATTGTGTCGGTTAGCGGCCATCCGGGTATCCAACGGTCATGGTACGCTAGATGCATGACAGAGAGGGTTGCATCCAGTTGCATGCCTCCCTTGCCTCGGACTCCTTCAGGGGCTACGTTGGCATTGCCCGCTGGAATCCCGACTGGGGCTGGACCGGCATTGCTAGAGCAGAGGAGAATCGGACCATTGAAGGTGGGTGGGCCGAGTGAAAGGCAGCTAGCCCTACTGCAGAGGCACGGATAACACCAGTTCTTGTCTGTGTCCGTGTTCTCTCTCCTCAAGACATCTCCCGCTGGAACCCGGGCTGGTAAATGTTGGCATGTGGCATCATACACGAGAAGGAGTGTTGATGAGGTATGTGTCTCTGTGTTGTCTTGTTTCAGGGGATGGGTCGGCATTGCGCGAGGATACAACCCTTACGAATACACCGGATTCGGGTGATGGACGCGCACCGCACATATACACACGTACATACATAGGCAATGAATGGATTGGCCTCCTCTTGTCCACGGTCTGGTTCAGGTGGGTGGGCAACGGCCGCTGGTCATTCGACGACTACTGGGGATGGGTGAGTGTACTGAAGAGCGAGAGGGATGGATGCGCTATTAGTATGAATGGATTTCACGGATGCGTCTGCTCGTATGTGTAGGGATGGGTTGCCAAGGGCCGCTGGGTGAGTCCTGCCTACCACGGCTGGTGAGCCAATCCAGAAAAGAAAAGGAGAGAAGGTTTGTCGCTGCTTTGCCCATTTTCTTGCCGTCTGTCTGTCTGTCTGTCTGGCGGCATATGAATGCACCAGGGGGTGGTTCGGCATTGCGAGATGGCACCCTGCTGCCTACGGTTGGGGATGGACGGGCATCGCCCGCTGGCTCGACAGCTACTTCGGGGTCCTGGGCCATGTGGGGCTAGGTCGCTGGAACAACTGGATGCCCATCGTAACCAACCTGCCTGCATGACTTGATGCCCCGCTATCACATATGTGTTGTGTGGTATGTGTGCAGGGCATCGCCCGGTGGGGCTGGATGTCGCCCGGTATTCAGCGGTGGGGCTGGGCGCCCCCCGGCATTCAGCGATGGGGTTGGATGTCCCCGGGCTTTCAACGGTGGGGCTGGGGGTCGCCCGGTATTCAGCGCATCTGGATGCCGGTCGGCATCCATCGCACCTGGGGATGGACGTCTCCTGGCATCCAGCGCAGCTTCTGGGGCTCTCCCGGCCTGCAGCGGTGGAGCGACTGGGGCTCTCCCGGCATCCAACGCTCCTGGGGTGACTGGGGGGCCCCCGGCATTCAGCGCTGGATGTCCGGTGGCATTCAGCGGTGGATGTCACCCGGCATCGCCCGCAGCACCGAGGGTGGCGAGGACGGCATGCTGCTGCCTCCCGGCTTCTCCCGATGGATGTCCGGTGGCATCCAGCGCTGGGGCTCCCCAGGCATCCAGCGCTGGAACTCCCCAGGCATCCAGCGATGCATCTCATGCGGCCTGTTCTACCAGGAAGAGGTCGCTGGCCGGCGTCTGGAGGCTGCTCCAGCTCCCCCAGCGACCGACGGAGGGTCCTACAGCCCAGCCGACCCCACAATGGAAATGTCCCCAACGGCCAGCACCTGGAAGGACGTCTCCTGGAAAATCGTGCCTATCGGATACTTCAGGTAAACACACAGATGTCATATGCGAAAGCGCCAGCGAGTAGCCGACCAAGGTATCAAACTGCGTGTGTCTTGTGTGGCAGCTACAACAACACGTTCTACCCATGGGGCGTCTACAAGAGCCAGGATGGCGTGTGGCACCCGTGGGGCTTCATCCGCTCCCGCGACGGCGCCATCAAGCCATGGGGCTTCGAGTACCAGAACCTCACCACACCCACCGCATCCAACTATGGCGGCGCCCGCTTCTGGGCCGTGTACGAGGGGCACGCAGAACCCATCGGATTCTTCAAGTAGGACACCACACCCTGCAATCATCATGGGTGATTGATCTTGCCTTCCTCAGGTCGTCCAACTGGCGCCCCAACTTCCACGACTGCGCCATCGGTGAGTTCCCTGCCTCAGCGCACCTCTCCAACTTCGACCTCAGTCTTTTTGAAACATCCGCGTGGCGCAAGAGGTCAGTTAACCACCCGGACAGCCAGCTGAGAGGGAACACGACATCACCACATGAGTGCAACATGGTTGCGTGTTGTGTCTGTGTTAGTGAGGTGACTCCTCGTGATCTGGGTATGAAGGCAGGTACGACGTGGGAGTCGTTGGTGGGTGCGGCCAAGGACCACGTGCTGCACAAGTGGAACATGGTCCTCCTCTCGTCATTCGACACTACTGCTATCAACGCCGCCACCCCCGACTTCTACTGGAAAAACATCACACCCCCACCGGTAGGTACGTGGGGATGGATGGAACATCAGTCAATCACCAGCCAGAGGTGTCTCGCTCTCTACCTCCCCTCTCTCCCTGTGTGTGCTTGCTTTGTGCAGGCTCGTCAGCTCAAGGCCAAGCAGGGTGGTGGTGGCTCCCGTCGGCTGTCGTATGTGGACTTCCCCTCTAGCACCCTTTTCCGAGTGTCAGGCGACTGGAACTACACGGAGGCAAAGGCCAATGAATACCTCATCCGTTCGGTCAAGGTGGACGACGACAACAAGATACTCGCCGTCACATTGGACACGGTCAGCAAGCCGGCAAGCCAAGGGGGAGCGTTCGCGACAAACACCCATATGCATTGTGTTGTATTCCTGTCTGTCTCTGTCGGAGTGTGCAGTCGAGTGCGTCATTGTTTGGCGAGTTGAATGCAACGGCTGGGTCTGCGTTGTTCAGCGAGATGGTCAACATGGGTTTCTTCACGACCTCCCCAGCCAACACACAGGAGTCCACCGCCGCCGCCTTTTCGCCCGTATTCACCGACCTCGACCTCTGGATGATCTCCAGAAACAGAGACGTCATCAACACAGAACTATTCAAGTAACAGGCCAACAACAACATGGCCAGCCCCATGTGATTCTGTGTGTTTGTATATCTTTGTTATGCCTCGTTGTCATTGGTGTCCATCCGTCGATCCGTGGATCGATCAGTGCGGACATATCGATGCTGTACAGCCTGGGTCTGTTCCACCTGAGCGACACCACTGGCACGGTCCCCTGGCTGCCCATGCCGCTGCCACTTTTCCTCACTGCCGATGACTTTGCCAAGCTGTCGAATGCACACGCTGCCATCGAGGCCGACATCCAGGAGTCACTCGACCTCAACAACGTCACCAACGCCACACAAACCGCCAGACGAGCACTCCAGGCCAAAGAAGAACACACGTCAGCAAGACATTCATGCCGAAGACATTCATGCCGTGCATTCCGACCTCTGTGTGTGTCGTTGGGTTGCTGCAGCACGTCTGCGGATAAGGCCGACCTGCCCGGTGGCAAAGGCGGCAAGTCGGGGCGTGAGCTGACTGGCACTCCCCCCAGCGGCAGCATCACCGCTCTGGGGCTGCCTCCCCGCATCCTGGTCGTCTACCACAACGCTACCGCTGCAGAGGCAGGCCGCAGACGACTCAGCGGGCTCACAGACATCGACGACAAACTCGGAGACGGTACCTGTGCACCTATGTAGATATGGATGGCCGCACGAAAGGCAGACAGCCAGGGAGGCAGGCAGGCGTGGACAAGAGTCAACATGTGCATTGCTCCCTCGCTCCCCGAGTCATATTCTGCGTGTGTGTGCTTAGCCATCAAGGAGCACCGGAAGATGAATCGTAGCCACGTGGACATTTTGGAGTTATATGTCGACCCGAGCAGTCCTGCCAACATCACCGAGTTCCAGAGGCATGTGGACGACATCTGCAGCGACGAGACTGTGGCGGCTTGCGAGGAGGACCAGGTGGTCAAGGCCACAGGCACAGTTCCCAATGACCCCTCCTTCGGCAACCAGTGGGGCATGATGTCCATCGGAGCCCCCGACGCATGGTCCGTCACAACTGGCTCGTCCGCCAAGCTGCCCAACGGCCCTGTCGTGGCCGTGCTCGACACGGGGGTCGACTACACCCATAACGACCTCAAGGACAACCTTTGGGTCAACCAGGCCGAGCTCAACGGACAAGCAGGCGTTGACGACGACGGTATGTTGGCAGGCAGGCAGGCACATACATCCAGCTACCATGCATGTATGTGTCGGGTACATGGGTGGGTGCGTGTGTGGGCTGGCAGGCAACGGCTACATTGATGACATCTACGGCTACGACTTCCGCAACCAGGATGGCGACCCCATGGATGACGCCGGACACGGAACACATGGTATAAAGGCGGACACACCATTTGCAGACAGACAGACAGACAGACAAACAGACAGACAGACACACCGACAGACAGACAGACAGACCGACAGACAGACAGACAGACCGACAGACAGACAGACAGAGCGACAGACAGACAGACAGACAGATAGACAGACAGACAGACAGACAGACAGAGCGACAGACAGACAGACAAACAGACAGACAGACAGACAGACAGGCTGGCAGATCAACCGGCCGATGGACGTCAATCGACTGTGGAGCCAGGGTCGCTGACAACACGCCTGTCTGTCTGTCTGTCTGTCTGTTCGTGTACATATGTGTTTCAGTTGCTGGTGTCATTGCCGCCAAGGGCAACAATGGAGCTGAAGTCAGCGGTGTTGCGTGGAATGCCCAGATCATGGCACTCAAGTTCCTTGCGGCTGACGGCAGTGGTACGTCATTAGTTGACTCAATCACTGATGCCCTCTGAGTGATGCTCTCTGCCTCTGTGTGGCCCATCTGTACATGCATGTATGTGTTTGTTAGGTCTGATGTCGGATGCGATCGAGGCCCTCGAGTATGCGGTGGACCACGGGGCGCACGTGACGAGCAACTCGTGGGGAGGAGTCCGATTCAGCGCCGCACTTTACAACGCCATTGTCGCAAACATGAAGGCCAACCAGCTATTCATCTGTGCCGCAGGCAGGCAACGAGACACACATCTACACAGGATGGATGCTCGCGTGATGATTCATGTACGTATACCATATCAGGCAACGAGGGTTACGACAACGACGCCATGCCCGACTTCCCGGCGACTTTCGGCATTCCCAACATGGTGACGGTTACGGCGCATGATGAGGAGGGCCACATCCCCTACTGGGCCTCGTACGGCAACGAGACCATCCACCTCGCAGCGCCCGGGGCCAACATCGTCTCCACCGTGCCAACCAGCCTATTCAATGAATCGTAAGCGACATGCACACTTGTGGTGATCCCTGAATGTGCGTGCTCATGTATTATTTATTCTATGTGGATGGATGGCACGTTTCTGAAGGCTGTACACGGCCAACGGCACATCGATGGCCGTGCCGCACGTGACGGGTGCTGTGGCGCTCATGTTGGCGGTCAATCCTGACCTCACGTGGGCCCAGCAGAAGGACGTCCTGTTGCAGAGTGGCACGCCCCTCTCTGAAAACGACACGTTCCTGACCGTCACCGAGAAGAGACTCAACGTCAGCAAGGCCCTGCAGGTAAGCCATCCACCAAATGACTGACTGTCTGTCCATGGTAGTGCAGAAGAGGTGGGTGTCCTGACATGTATGCATGAGTGCAGATGACGGCGGGTTTGACCAGCGCCGTGTCGTATCCGGCGACGGCCACAGTAGCAGCGGGCGCCACAGTCGATGTGACAGTCGAAGTCGACGCTGTAACTGCCGGCCAATACGGGTATGCATGTTTGGGACACATGCTGGCGTTGCAATGCACCCATCCATCCAGACACCTTTTTGCCGTATTGGCTTCATGTATGCAGGGCCACGCTGGACATCCAGAGCGGCGGCAGCGGTGTGACTTCTTCCCTGCGGCTGCTGGCGTTGGGCGGGTCGAGTTTGTCGCCGGCTCTGCCTCCGAGTCTGTCAGTGGGCAAGAGTGCTGTGCACGTGCCCAGCCCTGCTGTTGAGGTGCCCATAGCCAACAGTGGCCCCGGTGTCCTGGCCGTGCAAGTGCAAGACGTGACGGGAGACCATGCCAACGACTTTGAAGTGCTGCCCCCTAGGGGAATGATCGTCACCGTCTCGCCCAACCAGGAATCCCACCTTCTCAAGGTCAGACCTACCACACCCAGTGAGCTGACGTCTGCCTGTCCGTCTCTTTGTCTCTTCGTCTCTTTGTATGTGTTGTGTTGTGTTGGGTGGTTTGTTGTTTCTTTCATCAGGTCCGCTGCATCCCGTCCAAGAGCGGCACCCGCACGGCCACTCTGCACCTGGCGACCAACGAAGGCTCGCCCACCGGCCGGGAGGTTGCCACAAGCAAGACACTCACACTCACATGTGAGGGGGCCTCTTTCGGCGTATCCCCCGCCAGCATCCGGGAGCGCATCCCGTCAAACACAGCTAACACCTACAAAGTCAAGGTCAGTCAGCGTCACGACCATTACATTTCTTCCGCGATGCGCATGGGTCCCGCCGTTGGTCAGATATCTAATGAGGATACGGTCAAGGGCCTGATGTACAGCGCGCAGCTGGGGATGGACACTCAGATCCCCACCGCCCCCGACTACGTCATGACCACTGGTAGAAGCCGCTGAGACGAAGTAGTGAGATAAGGGAAACATATATGAGAATACTTGTCTTGTTCAGGTGACTTCTTCTGGTTCGAGAACAAGACGGCTGAGAACAAGCTCACGTTTGAATCTGGCGAGAGGGAGACGGAGGTGGCTCTGCCCTTCCCTGTCCCGTACTTCGGTGGCATCTACTCAACCATGAAGGTTTCACTCGACGGCTCAATCCTACTCGGCTACGACGGGGTCAGTAGACGCGCACTCATCTATCCACTTGGCGTCCATCCTCCGTGTGTGTGGCCGCATCGCATTGACTTGTTTGGTCAGGTGATCAACGGGTACGCATCGTCCGAGTTGTCGACGGCGGATGGCGTGTACGTGGAGGTCGATGAGCACGACGTGACGGTGCACTGGAGCGGCTTCAAGTACGCCGGGGCGGGGACCATCAACTTCCAGGTGGTGCTCGAGGAGAGCGGCCCCATCCACTTCTTGTACGAGAACGTCCATGGCATCACGCACGCCGACGCCTTCAACCCGCAGAGCGACAAGCACATCAAGGTCGGGCTCAAGAGCGCCACGACACACAAGGCCGTTTCGGCCACTTCGGCGTACCCCACCACGGGCACCGCTATCCACTACATGCCCATCTCAGCACACCACTGGATGACCATGGCCGGCACGCCCCACGGAATCATCCCGCCCAAGGGACAGACCGAACTCAGAATCAACGTCGCACACTTCCTCAAGGAAACCGACGGACTCCAGGGTACGCACCTCACCAACACACACATACACACATGAACCGCCAACATCCATCCATCAGGCTCATGTCACGTCCTCTCCCTCTCTGTCTCGCTTTCTGTCTGTCTGTCTGTCTGTCGGTCTGTCTGTCGGTCTGTCTGTCGGTCTGTCTGTCGGTCTGTCTCTCTGTTTGTTTGTTTCTCTGTGTCATTGTGTGCTGCATTGCATTCATTATCCGGACAGTGTGCTACACGGACCCCGATGCGTGCGATCTGTCGCGCACTTTGTGGTCGGGCGGCCAAGGCGTCCTGTACCTCAAGACCAACGACACCTTCATGAGACTGCCACTCGAATTCTCACCCCTCATGGAGACTGAGGGAGCTGAAATCACCACCGGGGGAGTCGACCTCACCACCGTAGAAGGCGAAAACCCTCTGCTGCAATTCGACAGGCACGCATCTGCAACACACTGTCCATGCATCACATTTTGTGCCGTGTCTTGGTGTGTGTGGCCACAGGTATTCGGAGAAGGAGTTGTTGGTGTCCGGCGACTTCCCCGTCTTCACCGTCAAGAAGGCCGCCTCATGCGCCCGCAAGTGTCTGGAGGAGACCAGCTGCAAGTCCTTTGACTATGAAGAGCTTGCCGCCTCGTGCAAGATGAGCCGATCGACTAAGGACGACGACCCCACCAAATTCGTCACGCCGACAGGCCGCTGGGTGGACCACTACGAAGTCAAGGCCGCTGCTGCGCGTCGCCTGTAGAAGAAGGCTGGCAAGGGCGCACAATAACAAGTTCTTAGATGTGTTTTAGCGGGTGTATGTTTGGGACTGATTGCTACATGTGCTTTCCGGGGGTTTTTGTGAGAGGTTAGGCTGCTTAGGAAAAGACAGCTCTAGTCCCGGTAATGTGTGGCGAACAAAGCCATAGTATGCCTTCGTTTGGGTGTTGGGTTTTCTGCTGTTTGTTTTTGATCCATCAGCAGCCACGCTTGAGCGCATATGTTACATATCCAGGCAGAGACTTTTGACGAAACGGTGTCTGATGCAATTTGCAACGATCGATCCCACTCACCGGTAGCATGCTACCAGTGAGTGCAGTTTCGCGCCTCCAGAAAAGTACATGGCTGTGGCCTGCCATGCATTGTCCCTCTTGCTGTAGGTGACGCCGAAGCCAGATTGCGCCGGTCAACAAAAGCAAGGACGCCTCTCATGTCTTCTTCTCCGGGGGGCCGCGACAGTACGAGCGACTGCATCTACGGTGTGTGTAGCACGTACGATGCATGTCGCCCACTCCAGCTGAAACAAGCGTGAGATATGCTGGAGACTGTTGTCGACTGACAGGGAGATTTTCACGTTGACAGACTCATTCGAGCGCGCAGAGTTACTTCAAGTTGATGCGTCGAAGAGCGAACGAATCAATCAATCATTCATTCATTCATCAATCGCACCGGCCGCGGCCGAGCCGAGCCAGTCGACGTCGTTCTGTCCTTTAGTCAGTCAGTCACTCATACCCATGGATCGATGCTACTAGCTATAAACCCAGCCAGGCATGATGGATATCATATCACTAGCTGTAGCTGGCTATATGCTATACACACACACACACACACACGACACACGCACACGCAGCCCCTCCCCTCCCTCCCTCCCTCCCTCCCAGCCGTGCACACAAAGCGACACGCACAGACACTTCCAGGTCTTGCACACAATCCGCTCATCAATGCATTGATTGTGTCCTTGCACACAAGCATGCATCGAAAGCGTGCCTATAAATGTCCGCCTAAAGGGGCGGACGGGCATCACATCAACCAACCAACACACGCACACACATCAATACACAGACAGATAGGGGAACGAATGATTCGTTAACACACAGCACGCACAGACATTCAGAGAGAGGAGGCAGGCATGACAGACAGAGACAAACATCCGTTCATATCATGTTGGTTACAAGTGTTGCAGGCAGCGTTGAATGCATCCACACACACACACACAGAGAGACACACACACACGTGGACACGCATATGCAGGGAATTCTGTCAGGCAATCAATGCGTATCTACGTACACGTGTGTACTGATGTGTATCGATCGATCTGTATCGATCGATCGATCTATTCATTCCTTCATTTCCTTAGGCTGTGTATCCAGTGGATGGCTGGTGGGGTGGGTAAAAAATATACCACATGGATGGACGGATGCATGCAGTACTGCACTCGACGGATGACACACACGACATGTACACATCTAGCTGTACACATACACACGTACCCACACAGAGACACAGACAGACAGACAGACAGACACGCAACACAGCACAACACAGCACAGCACAACACAACACCACAATAGCAGACAGAGAGTGCGGACGTACCATACACAACAAAATCTGCTCTTCCCCCTGTCCCTCACCCCCTCCCCATCTCCCAGCTGACTGCGGCCTACCTCCCCACTGACAAATCAATCCACCCATCCAGCTCTCACCTTGCCTGTCTGGAAAAGCTGTTTGCTGGCTCAATGAATAGATAAAAGACCACAGATGAAGCACACGAGGCAGCAGCCCGATGGCCCTCCCACCGTCTGTGTGCCCTTTCTGCTCAGCTCCTTCTCACTAAAATGCAACAAGTGCACCGTACCGGCAGGCAGGCAGGCAGGTAGGCAGGCATGAAGCCGGGAGGGCGAGAGCTCGGACGCACGAAAAACCCGATCCATGCGATGATGCAGATGCACAGATGACAAATCAATCAGCTGACTGCCCGCCTCTCTGACACACGCACGCACTGGTGGTCCAACACGAACGCACACTCCCTCTCTCTTTTCCCCGCTCACACAGGCTCATCCACCCATCAGTGCGAGTACGCACACACACAGACACACATGGCGGGCCGAGCCAGCACAGGCCACTTCTCACTCCCTATCTGTGTATATGTGTGTCGGTCAAGGCGGCTCAGCCAGTAAGTCAGTTCTCGTGCGTCAGGAAACGAAGCGTCGCCTCCAGACCTTCTTCGAAATAAAGAGAGAAGGCGTGCGAAGCACTGACCCACACACAGGCAGAAGAACACAGAGGGAGGGAGGTGAACGCTGCTATCGTGTGGCGTGGCGTGCTCATGTGCTCACTCTGGCACAACGAGCAGCTGGACGGCCTCCTCGTTGCTCTTGATGAAGCCCTGGATGGCCTGGGAGGCGAGCAGCCCGTCAGCACCAGCCAAAACTACCTGCACACACCACGCACACACGCACACATACACACACACACGCATGACACGCCGACAGAGCGAGTGTGTCGATGTCATGTGTCGGGCGGACCATGAGGTTATCCTTCAGGCGGAAGAGGTCGCCCCTGTCGATGTACTCGCACCCTGCACACACCGGAAAACTGCATACATCATTCTCGCTTCCCTCCCTCCATCCCTCACCTTGGAGCTGCCTGCCCGCCGTCCAGATGGTCCCGAACTCCTTGTAAGCGACCAGCCACATCATCCACAGCTGAAACCTGAATGAACAAATGATGAACAACAACATCAACCGACACACCGAGGTTCACCACCCAAACCAGACCGGCCACTTATCCTATCAATCTCATTTCTTCTCCCCGCCTCTCACCTTTCTCGGAAGAGCGTATTCGCCTTCTCCCCCATGGCCCTCAGCCGCTTCGATGCTCTCCGCTGACACCTGCGGCTTATGCCCATCTCCGCGTTGAACCCATCCGCCACCAGCCCGCACAAGTTGGGCGTGCTGGCATTGTGCTCGGAGGCGATCGTGTGTCTGCGGTTGGCGCGCTGGCGCAGCCCGGCAGGGTCGGGCGGCTGGAGGTGTGTGCTCTGGGGCGAGGATGTGGCGGACAAGTGGTAGGGTGAGGTGTCGCTGTCGTATCCGCAGGAGGCGTCGGTCGACATGGCGTCTTGATCGAGGAGGCGGCGCTTGATGGGGTGGATGCAGGGGAGGGAGCGGGCGGGGAGGATGGTAGCCGGCAGTGGCACCTCGCTGTGCACCTGTAGTGGGGTCAGCTGCGTCAGCTGGGCCTGCAAGAAACAAGACAACAATCAACAAGGCAGCCAGAAAGAGACCACGCTGATGTGTCTTATACCTTCTTGGTAAGCTGGGGGATGAAGCAGATGGGATCGAACAAGAGGGCCCTCCGGATGAGCCCCGGAAACCGCCGATGCAGCAGCGACACGACCCCTGTCCCATACGACTGGCAGAAGACATCCACCTGCGTGTCGATCTGCACCTGGGCGCCCTTGCCATGCCGCTGTGCCCACGCCGTCTCCATTCGGATGACGGCTTCGCTGCTGACGAGCTTCTCATGCTCAAGGAATGCCACCATCTCCTCGACGGACTGCATCATGGTGGGGCAGCGGGCGAGGTCGAAGTCGCCGTGGGGGTAGAGGCCGATCCACTGCATCTCGACAAAGACCATCGGGCGCAGCGGCGATGGGGCCTCACGCTTCTTGAAGAAGATGCCCCAGCTGATCCACTGGCAGAGGGGCGACGACCGGAACCACAGCGACATCAGCAGAGGAAAGTAGTATAACATTCCCAGCCCGAAACCTGTCAAAAAGTCGGACACCGTCAGGAACGCCGCTCTCGCTGCCGGTTGGTCTCGCCATCTTGCTTACCGTGCACGCGCAGTAGAGGCGGGGGGTCCATCCTCTTGCCGGCGGCCTTGTCGGCGGCTGACCGCGGGTCGGAGACGAAATACTCCATCATGTAGTCGCCACGAGGAGGATGGAACGTCCATCCGACAGCCTGCAGCACCAGACGGCACGTCAGGCTCACCAGACGTACCACAAGCACCAGCACCAGAGGGCGGTAGAAGGCCTCCATCCGAGTCTCACCGTAGCTGGGCCATCAGACAAAGAGACAGACCGACAAGTGAGCGAGGCAGGTCCTTGCGTATGTGTGTGTGGCCATCCATGTGTGTACCGTACCGGATGCCGTGTGTGCGGGGGCAGTAGTTTTGTGGCGTGACATCGGGGATCTCCCGCACGTGGTCGGGGAACTTGAAGCCCAGCTTGGCCTCCAACACCGGGATGATGTCCTTGGTGTGCTTGATGTCGCGCGGGGTGTGGCAATCGAACCAATCCACCAACTGCTGCACCGATATGGTCTCCGGCGCTTGGCCAAAAAACGCGTAGAAGAAAGAACTACACACGCACGCAGAGAGAGGGACATGAGTGAGGGAAGATCTGACACAAGACGGCACCGTGAGTCGCCGCACCTGTAGAGGTCCTCAGGCGGCTGGTCGAGCAGTTGTTTCTCCAGGTATGGCCTGAAGTGTTCGTCCAGGTGGGGGGAGCGGTAGTGCTCCATCTCCTGCAGATCTCTCCGCCGCTGGCGGAACCGCAGGTACGCCCGCACATCGAGCGCCAGGTAGACGCCGACAAGCACGAGGGTCGAGCCAGGGATGAACAGGGCCGCCACAAGGCCGCCCACAGCACACCCCAGCGCCAACACAGCGAGAAGGAGCTTCAGGGAGGGCAGGAGGTGATTCCACAGCTTCCACGAGGCCTTGGCCTCGGTAACGGCCTCGTCGAAGGTCCGCAGGCGCTCGCACACGTGGCACATCTTCCTTGGTTGGTCCAATTGGGTTGGTCAACGCAGCAGGAGGTCAGAGGGAAGCCAGCGGATCATCCCGCGCGGGATGCGATGCTGCTGGGTGTGGATAAGGGAGGCGAGCGATGCTGCAGGTCAGCCATACCCATCTGCTGGTCCTCGAACGCCAGCAGCTGCATCGGCGGCTGTCCGTTGCGCACTTGTCGCAGCCCCGCCTGTGTGCTGAGGAAGTGGGTGAGCCGCTGCAGCAGCTGATTCGCTTCGAAGGCATCTCTGAGCCACGTGCACGTTGCTCTGAGCCGCACGATGTCCTAGATCTTGAGGAGTTTGAAGCTGCGGCGGACGGCCCGATCGTTGACCCATAGGTACCAGACGGGGTGCTGCTGCTGCCCTCGCTGCTGCGTTGCTGGCTGCGTGGCCTGCCCATGGGGAAATTCACGGCCTTCGCCGCGAATCAGCGTTGACGGCTGCCTTGGCGGCTGCGACGGGATGAATCACAGCAGGGGAAAAGGCGGCGGGGAGAGGCGATGGGTCGGAAAGGAGATGAGCGCCTCCAAGGGAAGAGCGGTTCCAAGGGAAGATCTGCGAGCTCAAAGCCAACTCAAAGCTCGCATCTCTTCCAAGCGGAGGAAACGATTCCACATAGCCTCTGGGCGTCGCATAGACCGTAGAGGGTGTACTGGAGCCCGGAGGCCCACCCTTTGCTGACGAGCTGTCTGTGTCGCAACCTCGTCGAATTGACGCTAGCCAAAACGGGACGCCATCTCGCCGTTCTTTCCACGTCAACAGCTTCACAAGGGGCGGTTTAATCGGTGTTGTCGCGCCAGGGGGGGATTCCATTCGGTGCTTGCGGAGATTGGGGCATGAGTGTGGATCGAGCATCTGTCGGCATTTGCCCAAGTCTACCGGTCTCATAAGGTGGGCTGGATGGGTGCATTGAATGCAGAACAGGGGTGCATGTCGGGGCAGATAATGTCTCTGGCCTCGTGGTAGTGTGCCTGTCAGCGAGATGTGTCGATTGTTCCCATGATTGGACGGCCATTTCTGCCTGTAGACAAGCTGTGATGCACTGCCGATAAGGCGGGCGTGTGCAGGCAGGCCAGACAGTGTAGATCAGTGCATGTAGGGAGGGTTTGTGTCCGCATCGGGGTCCACACGTGTGAATGGGTTCTCTCTCTCTTCTGTGTGTGTGATGTTGCAGGTGTGTGATCAGCTAGCTGATGGATCCACCAGTGGAGATTGGCGCTCCGTCGCTGCCCGAGGCGGTAGCCCCCGCCCCCAACGGCGACGTGGCCGCAGTCAAGGACGTTGACGTGCCGATGAAGGCTCCCGCCGCTTGCTCCCCTCCTCCCTGTGACGTCGACCCATCCAATCGCTCCTGCGTCAACTCTGACCCGAGTGGCGCCCCATCGTCACCCTCACCCCTACCCAACCACGTGCAGGACAATGCCGCAGCAGCAGCGGAGGCGCCTCTCCCTGCTGACGTGCCTTCGGTGCCTTCATTGCCTCCTCCACCTCCAAAGGACAGCAATGGAGTTGCGCCACCAGCGTCGGCCGCGGAAGAGGCGGCCATGTACATCAACCCTCCCCCCCCGCCCCCTCCGCCAGTCAAGGTGCGCCCCCCGGCCGCCAAGAGCACATTTCCGCCGGTCGGCAGCCGGTCCAAGGCTCACACACCCAGGACCAAGACAACACCCCGAGCCAAGTCTGGGGGGCCGCACCGGGCCAAGGAGGGCCGAGCCAGCGGGGGTGGGGTCGGCCGCCAGGGCAATTTCGGCACGGGCTTGGGCGGAGGTGTGCAGCATCTGTTTGACTTCCTGTACCCCAACGCGCCATCGGTGGACGGCACCGTGAGGCGTGCTGACGATGACGTACAGCCGCAGCCCAAGGGCGGCGTCAAGCGCAAGGAGAAGATCGGGGGCAGGAGGGGAGCGGTCAAGAAGGGGCAGCAGGTCACAGCATCGTTCGACAAAAACGAGAATCGCAAATTCACGTAAGCCCGCTGGGATGGAGAGAGAGAGAGGGGGGGGGGGAGACCAGCCGGACACGCGAGAAGCACGAAATGTGTGTCCATGTGTGTATCTGCAGTGAGAAGTTGATTCAGGGATCTGACGATGTGACGCCCGCCGACTTCGGCACACCTGCGCCGCCTCTCGAAACAATAGACACTGCCGAGAAGGTACGGAACGGCACGCAGACGACCCACTCCACACTCACAGACAACCATTCTCACTTCTGCGTCCGTCCGTCCGTCCATCAGTTCTGGGAGTTGAGTGAGCGTGACCACTGGCCGCTTGACAAGCGGTGGCTCGACTTCCTCGACATCGAGCCACACGTGGCCAAATACGTGGAGCGTACCAACCAGACCGACGCCTTTATCAACAGGAAACCTCCCCCGGCCCCATCCAGCAGCGCCGCAGCGGCAGCAGGAGCAGCCGGGAGCGACGCCGGCAGCACCAGCATGCAGATCGACGGCCTTGACGGCATCTCGATAGTGCCGCACGAGGCGTCGCAGGCCACGGGGCGTGCGGCCACCGAGCCGCTGCTCAAGGGCCAGTTCACCGGCCCCCACTACTCATGGCAGTGGGCGCTGGACGATCTCATCGACTTCGACGCCATACGCGAGATGCGGGAGAAGAAACTCGGTCAGGGCAACGCGAACACACTTACAGAGGGAGGGCATTCACACATGTTTGCCCGCTTGTGTGCTTCAGGCGCAGCGTTCGAGACGCCCCCCGTGCCAGCGTCGGCCAACCAGGCGAGCGGGCTCACCGACGCGCAGCTTATCCGCCTGCAGTACACCACTGACCCCGAGTTCATGAGTAAGCCACGGCAGACAGACAGACAGACACCCAGGCGCTTAGTGGTCGACCGAGACGTGTGTGCTCGGTGTGTGTGTGTGTGTGTCAGGTATGGATTTGGGTGAGGCGTTTGTGCAGCCGCGGTCGGACAAGCGGTCGTTCAAGCAGCGGGAGCGAGAGAAGATGCGGGAGTACCAGCGGCAACAGGAGGACTTCAAAACCTACCAGGTAGTGCTCCACACACCCACACCCACACCAACGTGGCGCATTCTATGCGCATCCATCCATCCATCGCGTATTTGTGTGTTCCTCTCTCAGCGTGAGTTGTCTGCGAGCAATCCGCCCACCCCTCCACAGGCCCTGCCCAGCCCGGATCGCAGCCTAAGGGAGCGGGAGGCATCCGACGACCCGCCCTCTCAGCCCGCCGCCAGCGTACCATCGCCATCACAGGAAGGCGGCACTTCCACAGGCGGCGGCGGCGGGGGCGGCGGCGGCGGCGGCGGGGGCGGGGGCGGCGGGGGCGGCAGGAGGAAAAAGGAGGCCAACTTCATCACATACGAGGAGGAGATACAGGTACGTGCTTGCAGCGGAAGATGGGCTGGCTCATGGATGATTCGATCTGTGCGCGTCATGTTTTTTCTTCAGTGCCTGCTGCCCCAGTTTCGCCGCATGTTGGAGGAGAACGACCGCACACTGACCCACCTGAGGACCGAGATCGCAAGCCGGCTGGGCGAGGAGGAGGAGAGGCGGAAGAAGAGACGGGAGGGCAACACCGTCACCCTCGACGTGCTCAAGAGTACGCTCGCGACACCCACCCCCCCACCCCCCCACAACACTGGATGGAGGCACATATTTGTCCCTGTTGCTCTCGTTCGTTCATTTGGTGGGCTGCAGAGATAGTGGATCGTTTGACCTTTGAGCAGCTGTGTGACTCTGTCGAGGAGCTGCTGGCCTTTGACAAGAGCCGCGGCGAGTATTTGGTGTCGTTTGACGACGGCGACAACGTGCACGTCGAGTGGGTCCCCAAGGCCGTCCTCTATCGCCTTCTTTGGGAGCGGGTGCCCAACACTGAGTCCAAATACTATGGTGCGGCCACCATTGACAAGTACATCTTCTCCAACCGAAACCCACCCAAAGCCCTCCCCCCACCGCTAAACCTACCTCCCGAGGCCTCTCTCCCCGCCCCACCACTGCGATCGGCATCCGCCAGCTCTGCGGCCGCTGCTGCAGCCACGGCAGATGCGTCACAGCAACAGCAGCAGCAGGCCGCGGCAGCGGCTGCTGCGGTGGTGAGTGGCGTTGCTTCGCCCAAGTCCAAGGCAAAGGCCAAGGCCAAGAACAAAGCCAAGGCGGCGGCAACGGCCAAGGCGGGCAACGCGGGCTTCCCGAGGGTCAGTGGGCCGTTCTGCCACTACTGTCGATGCAAGCTGACTGAGGACGGCAAGAGGCGGGCCATGTCGGTGTGCTTCAGCAAGCTGCGGCAGGGCGGCGTCGGCATCGCATCATCTGCAGCCACGGGGCCGCCCGGCCGCCACCCCGAGTACATCAACCGCTTGACCGACGAGACTCAGGTGCTGCAGGACTACAGCGAGCGGGTGAGGGAGAACCTGCCCCCGCCGCCCGTCTACGATGTCGTCCCAGAGACGCCCACCCGCGCCGCTGCTGCCAAGACGACCCCTCATCAGGCGCCCGCTGTGCCCCTGCTACCCCTGCAGGCCAAGGCCCCTCCCCCTCCCGCCCCCATCAGCCCATCGCCAAAGCCAAAGGCAAAGGTCGGGCCGGTCGGCGTCGTCCGCAGCACCTCCTTCTCACCCAAGGGAGAGGCAACCGACAAGGAGGCCAGTCAACACAAGGAGGAGGAGGAGCAGCAGCAAGATGCAGCGCAGCCGCCACCGTCAGCTGCTGAGGTGGTGGCCATCAAGGCCCCTCCTTCCGTGCCACCGGCATTGCTTGAGATGCAGCAAGTGTCACTCAAGGTCGAGGAGGAGCCAGGCCCTCGCGACTCAGGTTCTGTGACGGCCTGGGCTCAGCAGCCGCAACAAGAGGAGAGCAGTGCAGCTGGCGCACCACTTGTTTCTCCTCCAGAGGCGGCCCCCGCAGCCCCGGTGCCGTCTATTCGCCTCTTGCCCCCCTCCGAAGCACCTGACGCACCTCCCCCCGCGGCTGCTACTGAGGTGGCGACCGACCCGCCAGCTGCAGCAGACGATCCTGCGTCGAGGGGTGAGGAGAAGGAGTGCGATGGCGGCGACGCGATGCAGGTGGATTCGGTCGTCAAAGAGGAGCCGGCCGAGCAGGACGACGACCCGCCAGCGATGGACCCGCCCGCCCCTGCGGGAAGAGGCAACACTGGCAAGAATCGTGGCGGGCGTCCGAGGAAGACACAGAGCGCCGCATCATCCACCCCCCGTCAGCGGGGCGCCATGATCGAGATCAAGATTGAGCCCATGGAGACTCGTGGGGCTCGCCGCAAGGCCGAGGAGGCCGCAGCTGCTGAGAGGGGCAGGAGCAGAGGCGGGGGTTCCCGTGGCGGCAGGGGGCGAGGGGCATCCAGCGCCTCTCGTGGCGGCAGGGGCACCAAGCGGAAGCGGGACACCAGTGCAGCACCTGAGGAACCTGAAGAGAGCGCCACGGATGCTGCGGGAGAGGCCAAGCCTGCTGCTGATGAGCAGCAGCAGCAGCCTGATGACCCCCCTGTGGAGGACCCCAAGCCACCGCCGAAGAAGAAGAAGGCCAAGGCAGCACCCACGCCACCCCCCGACGCAGATGATCCCCAGGAGGGCGAGCAGTCGGGCCGCTCCACTGGCCGCAGCAAGAGAGGCCAGCCTCCGTCGAGCGAGCCGGCCAGCGAGGCACCTGCGCCCAAAGCCAAGGCGGGAGCCAAGACCAAGGCCAAGGCGCGGGCCAAGAAGGGCGCGGCGGCCGCAGCGGCCGCAGCGAGCGCTGCCGATGAGGAGGATGAGGGCGGCAAGACACGCGGCAAGAAGGGCGGCAGGAGAAAAACCAAAGATGACACGGCAGAGGCGGCAGAGTCTGAGCCACCGCAACCGGCTCCAAAGAGCAAGACCGAGAAGGGCAAGAAGGCTGCAGGGGCAGAAGCGGAGCCTCCAAGTGATGCCCCCGACACCTCTGCGGCTGAGGCAGCGCCCAAGAAGAAGGCCCGACAAACCAATCGCAAGAAGAAGGCGGCCGACGCTGAGGAGCAGGCGGCCCCCGACGAGGCGCAGGTGGCCACCGAGGCAGAGGGTGAGGCCAAGCCATCTGAGCCCGCTGAGGACAAGGAAGAGGAGCACCCGACCGGCAGGGGCTCCCGGAGGCTCCGGTCAAGGAAGTACGAGAGTGACGCCACCCCGGCACCCAAACCAAAGGCCAAGGCCAAGCCGAAGACCAAGGGTGGCCGCAGAAAGACCAAAAAGGGCGAAGCCGCTGCAGAGGCAGAGGACACCGACGAGCAGCCTCCCACCGACGCGGCAGACAAGCCAGCGGAGGACGAGAAGCCGCCAGAGGACGACAAGCCGGCGGAGGACGTGGTGAAGCCCCCCACTTCATCCAAGAAGGGCAAGAAAGACACCAAGTCGCGGAAGAAGGCCAAGCTCGCACCAGAGGCCGCAGAGGACGAGCCGCCTGAGGCACCTCCTGCCGAGGATGGCGACAGCGATGAGGACCTGCTCATCCGCTCCAAGCGCAAGGACGGGTCGCTGCCGCCCACCCCTCCCCCCGGCCGTGCCCATCCCCCACAAGCCAAGAGCCCCCACTCGTCCAGACCACCTGAGGATGAGGCCATGCCGCCCGCTCAGCAAGAGGAACCGTCTGCACCAGCAGCAGCGGCGGTGGTGGGAGGCGAGGGAGAGGAGGAGGGAGCTGCGGAGGCAGACAAGGGCGATGGCGATGAGGTCATGGCCACTGACGACAAGGATGATGGCGATCATGACCAGCAGGGTCCCTCAGAAGCACCAGCAGCAGCGGCAGCGGCTGCTGAGTCAGAGGACACGAATGAGGAGATGGGTGATGCGTCCGGGGCAGCGAAGGAGGAGGAAGGCGCTGACGCCACCATGAGGGAGACGGACGAGGTTGAGCGGACAGATGGCGACGCCAACCCTCCTGGCGATACGGACATGCCGCCCCCACCCCCCGCTGTCCCTCCATTGCCCCCCTCCCCTGATGCGCAAGACGAGGCGCCCCGACCTCATCCTCCTCTCCCTCCGCTTCCCCCCGTGCCGTCGTTCGATGACACCGACGAGCAGCGACCGGCCGATCAGACCGAGGCCGCTGCAGCCGATGCCGATGAGCGCGAGGCTGGGCAAGGCGCCACCGACCAAGCGAGAGAGGAGGGGGGGAAGGCAGCGGACGAGGCTGTGGCCGACAAACTTGCTGAGGAGGTGGTGCATGCAGACGAGGGCGAGGGGGACAGTGAAAAGAATGCCGACCAGCAACAGCAGCAGCAGGACGGGAGCACGGCCATCGCAGCGGCTGCCGCTGCCGCTGCCGGCCAATCCCCGGATGTCGAGATAGGCGAGAGGAGTGAGGTTGCTCCGATCGACGATGACAAGATCGCAGCTGGACCGCCGCCAGAGCAACAGCCGGAAGAACAGGACAAGGCCGGTGAGAGCAGGAGAGAAGAGGAGAGGCCAGCTGAGGTGGGCGACGACAGCGACCAGCGACAGCAGGAGGGTGTTGGAGAGCAACGAGAGCCGACGGATGAGACGGGGGCGGACAAGGAGTCAGAACAGGAAGAGCCCAAGGCAGCCGACGAGCCACAGCCTCCAGCAGAGACTCCCGCGGACCCTGCGGCTGATGCAGACGTGACCATGGAGGAGAACCCATCCGATGAGCCGCCTGCTGCTGCCCCACAGGACATCCCGCCCGACGAAAAGCCGCCTGCGCCCTCTGAGACAGACAGCAGGATGGATGCAGCTGAAGAAGCCGACGAGAATCAGCCCCCCGCTGAGCCCGAGGCCAACATCGAGAAGCAGCCGATACCTCCCGAGGTGGTGGACGAGAAGCTCTCTCTGCCTCTCCCTCTCCCTCTCCCCGAGCCCGACGAGAAGCCCGCTGGTCCGCCTGACGCTGAAATGAAGCCATCCGCTACCCCTGCCCCAGAGGCAGCAGCTGCGGCGGCGGCTGAAGCTGCTGCTGGGGCGGAACCACCTGCACACGTTGAAGAGGCGCCAGCGCAAGATGAAAACGAGCAGCCGTCGGTCAAGGTGGAGGAGACGGAGCCGCCGCTTTTCCTGCCCCACCCACCGCCCCCGCGGTCGCCCCCCAAGCGAGGCGGCCGGAGGAGGTCAAGTAGGAGCCCCAAGGCGTCAGGGCCGCCCTCACCCGCCAAGAAGACTGCCGGCTCGCCCAAGAAGGCGCACACGCCCTCTCCCGCTCGCAAAACCTCACCCACGTCGCCCAAGCGGCTGCTCCCTCTCCCCCCGCCCATCCTCAGCCCAGACGTCCCTGGGATGAGCGAGGCCGAGCGGCAGGCCATCCTCGATGAGTTCGAGGCCACCCAATGGACCAAGCCCCAGCACGACCCGCTCGAGCACGTCAAGAACCGATACTACGAGGTGCACGCCGACCGCACAGCACGAGCCGAGTCGATGAACGCCCCGTTGCCGCCGCCTCTCGCCAGCCCCAAGGGGCGCGGGCGCGGTGGGTCGCCGTCGACCGGCTTGCGGCTGCCGGGCGACGCGGTGAACAGGAAGAAAGCTGCTGGAGGGGGGAGGGGCAGCCCGCCGGCCAGGGCGTATCAGTATGGCTTGGCGCCAGGGCAGGGGAGGGCGATGGGGTACAGCTACGGGGAGCTGCCGGAGCGCAATTCGCCTTCGCACCAGGAGAGGGTTTCCCGGTTCCTCAATACCAACATGCCAACCAACAAACTCATGCAGAAGACTGCAAGCCTCGACAAGGTGAGTGGGTCAACGAATCAGCGAGGGGCGATGGTAGGGTGGTCATCTGTTCACCTATGCATCTCATCTATGTGTGTGTGTGTGTGCGTGTGGTTGCTTTGCCCTCTGTGTGATATCATGTTAGTTCTATGGCGGCACGTCGAATCTTGCCCAGGCGGGGTGCTACTGCTGGCGGATGTTCTGCTCCGAATGCCTCAACCACAACTTCGGGGGCTACTCTGAGAACAGAGGACAAACGTGAGTACACACACGCCACAAATGCGCCAACCAACCAACCAACCAACCAGCTGTCTGTCACTTGTTTATTTGTCCCTCCCTGTGTGGGTGCCTCCCACCGCTGCTTGTGTCAGTGCTAGCCGCCAATGGATCTGCCCCTACTGCAACCGCATCTGCACCTGCGAGCGGTGCCACCGCAACGCGCAGATATCAAAGGTCGTCAAGTACTACGCCATGCAGGGCGGCACCGACCTCCTTCCCCTGCGACGGGTGAGTGGCACTCACTCAGGGCAGCGTAGCACACACATCCAATCGGATTGAATGTATGTGTGTGTGTGTGTGTGTTCATTTGTCAGCGAGCTGGTCGTGAGGTCCTGTGGATGGATTTCGAGAGCCTGTACGCCGCGCCGTACCTCGTGGCGGCGCTGCACCAGAGCAACTACACCGACAAGCAGATCAACGCACGGTTCCCCGGACAGAACAGCTACCTCCTCAACCCAAAACTCGTCCTCGATGCTGCAGGTATGCACACACGCGACACAACACAACACAACACGGGACGAACAAACACATGCATGCCCACACAATCACGCGTTGCCCTTGTGTAGGTGCGACTCACGCGAGCGTCCGCACCACCAAGGCGGCCGCTCCCTCCATTCTGCCTCCAACGGCTGGTGCAGGCAGAGGGGCACTCATCCCGCCTCCTGGTGTGGGCCTGGCGCCACCCGTGGCGAGGGAGAGCACACCCGCTTCCGGAGGACGAGGGGCGCGGGGCCGGGGTGCCCGCGGGGGTGCCAGAGCGGCGAAGGCGGGACAGCCACGGAGAACAACTGCAGGTGAGGCGAGGGCTCGCAGCAGAGGGACAATCAATTCCTTCTTCCATGTGTGTTGGTGTTTTGTGCCCATTAGGTCGTCGTGCTGCGCGTTCCTCTGATGAATTCACCGAAGAGGAGTCGGTGGAGTCGCAGGGAGAAGAGTCATCCGACTGTAAGCTGCCACACACGGACCCACGCAGTCACACAGCCCCTCATGCCAGCCACACAACTGCTGTTGCTGTGCTCTCGCTGTCTCCTCAGACTCTGTCGAGTCAGACTCATCGGCGAGCTCCGGCTTCAGCGATCGCGGCAGCATCTCGGCCTCCCAGTCCACCGACGGCCTCACGCGCAAGAAGTACAAGACGGAATCCCGCAGCAGACGGGCTCACCCCTGGGCCGGCTTCAACAGCACCAGCGCACAGCGGCACCCCCACTTCGGCAAAGACAACCCCTACTTCAATGGCATCCCAATCGGCGGCATGGGCAAGGGCGTCAGTCTCGGGCAGATGTCGCCAGAGGAGCGGCTGAGGCGCGTGCAGATGAGCCGCAGCAGCAAGGGCATGGGTGTCGGTGTCGGTGTGGGCGACGAGCAGTACCAGAACATCGATGCGCTGCTCAAGCAGGTCGACACGCGGCGAGCAGGGGCGGCGGGCAGCTCGGGTGCACACAACCACATGTGGAACGACAAGTGGCGCGACAACCCATGGGCCAACCCGCCGGCCGGGGGAAGCATTCCCGAGTTCCGCGACGGCCGTCGCCATGTGATCAACTACCCCGACCACCGACGAGAGTTCCCTGACCTCAAGAGCGAGGGGCTGCGGAAACTCGCCGAAGACACAACACGGTCAGTCACTTTGACGACATCACACGCTTATGAACTCATTTGTCTTCGTTGTCGCGGCATTCATTCATTCAGGGCGCGTGACTTGGTCAAGAAGGCGTCGAACCAGCTGTTCCTTCTCGCCGGCCGCATCAAGAAGCTCCGCACCGAAGACAAAGCCCTCAACACCTTCTACTTCCACCTCAACGAGCACCGCAAGAAGCACCCCTTCCCACCACCGCCGCTGCCCAGGAAGTCCCCCAAGGACGAGCAGCCGCTCGAAGAGGAGGAAGACCCCCTGGTGGCCGAGCTGCAGAAGAAACTGGAGCAGGGCAATGGGGCCGAGGGGGCGGCGTCGGAGGGTCAGAATGAGCCCAAGGGCATGTGTCAGCTGGGGCTGGTGGAGCCCAAGGAGGAGACCGAGGGCGACAAGAAAGAGGAGGACACTAACGAGGAGAGAGCGGCCCTGTTGAGGCTCGTCCAGCAGGTACGAACGAGGGATGGACCCACCCATTTATATACGATCATCACATCACATCATCACTGTGTGTCTTGGATTCCCTCAGCAATCGGCCCTGTGGCGGCAGGCGATGGATCGCTTCGCGTGCTATGACTTCCAGGAGTATGACCGCGACCACTGCTCGCGACAGAAGAGGACCCTCTCCCTCGAGCCCGCCCCCATCCCACCACTCAACGGCACCACCAAGCAGGAGCCGGACGGCAAGCGGACACACATCTCTGACGTCGAAATGCATCCGATCGGCGACACATCCAAGAGGGCGGGCGGAGGTGCGAGTACCGGCCACGGGACGTCGCACCTCGAGCTGGTGGAGAAGCTGATGCGGGGTAGGTTCAGCCGCCCTCAAGACGCGCACAGCTTCCGTGCGGTGAGTCCCTCGCCCCCTCCCCCGTCCCTTGCAGGCCAGCCAGACGAGATGCGGCGCGAGAGTGAGGCCAGCAGTGTCCTCGAACAGCGGAGAGGGACCAAGAGATCTGCCACAGACGTCCTGGCGCCTCTGCCCAACGGCCCATCGGCCGACAAGCAGCAGCGCTCGCCGCAGTCCGACGGTTCTGTGGTCAAGAAGCAGCGGCTGGTGACACAGCACTCTGAGATCGCCTTTGGATCGCCCCTCACACACCGGAGACACCCCCCGCCCATTATCACAACTACTGGTGCGTCGGACCTGCTTGCCACTCTCCACACGCAGCCGGCCATCCACCCGATGTTCCCGCAACTGCGCACATCCCCGCAGCCGTCGGCGGGGCGGGTCAGGCCCATCCTGCCGGCCGGAGAGTCGGTCCGATGCCCACTCCCGCGCGCTTCCTCGCCCACCCTGCACCTCTACGGAGGAGGGAGGGGTGGTGGGGGTGGGTCGCAGCCACAGCCATCGGCCTCTGCTGCTGCTGCGGCGGCTGCTGCTGTGGGTGGAGGTGGGAGGTTTGCGTACGTGCCGCACCCACAGCCGCCGTACATGCATCCCTCTTACGGCTCGCCGGACTTCCTGGCGTGTCTGCAGCAGGTCCGGGGGCTGGCCGGCTCACCGCAGCAGCAGGGGCAGCAGTGGAGGGCCATGCCGGGGGGGATGCAGCAGCACAGATACGGGGCGCAGCAACACATTATTGGTACGCCACACACACACAGATGCACCCACCCCTTCACACCGGAGAGATTCCTCACGTGGATGTCTTCTCTTGTCTCCTCTCCTGTGCGTGTGGATGTGTTTCCCCAGACCGTTCGTCGCAGTCGCCTCTTCCCTTTGTGACCGTTCCATCGAGCCCCGGCCGCCCACCCACCCCCTCCCCACCCCCTCCGGCTCCCCTCTCCAGCCGACCCCCTTCACGGCCACCAAGGCCGTCATCGCAAGCGTCATCGCCCTCCCAGGGCAGCCCTGGAGCCACCCGTCCAGCAGCAAACACCAGAACCGGCAGCCCTGCTGCCCAGGCAGCCCGGCCGTCTGCGCCGGGGTCTTCTGCTTTGATGGCTGGTCTTGCTGCTGCTGGTGCTCATGGTGTGCCAGGCGTTGGCGGCTCGCGGCTGCTGTCTGCTAGTGAAGTGACAAGAGGCCATCCTTTCGACGATCCTCTCGGCTTCCACTTCGCGAAGAGCGTTGTAGGTGCGTACAGACTGAACCCTCGTCGTTGGAAGAAGGATTTCACACACCCATTCACTCATTCCATCTCTCTCTCTCTCTGAATGTGTGTGTGTGTGTGTGTGCGGTGTGCAGGTTTGCAGATGACTGAAAAAACCTCGCCCGAGTTCCCAGGCGTCGTGATCATCACACCCTGGAGCGACACTCCCCAAGCCGATGCTGCCCCACCCGCAGAGGCCAAGGACGGACACACCACCGCACCACAGAACCAGCAGCAGGCGCAGGCGGCTGCAGCGACCACCCACCAGCAGAATCAGCAGCAGGGGCCGGCGGCTGCGGAGACCACCCAGCAGCAGCAGCAGCAGCAGCGGCAGCAGGAGGGCAATACGGGCAAGGACACCGACGACAGAGAAAGAGGAGGGGGCGATCAGGTGAGCCCAGACAGGCAGACAGGGATCCTGTACCGAGCACGCCGAGAAAGCGGGCGGTATCTGTGTGTGTGTGTGTCTGTCTGTCTGTGTGTGTGTGTGTGGTCAGGGCAAGTCACCAGAGCCGGAGGAGATGTCGATTGAAGAGTGAATGAGTGCGTCAGTGAGTGAGGGGTATCCAGCAATCGATCGATCTCGATCGATGGATTGACGGATGGATTGAGAGAGAGACATGTAGTGCGTAAAGGGTACATCCAGTCCAGTAGCTACTGCCTGCAGTCAGCTCAGGCATCTATCTCATCTGGCTAGCGTCATCTACTACAGGGATTTCAACCGTACCGACCTTGGCAGACAGACACACACACACACACACACAGCTACAGCTATTTTTGACGGACGGTGGATGCGGGATGGACGCAGCTCAAGCGTACATACGTACACAAGTACGTAGAAGAGCCAAGGGAGGAGGGAGGAAGAGGGATTGGCTAGCTTGCTGGGTTGGTTAACACATGCACACACACATCCACATACCTCTCACCATCTTATACCACGCGTCGGGACATACCAGGTGGTTTTTCTGTGTTGGTTGGTGTCTTATTGGTCGGTTGGTCGGTTGGTTTGTTGATGGGTTCGGTCCACCCCCACACACACATACTTAGCATTCCGGAATGCAGGCCTGCATGACTGAATGATTTGAGTATTTAGAGGCGTGCGTGGCTGGCAGGTCGACTCACTCTTTCTGACTATTGGTGTCTCTGTGCACGCGTGTGTGTTCGTGTGTGTGATGACAGACACAAGCAGTATGGCAGCGATTGGTTAACTCCATGGATGCATTCGCAACAGAGCACTTTGATGCATTCTGTAGCTTTTCGGATTCTCACTGATGTGCTCCTTCAGTGAGAAGCATCCGATTTGCTATCGCTGTCCAATGGAGAGCGTAGAAGATTGTCCACCCGATGTGCCACTCAATCACAATGACACATCTGCAAGAGACAAGCAATGCAAAAGGGGAACTGCAAAATCAAACGTTTCATGAAAACCCTGGACCCTAAGCAAAGGAGAGAGGGAGGAGAGATTGAGAGCCGAATATCCTCTCCCCTCCCCTCCCTTCACCAGGATAAAACTATGGTGGACGTGCAACAGTGTATTTTGTAGATTCCTTACTCCTTCTTGTGGAACCTCTACTACGTCTCATCATAGAGTTGCTGACATAATTGTTCAACAAACGCTGCGCTTTTCCCATTTGCCTGCGCTCTTCATCCAGTCCTTCTTCGCTGATCTTGGTCCGTTAGCCGTTGACTGAGGCATCACACTCACTGATAAGGTGCGAATGGGTCCACACACACACAGAGAGAGAGAGAGGCATCTGCCCCATCTTCTGCTGTCTGTGTGTGGTGTGTGTAAGCAGGTCGCATTAGTGATGGCCATGGCGGCAAGTGCGCAAGGCCAGCTGCCTGATGGCTGTCTGCGGCTCGGTGACGTCGAAATCGCCCACCGGGATGGCACCAGCGATGCGACCCGACGGCTGGCTGACGGCGTTGTTCATCGGACATTCACTGATCCACAGCAGGTGGCGGATCTCCTACGGGATGGTGCTGACCCAAATACTTGGCCGTGCCTTCGGGTGCGGGGCATCGGCGAGGGTGGTAAGATGTATCGGCTGCTCTCGCTCGTAATTGACAATCTCAGCGACGGCACCCATCTCACAATCGACGTGATTGACAGCAGCGGTCGGCGGCGGCCTCTCGCCCTTCCTCACTGGTCGTCGCCTGAGCTCGAGGCGGCCATCATCAACGCCCTCATCGACGGAGGCGGCGACATCACCGAATCGCAGTGGATCGACGGCCGACCCATCATCAGGATGGCAATCCTTTTGGGAAACGAGAGCGCTATGGAGGTCTTGATAGCGCGCGGCGCTGCGGTGCGCCGTCCCTTTCCCTCTGGCGATAACTTCGCCATGGAGCTGCCCAGCAGCTACTTCAGGCAACGACAGGTGTCCCCCGGCTATGAGCAGCGGCTGCTGTCGATATACCGCCGGATCATTCAGCACGACCCTACGCTTGCAACCGATGACCCAAGGGCCGGCAACAACCTCGTCCGCAGGGCGGCCAGCCACGAGCGACACAGCGACGGGCGTTTCCCCTACTCGCAGCGCTTCATCGACTCCTATCTTCAGCTACTCGTGGAAAACGGCGCGGATATGACAGTAGTGTCCAACACTGGCTTGGGAGACTATAGAACGGGTGGAAAGACGCCTCTGCACGTGGCGGCACAGAAGACCTCTCTATGCGTGATTGACTACCTCGGCCGCCACCTGCCAGCAGCGGAAATCAACAGAGGGAAACCGAAGGCCCCCAACGAGACGGCTCTCTACGACGCCGCCAGCACTCTTGATTGCGTGATTGAGTTTTCGCAAGACGTCAACAATTTGCAAGGCCCCAGGGACCGAGCCGCCAGGTACATTCCCATTCGCGAGGCCACCATCCGCAGCTTGCTGCGAAGCGGAGCGGATATCAACCGCCTCCCCACAGACACCGCAGAGCAGCGCCATCGTCGCCAGCTGGTGCTGCCGCAGTGCACACTAGTGCTCAACGACATCCACACCGGGGCCATGACTGCCGTCAATGCCGCCCTCGCCCCTCAGCGGTCGCTGGCTGCTTTCCTTATGAAGTCTCTCCCCACTCTCCTGCCCCACCTGCTGCAGCCCCCTGGCACCCCTGTGGCCAATCCACCCTCCGCCCCCCTCCCCGCCTCCGCTGGATACGGCCCACACGAGTCAGAGGCCATCGGCTGGAAGATCGCCGCCATGTGCTTCGATCAAGACGCCGCCAACGAGGCCATCGCTGCCAACATCGGCATCCGCAACAGCGACATGGCCCGCCGTGTGTGTGCGGCCGTCGAGCACTTCGTCAGGTCGGCGTTGTATGCCAGCAGCAACAGGGAGGTGGTGGGCGGGACGGCCAATGTGGGCGGCGTGACGGTGCGGGTGCCGCTGCAGTGCTTCGCCATCGGGGCCGACAGCCGCCCACACCAGGTGGTCCACACACGGGGCCGCGTGGGTCTGCGTGAGGTGGTGCAGAGGGCCCGGCTGGACGAGGCGGCCCGACACGGCATAGGGGAGAGGGCCATCGACAAGGGCTTTAGCGAGCCTTTGGGCAATGCCGACTGTGAGTTTGGTGGGTGGCAGCAGCTAGGCCGCATCGACGACGGGGGCAAGTGGGTGACACTCGGCATCAACTGAGAGGGAGGGAGGGAGGGGGCGGTGTGTGTGTGGTGTGGGTGGGGGACACTTTGAGCTGCCGAGTGTTGTCATGTGCTGTTGGCAGCAGTCGAGAGGGACGAAGGGAGGGATGGAGGGGTGCATTATCTTTGGAATGTCATCTGGTCGACTGTTGATATGTGGCGTTGATATGTTGATATGATATATGTGGGTGTGTGCGTGTGTCTCGACAATTCGCCTGTGCATGGTAATGTAATGTAATTTGTATCTGTGTCACCAGAAGTCATGCATATACCAGGCGACCGTGAAGCAATCCGCATCACCCTGCTGCTGCATATACAACCCAGGCAGCCTAAGTAGCAGCAGACAAACTAGCTACACCCGCCACACACAAAACACCCACCGTCCATGGCAGTCAGTGTGCTCCACGGTTCATTTAATGTGTGGTGGCATCTTTGTCGCATGATTGAGGGTTGGTCGATTGCCGCAGTTCATTTCATGAGAGACCGACAGACTCTGCCTGCGCTACGAGTCAATGTTTTTCCACACTCCAAGACATATGGAGCCCTCAAACGCTTTAGGGCACCCTTGTCTCAAAACCATACACTTTGCGAGCTCAGACGGGGAGGGGGAGAGAGCTTGCGGCATCTCCAATTGATTATCGGGATCCAGTATTCTCATTGTAGCACCCGGTGAGATCTATCAGCGTACGAGATCTAGGCAATCTGTCAGCTTCCTCGTCCCTCTCACCTCATCTCTCGTCTGTCTGCCCCGTCCTCCCTCTGACCAGCAAGGCTCTCTGTCCTCTTCTCTCTCTGTTCCCATTCACGTGATGGCTGCTTGGCGGAGTGCTGCTATCATGATGATTCTGTGTGTGGTGGGTACCTGCGTTGGCACAGAAGCAAGACCCGCACAGCAGGTATGTGACACACACACACACCGTGTTCTATTCACCCACTCATCTAATGCTCTGGTGTCCATGGCTGTCTTGGATCTGTTCAGGTCCGTTTGCGCCTCCTGCAGGTGTCCCCTCCTGCCAACACGTCGCTGTCTGCGTCAGAGTATGAGGCGCTGGTCGGCCTGCTGAATGACACCACACCGCTCACCTCACTCTACCGGTAGACACACACCATGCCAGCAGGCTGGGATGGTGTGACAGCTAATGGGGCAGATTCCGTCTGTGTGTGTGTGTGTGTGTGTTGCAGAACGTCTGTCCACGGCACCACCTATGGCGAGCGACCTGCTGGACAATGTGGGCGACGCCAAACCTCTCCTGTTTGTGGTCAGGAAGGACAAGTATGCCTTCGGCGTGTACATCAGTGCCGACATCCAGGAGCCCGACAACCCGACCAACGACCGTTCGTAGGACAGTGATGTGTGGTATTTCTCACTGGCCGGCCACTTCACCTTACCGACCAAGATGGAGATCGACGGAGACGATCAGTGGGTGATGGTGACCGGGAGGAAGTATCAGAGAGGTGCAAGGGTGGCGATCGGTGGATTTTTGTATTTGGGCTCTGACAATATCCATGGCCCTCCTGCTGCCGACATCCGCAGCTGCTATCAGTTCACCTACAGTGGCTATGTGCCTGAGGGCTACACGGGAGTGAGGGATGACGATGGTTATGGCAGTGCTTTGTTGGGCGGGTCGGAGTACTTCAAGGCTGACGAGATAGAGGTGCTGTCAAGTATGCTGCCATCATCAGCGAGGCGGACGTATGTCTTCCTGTCGGTGTGTCTGTGGCTCTCGTCATTCCTGTTTTTGATGTGAACCGTGAGGGCGACGCAGCAGTGTTGGGTGGGTCAGTCGTGTTCATGGCGGATGAGCTAGAGGTGCACGTAGCCAGGGAAGGAGGGGGATATGTGCCTTTACCTCTATCGTACTGTACTGACATAAATGGGTGCCTTCCATCTGTGCCGTCCTCTCTGCGCCCTCGTCTGTCTGTCTGTCTGCTTCCCTGCCTCCACGCCTGAGTGCAGCTGATCTGTCAGCACACTGCTGGTGCCCCTGTGTGTGTGTGTGTGTGTTGGTGTGTTTGTTTGCTGAAGTGAGTGTGTGTGCGCTGGCTGGACTGACTGTAATGAATAGTGACTGTGGCTCTATGCGTGTGACTATGTCGTCATCCTGCCCTGATGTGTTTCTGCGAATGTGTGTGTGTGCTGAATGAGAGCCAGCCAGCCAGCCGGACGGCCGGCAAGAGAGCTGCATGCCTTACATGGACCTTTTGGAGGTGCGGATGAGCCATGAGTGATTTAATGAATGGGGCAATGTCGGAGTCCATTCTGATGCTTGCGCATGCTTCTCCGAAACCCTCGGCCCTAACCTGAACCTCAAGAGCGGAAGGTGCCAATCATCTGTTGGCTACGCTAGCTCTGTTCCGCTCGCAGAAAGAGGTGCGAGAAGGGGAGGCAGAGAGGGAGCAAGGCGAGCGCACCTTAGAGAGGAAGGAGGGCAGGCACGACACTGTGTGGTGTTCTGTCTGCTTCGCACGACATCTTCCCCGTGGCCGGTGCGTGTTGTCTTCACTGACGGCGAATCACACACTCACTGACAAGGTGCGAATGGGTTCACAAAGAGAGGAAGCATCCCGTGTGTGATCTGCCTCTTTGCGGGTGATGTGTAAGCAGGTCGCGTGAGTGATGGCGGCCAGTGGGGATGGCTGTCTGCGGCTCGAGGACATCGACATCAGGCACAGGGATGGCACCAGCAATGCGGTAGGTGCACACACACACACACACAGAGAGAGAGAGAGAGAGAGAAACGCATGACCGCATCCATTGCACCCTTTGTCGTCAGACCCGACAGCTGAGTGAGGGCATTATTCGTCGGACCTTCACCCACCAGCAGCAGGTCACGGACCTCATCCACAATGGTGCCGACCCCAACCATCAAGTCCGGCTGCGGATGCTGGGTCCTGGCGAGGCGTGCGACTGCGGGTCTCGGCATCCCGTTCGTACAGGGCGGTATCTGCTGTTCTCGCTTGCTATCGACAATTGGAATGGCAGCGCTATGCCGACAGTGGACTTCGGCATCATCCATGGTCGACGCACGTGTCGACGCTGCGTACTCACGTTGCCTCATTGGTCGTCGCCTGAGGCCGAGGCGGCCATCTTGAATGTCCTCATCGACGGAGGCGCCCGCATCAACGAGCCGACCTGGGGGGACAGCGAACCCATCAGGATAGCAATCCGTGGGGGCAATGAGAGCGCAATGAGGGTCTTGTTCGCGCGCGGCGCTGCGGTGCGCCGTCCTTTCCCGGCCTTTCCTTCGTCATGGATCTGCCCCGGCCCATCCTTGACCGAATCCAGGTGTCCCCCGTCTATGAGGAGCGGCTGCTGTCGATAGTTCGCCGGCTCATCCAGCAAGACGCCACACTTGCAACCGAAGAAGACTTGAACGGCAATCTGATCCACAGTGCAGCCCGCAGGGAGGGAGGGACGCACTGGACCTGCTGGTGGACAACGGGGCGAGTCTGACGGCAGTGAGTGGGTCTGAATCGACGCCTCTGTACCTGGCGGCAGGTGCCGGCTCTCCCTGTGTGACCGACTACCTCTGCCGCCATGTGGCAGCAGCGGACATCGACAGAGGGAAGACGACGGGCGACCCCAACCGGACACCGCTGCATCTGGCCGCCTGCAACCTCTATGCATCGATTGAGTTCTCGCAAGACGTCAACAATCAGCAAGACGTCAGGGACCATGCCACCAGTGAGATTCCCATTCGCGAGGCCATCATCCGCACCTTGCTGCGAAGCGGAGCCGACGTCGGCCAGATGCCCACAGACACGGCATGGCACCGCCGTTGGCGCGAGCTGGTGCTGCCCCGGTGCATGAGAGTGCTCAACGACATCCGCACGGAGGCGATGGCGGCCGTCAATGCCGCCCTCGCCCCTCAGCGGTCGCTGGCTGCTTTCCTTATGAAGTCTCTCCCCACTCTCCTGCCCCACCTGCTGGAGCCCCCTCACGCCCCTGCGGCCAATCTGTCCCCCGCCCCCGCTGGATACGGCCCACACGAGTCAGAGGCCATCGGCTGGAAGATCGCCGCCATGTGCTTCGACCAAGACGCCGCCAACGAGGCCATCAGTGCCCACATCGGCATCCGCGACAGTGACATGGCCCGCCGTGTGTGCGGCTATCGAGCACTTCGTCAAGTCGGCGTTGTATGCCAGCAGCAACAGGGAGGTGGTGGGCGGGACGGCCAATGTGGGCGGCGTGACGGTGCGGGTGCCGCTGCAATGCTTCGCCATCAGAGCCGACAGCCGCCCACACAGGTGCTGCACACACGTGGCCGTGTGGGTGTGCGTGAGGTGGTGCATAGGGCCCGGCTGGACGAGGCGGCCCGACACGGCATAGGGGAGGGGGCCATCGACAAGGGCTTTAGCGAGCCTTTGGGCAATGCCGACTGTCAGTTTTGTGGGTGGCAGCAGCTGGGCGGCATCGACGAGCGGGGCAAGTGGGTGACACTCGGCATCAACTGAGAGAAGGAGGGAGGAGGGAGGGAGGGGGCGGTGTGTGTGGTGTGTGGGTGGGGGACACTTCGAGCTGCTGAGTGTTGTCATGTGCTGTTGGCAGCAGTCGAGAGGGAGGGATGGAGGGAGAGGTGCATTATCTCTGTAATGTCATCTGGTCGGCTGTTGATATATGGTGTTGATGCGTTGATATGATATGTGTGGTTGTGTGCGTGTGTCTCGACAATGGATGTGCCGGACTCTCTTCACGCGTCAGCTGATGACTTCAGTGATGACCGAATGCACGACTCAGACGTTAGGGTTTGGGGCTCAGGGTTGCTTACCCTAAAACCGCGAGGAGGGATGAGTAGGGGAGGGAGAGGGGAGAGCGAGAGAGGAGAGAGAAGGAGAGGGAGGAAACATCTTCAGTTGTTTCCCTTGTCACGGCAGAGATCTGGCTGTATATCTTCCCGTTTCCCGGCCAGATCTCTGTTTTTGGAGTGGACATCCTCGTTCCGTCGATACCATCAACACCCACTCCCACACACGACAGACTAGCTGCGTGCTGTCCTTCGTTCCCTCCACGTGCGCAGAATGGTGGCTCTGCGTGGCATGATGCTGCTGGCCTTGGCCGTCACGCTCGCCCTCTGTGTGACGGGCAGCGATGCCTTCATGTCGCCCACAAACACAACACAGGTATGTACCACACGAACGCGCACACACGCACCATCAGCCAGCTCAGGTCGAGATGCACTGTCCCTCCACTCAGTGTCTGTCGGTCTGTCTGTTGCTTGTGTGTGCAGGTTCGTCGTCTACAGGAGAGTCGGCCGCCATCGGACTCCTCGCTGTCTCAGTCAGAGTATGACAACCTGCGTGGTCTGCTGGGCAACGACACAGCACTCACAATGCTCTACCGGTGCGTATACTCCCACATACAGACAAGGCACACTTGGGTTCCCGCACCAAATCATCAGCAGTGGCTGTCTGTCCTCTGTGTGTGTGTGTGTGACATGTAGGGCTTCCCGCAACGGTGTAACATACGGCGATATGCTGGATCGTGTTGGGAACAAGACCGACCTGGTGATTGTCATCCGCAACGCCCAGTACGTCTTCGGCGTCTACATCAGTGAGGGCATCAGGCTGCCCGCCTTCGATGGCAGCGGCATGATGCCGGGGTGGCACGGATACGGCAGTGACGTGTGGTTGTTCTCCCTGGCGGGCCACTATGAGAATGCCACCAAGTGGTCGCCTTTACAGAAGATTGTCTTGGTGGCGTCTAGGAGGGGGTTTGTGCCCCGAAGAAACGCGAGAGTGACTGTCGGCGGCTTGTGGTTGGGCAATGGCAATGGTTGGTCGCGTGATGACATCCGCGAGTGCACCCACTTCCACGGTGTGAGCTGGGGTGTGCCTATGCCTGAGGGCTATATGGGGGCTCTGTATCATCACTCTGTTCTTGGTGGCCCCTATTACGTGCTGGGGGGCAGTTGGGACTTCACAGCTGACGAGCTGGAGATTCTCAGTGTGCAGTGAGTGTGCGGACATAGCCCACCTCCGTTTGCCTGCCCCTGAGGTGTGCGTGTGCGTGCGTATGTTTGTGTGCCGGTGTATATGAATACGTGGGTCATTGGCTGCACTGACTGCTGGTGAGATCCGCCGCATCTGTGTCTCCCCGCTGTCTAAGTGAATAGCGTGCTGTGCTGTTGGCGTGCCTTCACGTCTGTGAGTGTGGACATCCATCCGTGTGTGTGCGTGTGTGTCGGGTGCCGTATGTCGGGTCCTGTGTGGGGCGCGAGTGCTTATGTCCTGTCTGCCTCTCTGAGTGTTTGTTTGTATAAAGAAGTAGCAGTCATTTTGCAGTGAGCCCTCGGCGTGTGAGATGTGTGGATCTCTATGCATGTGTGTGTGTGGTGACGGACCAGTGATGAATCGGCCAACACGGCGGTTCACATCCGCCTCAATTCGCTTAAGCTCATTCACAAACGTCACGAACCAAAGATATGAAGACATACCTCCGTTCTTCTCACAGATAAGATAGAAAAGACAAATCACCACCACCAAACCCAGCCAACAATCATGGCCGTAACGGTCAGCCGGTAACGGCACATGTAGACAGCCCAGCCAACGATTCAGGCTTCTCCTGTCCTGCTTGCCTCCTTCCCACACGATGTTGCGCATGGCTGTCGTCCTTTCCCTCGTGCCTTTCCCTCGTGGCTGCCTGCCCCGCAACCATTCCACCTCAGGTAGACGATCTCCTTCGCGCCTTCTTTCCCAATGGTACGCAGACACGCACCCCGGAGGAAGCAACACACGTGCGGTTGGTCTTTGTCAGGGCCCCTCGCCCGCTTCCCCGCTCTCGCGCGCGACCCTGCTCATTGGGAAGTGGGCACCGGCTTCAATGATCCGACAGTGAGCTGATGGCTGTCTGCCTGTGTGCATCCATGGTTTGTCTGCCGGTCTGCCTGTCTGCGTGGTTGGTGCAGACGTTTGAGGCCATCAAGGAGCAGGCTGTGGCGGCGGGTGTGGACATGGCAGACTACACTGAGGAGGATTGGCTTGACGTCGGTGGCAAGGTGACCATCCTCGACGCGTTTGGCCTCACTTATTTCGACATGGAGATGACGGGAATGGTCCCAGGTAGCCCAGCCACCAGAGAGCAAGAAATGCGCATGTGTGTGTGCCCTTGCCATGTGTGTGTGAGTGCAGGTGGCTTCTACACGGCCTGGCTGGTGCGGAAGCCCGGATCGCCGCGAGGCGGCCCAGCCGACTTGAACCTGGGCAGGGGATGGGAGGGGGAGCCTGGTCAAGAGAAGGGTTACAACGGCATTGTGGCCGACGAGCACGGCAACGCCAAGCTAGGAGTGCTGCTGACCAGCAGCTTCCAGGACGCCAACGGGCAGGAGTATCAGGGGCTTGACAAGTGGGACGAGATCCACATCGCCTTCCACTCCGACAATATCGGCCACGGGTTCTCCCCAGGCCCCAACCACTGGACGCAGACAGTCTTCCGTGTCCGCGATGAGGAAAAGGAGGACAACGGTGACGACGGCAACAATGGCGATGATTGATTGATTGCATATGGCTGGCTGAGCGCACGAATGTGTGTTCGCGGAGTGGGAGTGGGAGGGTGGGGTGGGGTGGGGTGGGCAGGACAGCTGGCGAGAGAGAGGCTGTTGCATGCATATTTGTCTGGATGCCTTGGAATGGCTGATTTGTGGCTGCTGGATTTTTCCTTCTCTCTTTCCGTCGTGTCTCTTTCCAGAGTTGTGCCTGTACGCCTAAGTCGTGGTGTCAGTGCGCTGTGTATGTTGCTTTGCCGTGTGAGCGTCCGCTTGGGCAGACGTGCATAAGGAGGAGATTGGCTTCAAGTTGCTGTGTTGGTTGGGTAGATGGCCGGCCGTGATGGCACCGTGTCTCAATGCCAGACCGAGAGCTCGTGCGCGCGTTGTCCAGAGACGGGCAAGCGGGAGGACGCGTCTCTCTCTGTGTGCCAGACAGGCCTTGATCAACGCTGCCTGGTGTCTGTTTATGGGTCCGTGTACATGTGTGCGGTGGCTGCTGCTCGTCCACACACAACAGACGTCAGTCTCAGCGGGAAAGCATACATATGGATGGACAGGTTTGCGTGGGTGGACCGTAAGAGATGAAGACTCAAGTCAACCTTTGCACGTGGCCCCTGCAGCCGATGCATCCATTGAATCCTCGAGTGATACCAGCGGAAACGATCCTGTCAAGGCTCGCATCCCTCCGTTCGGTTCTCAACTTCCAGTTCGAGTGAGAATGTCTTTTGAGCAGCCTGACGAGCCCATGACTGACGTGGGCCTATACGACATCGACTTGGAAGAGGCCACCGGCCCCAAAGCAGTGGTGCAGGAAGAGCCCATAGTGGGGATGGAGGCCGGCGAGGCCGGCACTGTGGAGGCCGGCACTGTGGAGGCCGGGGCTCCGGAGGCCAGGGCCGTGCCTCCCCAGACTGGAGTGTCGAAGCCCTTCATCGCCGCGCAAAAGCTGGACCCGACGCATGCCATCCTGATGTTCTTCGGGTCGATTCTCTTCCCGCCCGTCGGATGCGTCGCCTTCTGCCGCTACTCGACGGACCCCGACGTGAGGAGAATGACGGGGGAGGGAGGGGCATGCGCTCACTTGGTTGCTGGTACGGTTTTGTCTCTCCTCAGAACTCGCCCCGCAAGATATGGTCAGGCGAGTGTCGCCGTGGGGCCGACCGAAAGTGAGAAATTGCTGTCCTTTCCGCTGTCGTTGTGCTTCAGGGGCAAGCGTGCGTTGATGCTGGGCTCTGCTCTGGCCTTCATCTACGTCCTGGTCATCGCCGGGGTGAGCAGAGCTGACAAACTGCGCTGTCGGCCTGTCATATCATAGGATGGCTGTCTGGTGTTTTGTTCCGTCAGGTGGTCGGCTCGGTCTTGTGCGACGATGAGAACCCTTGCGGACACGACAATTGACTGATTGCTTCGGCGGGAGGGGAAAGGAGTATGGAGGGGGCAGGGTGAAGAGGGAGTGACGGCTTTGCACACCTGCGGGTTTTCCTTTCCGTCTGTCTGCGAGTGGGGGTCACGCTGAGTGGAGGGATATGTTGAATGGCTGGATCGCATGACCTGTCCGTCTGTCTGTCTGTCTGTCTGCACGAGACTGATTGACTGACCATTACTCACTGGCCACCGTCAAACATTCTGGCCTGAAAAAGACCGGGCAAAACTGTCACTGTCGCAACTACCCAACACACAGTACCACCCAACACACAGGGATCACACATGTATCACGTCGCCTTTTCTGCTGCGTGTCTCTGACTGGTGTCCTGCCTGGGCGTCCGGACACGGCACCACTCACATATATTGCCCGGAGGCTGGTATAGTGTGGGGGAACGTAGCCGGACGATGAGGTAGAACACCGGTCAGATCGTACACAGCAGTAAGCACACACAACAAAGACGAAACACGATCGACACCTTTACGCCGATGTAACAAAATGTCAGTCCGAGAGGCCTTATGCCGCGGCAAGGAAAGGCAGGCGGGAAGGCAAGACTCGGCAAGTCGCTCTCACTTGAACAGCGCACCTGGACAAAGACAAACCAAACAAGAAAAGTCATTCGACGTGTTTCGGCCGAACTCCTTATTCCTCCCTCACCTTGTGTCTACATCGAGCCGCTCAAGTCGACCAGCCGCAGCGCATCCAGGTCCACACCAATGTCTCTAGCGAACCGCCTCACGAGTTCTCCGGTCGCTGGGGCGCTTCGCAGCCAGCCCTCGGCCCCCTCCACATGTGCCTCTGTAGTGCCCAGCACCACATACCCACTTGCCGACGCCGCACTGACACGCAGATAGGCGGCAAACGTATCATCACGACGGGCGCCCGACAAGACAATGACGCGCTGGTGCTTGGAACCGTCAGGGGACGCGCAGTCGGCGTGCGCGGTGTCGTCCTGAATGGCTGATGTGGCGAGACTCCGGTAGAGGTCCATCACGAGGCCTGGGTGGGACGAGGTGCTTGCCGCCAGCGACCGGATGGCTTGGTGGGCGCGTGTCGCGACGAGCCACACGACACAGGCCGAGAAGGATGGGAAGAGCTGACCTTCGGCTGTGCTGACGACCGGATCGTCGCTGTCGTATTGCTGCCTGTAAGGATGGTCGACGTCGATGTCGCCGTGAGGCACGACGCGGACACGCTGAGAGCCGAGGAGGAAGTCCCCATCGTCAGCCCCAGCTGTCAGCTCCATGCCGACCAGTCGGCCACCGAATGCGGCGTACTGTGAGATGGCTCGCGGCGTCTTGTGGTAGGCCCTCCTGCTGCTGAAGTGCTGCTGGATGGCCCGTGGGCAGAGTGTGAGGGGCAGCCGATCAGCAACAGCAGCAGCCAGATGGATGGCCCTCGCCCATCTGCCGAGGGTACCTCGGCCATCCATCACCACATAGAGCGCCCGTGACACATAGCCGAAGTGTGTCAGGCCGTTGGGCATTTCGGCAGGGTCACCGACATAGCTGAGCGCACCCCTGAGGCCCTCCGAATCGATGAGGCGCTCCAGCCGTCTGCGAAGGGTGCTCACGGTGACGATGCCGTGCCATTCTGTGCTGGCTGCCCGGAGCCTGAGGCTGATCACGCACAGAAGGGGCAGCGTCTTGATTCTTGGGCTCGCTTTTTTTTCGATGGCTCTTGCCTCCCGCCTTTTCCCCTTTCCTCAATGGAGAGTCATACCAAACAGAGCTAACGGTTGAGGAGCTAACGCGGATGACCACAATTTGCGAGCTAACGGAGGATCGACCTGCGAGCTCATCCTTTCACGACATCCTCCTTGTCTCCTTTTTTCTCTCACCTCCTTTTCTCCTTGTGCTGTTTTCCTCTTGCTTAGTTTTTGACACCTTCGACGGCGTCTGTTTTCATCGGAGCGCATCGGAGTTTTCGTCTCACTCCACCTTCCCCTACCCCTGTACTCGTTTTTCCCGACTGAGCTTGTTGCCTCGCGTGTACGTGTGACCGCGAGAGCTCCGCCGACCTCCTGCGGTAGACGGGCGTGATCTGGCCATGTTGACGTGCTGCGCCCACCCCACGAAGGTGGACGAGGAGGAGATCCTGTTGGCGCCTGACGGCCCCCCCCCACCCCACCCCCCTCCCCCCCTCCTCCCCACGCGAGGTGGACGAGCATGGCTTCGGCAGAGAGCTGGACAACTGGGAGCAGAACTGGGACATCCTCCACACCGCCGGTAGCGGCCGCTGTTCATCCAGAACACCATCAGTGTCATCACAAGCCAGCCCTTCCACCTCGAGGACGTGAAGGAGGCCGGCAGGATGCTCATGGCGCAACACGCCGCTCTGCGCGCCAGGATCCTGGTCGACAAGCATAGGGGGCGCCTTAGGCGCAGATGGGCAGAGACTCACCACGAGCCCGGTAAGACGACAGACACGCACAGCGAGACAGTCGGGGGAGGAGAAAGCGAGAATCAGAGAAGGCGAGAAGGAGAGAGATTGAAACAAGCTCGCATTCTGTGTTGTGTGCAGACATAGAGATGTCTCAGTGTAGCGATTGGGAGGAGGTCCTCCGCTATGAGCAGAACTACCCCCTGCCCACCACCACGGGGCCTCTCTGGAGAATGAGAGTGCTCCAGGCCACACCCACCACTCAGAGAATCAGAAGGGTAACCCAACTCAGTTTGACACACATTTGCGGACGATCCGCTGCACCATCGCTGCTTCGGTCTGGTGCTGGTGTGTCTTGATATGTGCAGGGTCCGGTGTTGTACCCATCGTACCGGACGTGGATCGTAGGCATCTTCCACCACGGCATCATGGACGGCATGGCGCGGCAGAACTTCTGGAAGGACTTCCTCAACACCATCTACACCCTCGCCCAGCGCCGCAACCCCCACCGCACCTCCCCTCCCCCTCTACACATGTTCGCGTCGGCGTCGACCATTGCATCGCTGGAATCGCTCCCTGAACTCCCCTCGATGGCCGACAACCCCTTCATGGGGGGGCCTCTGAGTGAGTCGCTGCCGCCGCCGGTGTCGTCCGTGATGCGTGGGACGCTTTTGGACGCCCTGACGAAGCCGTTGTACGCAGTGGCTGACGAGGCGGCCTTCCAGGTCGGCAAGGGCCTGACGATGTTCTTCCGCAAGCTGATGGTCAAGAAGAGGAACCCCTTCTCCGTCATGTACCCCGCTGAGCAGTACAGGGACAGGCAGCTGGTGAGGCGAGTGAAGCGAGAGAGGGAGGGAGGGAGGGAGGGAGGGAGAGAGGGGGGGCTTGTCACAACACATTAGCATCCGTTCATTCTCTCCCTGTGTGTGTTGTGTAGGCTGCGCATACGTCGATAGTGCCTCTGTTGTTCGATCCGTCGACGACCAAGAAGCTCATCCAGACGTGCAAGCAGCACAACATCCCCCTCAACTCGGTGCTGACCGCCACGGCAGCCTCTGCTGCCGCCCAGCTGATCGGCAAGGAGGACCAGAAGACGTCCCTCTACACCGCCCAGGCCATCTCCACACGCAGGTGGATGCAGAAGGCCATGAAGGACAAGCCGCCCCCCCTTCGCACCGAGAGCAAGACGTCGACCAACCCCACGCCCCCTCCCTCCCCCATCCCGCCCTCGCACTCGCCCCCCTCGCCCCCCCTCCTGCCCATCGACAAGCAGGACAGCAACCCAGACGTCCTCAGCCACCTCAGCCCATCGCTGCTCAGCCCCTCGTCGTGCAGGGGCGGTCCCGGCGCCCCTCCCCCCTGCCGTTGCCGACGTCAAGAGCGACAAGCCGGCCCCCAAGGCCGACGGGCTGCCGCGTCTGGGGTGCTTCACCTGCCTGATGAGCCTGGGTCTGGAGGTGCCGGCCAACTCGACCCGCGCTGACCATTTCTGGCAGTTTGCGTCGACGGTCAACACGAGCATCCACAGCAAGGTGGACCGGCCGAGCCCGACCAACGCATGCTCCGACTGGGACGTGGTGACCAAGTTCCTCAAAAACAACATGGAGAACGAGCGGCTGGACAAGATGCTCGAGCTCCTGGCCCCCAAGGCACGCCCTTCGGTGTTCCTCATCTCGGTACGCAAGCAAACACACACGCACCCCTCCCTCCCTCGCTGCATTGATATGTGTGTTGTGTGCGATGTGATCTTCAGAATACGGGCAACTGGGACACGACGGACCTGCGCAAGGGCAACGGCGCGTCGGCTCGCGGCCCCCGCAAGCCCACCATGCTGGCCGGGCTGTCGCGCTACCCCCGCACCCCCACCATCGTCCACACGTCGATCGACTCGCCTCGTTCGATCCTGCACGAGCACGTCGACAGCATGGACAGCGGCAGTGACAGCGAGGTGAGGGGCGGGGGCGACTTCGAGATGGAGATCGAGAGCAGCTGGTCGTGCGTGAGCCAGCACGGCGTGGGCAACCACCTCTTCTTGCACAACCTGGTCACCATCTCGGGCAGACTCAACTGGTCGCTGCAGTTGAGAAACGGACACACAGCACAGCAAACACCACACCCGTTCTGTACGCGCACTTCCTCCTCTTGTCTTTCTCTTTCTCTGTGTGTTGTTCAGTATGCCTCCAACTTTGTGTCCCGTTCGCTGGCCCAGAAGTACGCCAAGACGATCCATGACACCATCATGAAGCTGATCGACCTGGACACCGACGCCGAGGAGGGCTTTCCCGCCTTCCTGATGACCAGGAACAAGGCGCTCGCGGGCGAGACCGGCACCACACCCATGCACAGGGCGTGAGGGGCGACCGAGGGATGGCCGAGATGAAGGTGGTAGTGTGTGGTGGGATAACGTAAGACGGGGCGGCTGTCGGTGTGAGCGGGGGTTTTCGTGGCGTGGCGTGGCGTGGCGTGGCGTGATGGGGTGGTGTGGGGTGTGGTGTGGTGTGTCTTGGCTGTGTAGCAGAAGACAATGAATGACGGGTGGGTGATGCTTTCTTTGCATGGGTTTCCTCCTCCTCTTCTCTTGCTTGCTGCTTCCTTCCTACCCTCCCCTGTATCTATCTATCTGCTGGATTTGATGACCGACCAGACAGCCGGCTTTTCCAGCTGGGCAATGTTCCTTTTCCCCATCCAGCAAACGGTGGCTGCTGTTGTTTTTTACCGGCCACGGTGGATGGCGAGGTGAGGTGACCGTTGTACGTTGGCGCGTTTCTTACATAGGTGTGCATGTGTTTGTATGTGTTGTGGATGGATGGATGTGTGTGTCTTAACCTTTGTGTGTGATGTCGTGATGGAAACACGCACTCTCGCATTCATTCTGATGCTGATGTTGTGCATACGGACTCACTATCACAAGAGCACCCTCTCTGACGCTCTCTCTCCCTCTCACTAAGCCAACGTCGCTTCTACAACCTGATAAGGCGGTTTTGCATCTCTTCGTGCTTACGTATCGAGCCAGCCCTGGTGACCCGACCCACCACCCACTCCCTCCCTCGCTCATTCGGTCAATTCGTCACTTGCTGTTGCTGCCTGTGTGCCCATGCGTCTTAGCTGCAAAGGCAGACAGACAAACAAACAGACAGACCGGCAGGCAGGCAGGCAGGCAGGCAGAAGAGGATCTCAGCTAGTGCAGCTAGTTGGCCGTTCTTACTGGCAGGTAAATAGTTGGTCTTTCATGTCAGGAATTAGCCAGGCCAGCAACACTTGAAGCGTCCGTCCGTCCGTCCGTCCGTCCGTGGTTTTACGGTTACCGGTAGTGAACAGCACGGACAATGACCAGCCAGAAAGAGTACCGAGCAAGTATCAGTTGGTGGGCCGGGCCAGGGAGAAGGGAGAGATGCGGATGGGCTCAGCTGACTCTCTCTTGTTGCACACTCCTTCTCATCTCTGTCTGGAGGTTTTGATCTAGTGGTCTCGTGTTGTTTCTCGCGGCTTTTCCACCCTCACCGCGCGCACACGCTCTCTCTATCTGCCAATTCTCTCCGTCGCTTCCGCCAGAATGTCCCGTGTGTTTGTGGTCTTTCTTGCCTACACGCATGCCGTGCCTTTGACGCATTGTCTGGTGACGGATCCATGAATGGCTTCATACCAATTCGCCGTTTAGCTGGCCGGTGTGGTACGATCGACATGCATACACACGGCCGGCCCTCTCCCTCTCCCTCTGCCTGTGTCTGTATCTGTATCTGTCTGTGTATTGTGTGAGGTTTGTTACGGCTCCTTTATCCATCCATCCACCCATGCATTCCCCTCTCCCCCTACGCATACATACGTACGTACAGTGGCTCGTCGGTGCCACACACGTCATTCATTCATTGATGACGCAATGAGATTTAATGGGCGGCTAGCTCGTCGGTCGGGTTACGTGGGCGAAAGGGGAGAGGAGGAGGGGAGGGGAGGGAAGGGGATGAACGCTTGGGTGTGGTTCTTCAGATCGGAGTGGTCGTGAGGTGTGGTTTGCACTTGCTGGCTTCACAGTCGTGCGTGTGGTTGTGCGATTTTGTCTCGACACGTGAGGCGGGAAAGACCGTCACCAATGGGTGTGGCAGACACGCACAATCGCACGCCGTGGTAGCGCTCGGGCTCCTGGTGTGGGTTATGGGGGATACATCGGTCCATTCGACGCCTTCTCACTGGGTAGCTGGCTGGCTGACCGCTGCGTGCGTTGTCTCTCTCTCTCTTCTGTGTGACGGCGAAGAACATGAGACACTCTAAATTGGCAGAATCAGGTGGCGCCCCGCGTGCAATCGCTTTGCTGTTGTTGGTGTTGGTTGCCTCGCCTGTCATTCCATGCGGTGAGTGGCGGGAGGAATGGCAAGAATGGATGTGTGAAATCTCTGTGTGTGTGTGGCTGTGCGCGGGCGGCTGCGTGCGTGCTCGTGTGTGAGCAGGTGGGTGCCGTCTGTTGAAGTGTACGCGCGGGGAGCCGAAGGGGTTTTGCTGCGACCGTGGTGAGCTGCTAGGCGGGGAAGGGTGAGACGCGTTGCTCAGGTGTGTGGTTCTGATGTGTTTCAGATGTGGCATGGGAAGGTGCACGAGGCCTGTACTATCGACCTGCACGTAAACGTAAGGGACGGGAAGGAGAGGAGGAGAGAAGGTTGCGACGCGTGCCCCCTCTTTGAAAGCCGTTCGAAGACAGGAACTAAGAAGGTACGAGACGTCTGGTTGACTGCGCGTCTCGTGAAGCTGAAAACAAAAGATGCATCGTGGCAAGCGCCACGTGCTCTGTGACATCTGACCGTGTGTCCTGAAACTGCGGTCAACAAGCCGTGAAAGACAAGGGGCATGTGTGCACAGCAATGCACAGACAGAGAGAACACACAGGTAGACACAGGGAGAAGGAACGCACATTATCAGCGTTGCGCTGCTTGGATTGTCTGTGTAGGTGCGGTCAGTCGGGAGTCGTTGCGCTCAGTGCCGAACAAGCTGCTGCAGGACGTCATGTTCGCAAAGTTGTCGCGCAATATTCACAAGCAGCGGAACAAGCTCATCTACGCGCTGCGCGGCAACCCTCGCCATATCAAGTCCTCAGGAGCGCCGCCAAAGTTCCAGCTGCGCAAGCCGAGACTTTGCGCTGATCTTGACCTGGAGAGAAGACACCTCACCGCTGTCCTTCATGAGCCGAGTCTGACAGGAATGCAGTTCTCGGGCGACTTGATGAGACCGTAGCAAGTGCTGAGCTGTCTTCGCGTGCCGCTCACGGTCATCCAGCAGCCGCTTGCCTCGCCGAGCGCCTCACGGAGCAGAGTGGTGGGCTTATCTCTCCGAGTCCACTGGAGCTGAAGCGTGTCATACTGTGTGTCCTCGAGCAACGCTTCCCGACGGCACGATGGTGGCAGGGAGACCAGCTGGTTCCTTTCAGCCAGCTGTTCCCAAACGCGCTGGCGGAACTTCGATCGATGGTGGCACAGGAGTGGCTCATTCAGCGTGGCTGGAGGCAGCCGACATGGCCAAACGAGGGACTGGTCGCGGCATCTCTCTAGTGTAAGTGGTTTTCTCATGGTAATTTTCCATTGAGTATCTTGATAATACTATTGTCTAATCTCTCTACTCGATCTGCGTGCGTATTGTCAGTAACGGTCCGGTGCATTTAGACAGGCAGGCAGCCGGACGACAAACATACATGCATACATACTCAGTGAGTGCAGTCAGGGTATCAGCTATTGTTCATACCTGATGGTGGCTGACTGGCTGTTGTCGAGCCCTCTTTTTCCATCCTCTCCTCCTTCCATGCACCCCACCCACTCACTCACTCACTGGCACGTACGCGTAGTACCTTCATGTCGGCGTATTTGTGAAAACCTCACCCTCGCTCTCTCTGCATCCTTCTCGCGCCTCTCTCTCTCTCTTTCTCTCTCTCTCTCTCAAGACCCTCTTCAGGGTCCGTAGTCTCAGGCTTGCCTCTCTCTCTGCCCGTCTTCTGTCTGTCTCATTGTCTGCTGGTGTGTATCTAACAACTTCTGCTGTGTGTGTGTGTGGACAGTGGTTGATGTGGTGGGTGAGCTATTTGCCTTTGCCTTTGCCTTTGTCCGTGTCCGTGTGGTCAGTGTGTGAGTGCGCGTATGTGTGTGTGTGTGTGTTTTCGCCCGCTGTGCTCTCCTCACTCACTACTGGCATTTGTGCATTCATTGGTTCATGTATGAGCAAGACGGACAGAGAGAACGGATGTGCGTGTGAGGTGAGAGAGAGAAAGAGAGGCATGGACGTCGAGACGGATGCATAAGGTCATTTGAACGATCTCGTATGGTTACTTTTTTTCCCGTGTGTGTGTGTGTGTATGTGTCGTGCATCTATGGACTCCCCTGTCTGTCTATGTGTGTGAGTCTCGCTGTGTGTGTGACACATGAGCGAGGGACGAGGGCCAAGCGAGAGCTGCCCGCCAATTTCGTTTTTCGGCAGCGACGTACGGCAGCCGGCCAGCGGCTCTGTGCGCGTGTGCGTGCGTGGCTGCTGGCCGGCCGTAGAAAGAAAGATGGACACTCACGCGCACACACACGCACAGAAACGGACTCACCCACACAGAGGGGAGGGACACAACACACACGCACAGCGGATGACTCAGACTCACTCACTCACTCGCTCGCTCACTCGCTCGCTCGCTCGCTCGCTCGCTCGCCCACTCGCCCACTCGCCCGCTCGCCCACTCGCTCGCTCGCACGCTCGCTCACTCGCCCACTCGGCCACTCGCCCGCTCGCCCACTCGCTCGCCCGCTCGCCCACTCGCTCGCCCTCTCTCTCTCTCTCTCTCTCGCTCGCTCGCTCACCACACATGCACGTGCGAGTAAAGGAGAGAGGGAGAGGGAGGGGAGGGGATGAGCTCTCGAGATCAGATCAGAGAGGACATGATCGACCGCTGCCCAGTGTGTGTAAATGCACACAGTCATTCATTCACGTGAACATGAATGAATGTGTGTGTATTTGTGTGTCTGCGGGCTCTGTGGTGTGTCGGCGAGGGTGGCGTGGTCGCATCATGGCTGGCCGCAATTGGCTGGCCGCGAAGGGGGAGGGTTGGTAGGGCGTTGCGTGTCTCTGTCAATGGGTTCGTGCTGGCTGGGTGGGTGGGTATCGGGGTGTGGGTATATATAATGCGTGTGTGTGTGAGTCGTGTCGTGTCTGCTATTCGTTGGTTCATGGTTCTGCATTGCATTGCATGCATGTCCTTGCTATCCTCCTCTCTGCCAGACTGGACAGCACTGTGCTGCGTGCGAGTGCATGCATACGCTCACCAACTCTCTCACTCACCCACTCTCTCTCTCTCTTTCCTCCTTCACTGTCGTTTGGGCGCTTGCTGATACATGGGCTGATGGTGCGTACGTGCGTTTATCTGTGTGTCTGCGTGCGTGCGTGCGTGCGTGTGTGTGTGCAGAGTGGTGACGGCGGTCGTCATGGGTCGAGGTCGCGTCGTGGGTGGGGGCGTGTCAGGGACTGGTGGCGCCGGAGACGCAACGGAAACAACTAGGGAGGTGGGTGTGGTGAGAGCCTGGCTGGGAAGGGAGGACAGAGTGCCATCTGCACGCTGCATTGATTTGTTTTGTGTGTGGCTCTTGGCTGGTTCCCCTGGTGTGGTGGGTGTCTCAGGTGTGTAGCCATGAGAGGTCGACGACACAACACAAGACCCCTTGTCTGCACTCGCTCGCCAGCTGCTGGGTCGACGAACGGCCTTTTTCGGGTCCTTTTGCGTCCTTGCTTTCCTGCCTGCCCATCCGTCGGTGAGTGAGTTGAATAGGCAGCTGTCTCTCGTGTGGTGCTTAAGTTTAAGTAGATGCATGAAACGTCTAAGCCTCAGTTCGTATCAAGCAAATGACAAGTGTATGAGCTTCGTGTCTTCTTCATTTGCGTTTTCATGCCTACTCCAAACATAAAGCTGTACCACGACATGCAAGACACACTGCAACCCTACTCTCATTTCGAAGGCAAGAGACAAGAGGAAGTCGAGGTCATGAGTTACTTTCAGTGAGAGACATAGTTATGTCTCTCACTCAGGAGGATGTTTTCAAATTGCCCAGCAAGTCCGGACGTGAGCTGGCCGAATGACAGACGGCTGGCCATGCTGTACGGCTCCTGTCTGACTGGTCAGTTTCATCGATTTGGCTTCACTCCCATTCGTGAAGACCATTTGTGAGATCGGTGCGTTAAACACGAATGCAAATCCGTTGCCTCAACAAAATGAATCAATGAAATCAATCGCGATGTTATGTCACGAAGGTTTCAATACCGGGCATTCGAGCTACATATGATAAGCTGCACATGTTGCCTATCCGTCGTTGGAAAAGGCATGCGTCTGCGACTGTTCGTCTTTCTGCAGGCTGACGAGCAACCAAAAGGCTCGTGTGGTATCTTTTGACATAGGACGGCATCCATATACTCGCAAAGTGGCAGGTAATCCCCTGACGCGCCTTTTTTGCATATTCATCTTTACATCTCTATGTACAGACCTCTTTGCAAAGCGTTATGGGCATCGATTCGCGTTAGCCTTCGGGCACTCCAGGGTCACGGTCCCGGAATTTCATCGGACGCACCCAGACGTCACATGCGACTTGATGCTTGTCGATGGAGGTACGGACGTCGTGATGTGCATATGACCGAAGCGTGTGATGCACCCCATCTTGTTCTCTCCGTGCAGGTCATACCCGTGATATTGCACTGAGCGATCTTTCGTAAGTCATCTATGTATACAGTGGTTTTTTCACAAGTTCTCCTCGCAGGAACTTTCGGCGAATGGCGTCCGAAAGAAACATTCTTTTTTTTGACGACTGCCCTGGGTATGCAGATATGAACCATTGCACGAACACGTCAGTCAGACGTTTGATGTCGTTTTACTTTGATCCCATTGATCAGGATGCCTGAAATATGCGAAGGTAAACAATCAGTCGGAAATAGAAGGCGTGGGACTTGTCTGGGTCTCTTTGGTCGCAGCATGGAGAGAATTGCGGGTCCATGGTGCCATTAAGGAGTCTTACAGCTGTGAGTTTTCTTCACCAAAAAGAGGGGTCTCTGTGGGATATTACACCCTCCCGAAATAAGCCATTGACTTGTTTCGACCTGTCCCATCGGGATGTACCGAAGTAGACCGAAGCATTTGGAGGAGGTTACATTGTCGACGAAAGCCCAGTGGCTGTTCTGCGCTGTAGCCAATCACAGAATGTATGTATTTGAGATAGAGGTGTGAGAGAGTCAACCGATGATCGCACTGAGAGATTGATGCTTTCAACCCGCCAGTGTCTGCGTATGCAAATGAGCGAGCTCGTGTCTCGCGGGATCGCGGAGATTTGGGCTGTGATGTATTATATACACGTTTCGAAAGGCGCCTGCATGATTTAGCCAGCTTTGACTCATCCACCGGGTTTGGCTGGGGGGCGAGAACGGGGAAATGCGATTAACAGCAAACGTTAGCGATTGTAAAGAGAAAAAGTGTGTAATATCTACGAAAATGCATAGCGTGATGTACCAGCGTATGTAACCTACGTCACCGCGTGAAAACCATTCGGGACTTTGCGCTGTCACGTGCGTGCACAACTCCTTATGCTTACCCGCAACTTTCTATGTATCGGCCCGTCGTCCCCCATCCGGACCCTACCCCCCCAGCACGCTGCGTACCTGTCTCTCGCCGCGCGGTTTCAATCTTCACTGCCTCCACCGCATCTTTTCATTTCGGGCGGTTGCGCGCGCACATTTCAAAAAAAAGACATACACACCGTTACGTGTCCAGACATGCACACCGTTACGTGTCCAGGGGGTAGGAGGCTGGCAAGTTTGGCAATCACTTCTGCGTGTGTCACACCGCCCGTGGCGGGTCACGAGACACAACAATATGTTGCTTCCTTCAGTGTGGACGTGCCTCTGCACAGCCTCGGCATCACCCCATGCGAGCCACACCATTGAGGGTGACGGAGTGGACAGAGTGTTACACGGAGTAGTTAGAGAGTCTTCGGTCTTCCTTTCGGCCGCCTCCTCTTCTACCTGACTTCTCAGTGACTCCTACCAACTCGCTTCGTCTGTCAGCTCTCGTCCGTTTCCTTGCACAATTCATTATCACGTAAAACGGACTTTTTCTCATGATAAAACAGACTTCTTGCCAGCGTCAGGCAAGCCTTGAGAGGCCTTACAGGCCCTCTTGATCCGAATGCGACGCATTTGCAGTGAAGTGCTTCTGCGAAAAAAGAAGACGCGAGCACAAAACACTTCGCCATTCCATCAGTCGAGTCACATAAGTGTGTGCTTGCTTGTGAGTCAATCAATGAATTGATTCCATTCAGTCATTCAGTGAATCACTGCATCACTGCAGACAACCCTCCTCGGTTGCTTCGCTTGGGAGACGGCCGTGATCCTGGCCTGACTGGCCACGAGGTGGCCGGCCATGGGTGTCTCAATCACCCATACATATGGTCACATACACGACAAGGCAAGGTCTGGGCGAAAAGCTGGATGGCGAGCTCAAAAGCTAGCGATCTGCCGGAGAAGATAGCTTCCGCTGCAAAAAGCCATCTGCCGCTGCAGAAAGACATCTCTCCACTCAAAAAGACAGCTTTCTACATGTATTGCAACGGTTTTTTCAGCCGCCTGGTTGAGAAGCTGCGCACCAAGGCTGCGTGGGCAGACAAGTCGTATGGCCAGGTGATGGGGTGGGTTCGTGCTCGTCTGTCTGTTGCGTTGGCGCGTAGTGCGAGTATGTGTGTGCGTGGTGGGCGGCGCCGCTGGAAGATACGCCAGGCGGGCGCTGAGGATGGTGCTGGCATGTTTGTCGCATGATTGAGGGTTGATCGATGTTGACGCAGTTCGTTTCATGAGAGACCGACAGACTCTGCCTGCCGTTGCGCTATGAGTTAACGTATGTCACACTGTATTGCGATACTTACTCTATTGCGATACCTACTGTATTGCATTTATGCGATACTTACTGTATTGCAGAAAGCCAGATGGTCCATCAAAAAGCCAGCTTTCTGTACAAAAAGTCAGCTTTCCATACAGAAAGACAGCTTTCTGCCACAGAAAGACAGCTTTCCATACAGAAAGACAGCTTTCTGCACAGAAAGACAGCTTTCTCGAGCTCCAGACAGCTCACTGAGGCAGAAAGACATCTTTCCGGCGGGCGTGACATCTTTCCGATGGGCGTGACAGCTTTCCGGCGTGCGTATCGCTGATGGCATGCAATTGAATCGTCATGACCAACAACGGCGTGGGGTTCTCTGTGGCATCTGTGAGCAGCAACAGCGCTTCATACCTGGACGGCTCAAGAGCGCGGGGCGACGGCAGAAAAACCAGAAAAGCAGAGACACACACGAGCCGACCTCACTAATACTAAGACTAAAAAGTCCGTTTCACGTTGATAAAAAGTCCGTTCGTAAAAAAGTCCCCTTCTTCTTATTTGACAGCAATCCCGGCGTTCTTACTTCATGCGTAAATAAGTCTCCCTTCTTCAATTGACAGACAATCAAATATCAGCCATTCGATTTTGGCAATTTACCATGCGTGAATGTCCAGAGAGATTTAGAGCAATTTAGAGTCGCCGGTCGGCCTGAATGAGTGATTCACCGAATAACAAATACAGTGAAAACATGGATGTCAGTCGAATAAACAGCGACTGTGTCATCATCGAGTCCCTCTCCACCGTCAAGAAGCGTGCCAGGAAGACAGCGCCCAGGCGGCCAAGTTACGGCTACTGCACCAGCAGCGAGGATGAGGACACCAACAAAGGGAGAGGGCGGCCAACGTCACATCAACAAGACCAGCCGGGCTACGGCTATTGCACCAGTAGCGAGGATGAGGACGCCGCCAAAAAGAGGAAGAGGCGGCCGACGTCAAATCACAAGGCCACGTCGAAGGTAGGTCAATTCTGTAATGATTGTACGCCAATGTGTGGTGCTTGTCGATCAGGCTGCCGGCAGTGCCGATGGTGTAGTTTCCGGCAGAGAGAAGCGGCCAGCGAGGGAAGACATGGACGAGGCTGAGATCGATCAAGTAGCCACTGAAGTAGAGGCCGCTATGGAGCAACCCGCTCAGAAGGGACCGCCCGTATGCGTCAGTATGTCGATCAGATCACAATGAATGAATGCAGAAGGCCCCACAAAAGGATAATGACAGTGCCATGCTGGAGGCATCAGGTCGCAGACGCCCCAGACAACGGTGCTGACTCTTAATCTCAATCTCTCTGCGTTTGTTGTTTCAGGCAAGCAGCATGAGAGCGACGCCGAGGAGAGGCTCCGTCGCGTCCTCTCAGATCTGCCCGGCCATCATAGATTGCTCTTCATGACCATCCAAGAGGCATACATCAGCGCCTACCGGAGCGAGAATGGCGGGCCCGGCCCGGCTATAGACCTCTTCATCATACGCCGTATGCTCGAGCAGGCGGTGCAGCTGCACTCGAGTCGTGGGGGGCAGTGGGACGGAGGGCAGGCGTCCGAGTCGGATGCTGAGTGCGCGTCCTTTACGGACGGCATGTGTCTCATCCTGGTGGGCTGTGCGGCGATGGGTGTGGACGTCGAGAAGGCGTACGGAGGGCGTCGCCAGGTGCCGGTGAGACGCAGCGGCGAGATGGACACCACTGCGGCGATCGATGCACCGGCCCCGGCAGCAGCGGATGACGACGGGGCAGAAGAGGCGTGTGACGACATGACCGATGAGGCCCCCAACAACGGAGCAGACTCTACCCCCCCTCCGCCCACCGAAGTGCATCACACGCCGCGGCCGAGTGCGCAGAGCAAATCCACCCCGGCCGTGAGAGCCAAAGACCGCCAAGGCCCGCCATACGGCCTCGATGGGCCATGGCAGGCAGCTGGCTTCCTCGCCACCCATCCACTGGACCGCTCGAACGATGACATCCGTGATAGGCTGCGATGGATGATGGTGAGGCGACTGGAAGATCTGTGGGCGGCGGCGCCATTCAGCGACGTCCGTCGGCGTGTGGAGATAGACGAAGCGCGCCTGCGGGAGGGGCAGGGAGGGGAGGGGTCGGAGGGACGCAGGCAGTTGCAGATGGGCAGCGGACAACTCGCACAGGACGGAGGGGTCAACACAAGGCTGTGGGACAGGTCGGCCACAAGCACACGCAGATACCCCCACACATGTGCGTATGTATGTATGTCTTGTGTGTCTGTGCAGCGTAGAAGTAGCTGATGATTTGCTGGAGAAGGGCGTCATCGAGGCCGTCAAGATCAGGGATACAGACCTTATGCGGATGACGTATGCTACCAAGCGCAAGACGGGTGTGTGTGCGCCGAAAAAGGATAGTGACAGAAAGACGGGTATGTGTGTCTGTCTGTCAGCGTCTGGTGAGGATATGGTAGAGGTTCGATTTGTGCGGTCTGACGGTTCGGTATGTGCGGAGTGCACCATCCCTGCCCGACATGATTGTTGGATGCTGGAAAAGGTGATGTGTCCACTCCATGTCGCATATCTCGTCTCTGTCTGTCTCCATGTTGTTGCTTGTGTGCAGCCCATCGCCAGGTATGGCATCGACAGCAATGAGATCGAAGGAGAGACCTCTGGAGGCGACGAGGGGGCCTACCAGCACCAGCTCTCCGCCTCTGAGGTGCGGTCGAAGGTGGGCACCGTCCACACCCTCGGGCACATGGTGCGACGGCCGACCAACTACCACATCCCCACCAGGTTACGGACGCACACAGCCGCCCCACATACAATGTGGGTAAATCATGATAGCCAATGTTTCCACATGTGTGCAGTGTGGTGAATGAGCTGAGGGAATGCGGCCTCGACCTGTCCAAGACTCAGCTCACGAGTCTCATAGATGCTGAGAAGGAGAGACGCAAGGTGACTGCATCCATGCCTCATGCAGCATTCATCCTCCTCTTGTGCGTATGTCAGCGGCTGTGGATGGACTTGCACAGTCTGAGGTGTCGGATGGCCTTCGGTAATCTGCTGCGAGATGTGGTCGACTCGTGTGGTGTGCTGTGCGAGGGCCGTATGGTCGGCTTCTACATCAGAGACGGCATCACTCTGATCGAACACACAGATGCCCTGGACAAAGCGCAAACGATATGTGAAGTCAGCGGACGCACAGACGTGAGTTCACGAGCCAATCACAAAGAAGCGGAGATCTCTTTCTCTCCCCCCTGTCTCTCTGTCGTGTGCCGCAGGGCCCTCACGGTAGCTCGCGAGGCATAGAGGTACGTTTTGCAGGAAGCGATAATGTTCCCGTGTATGAGATATGCCTTTTTTTGTGACCAGGGGTTGCATCTGGGTGTCTGGGGAACCCGCCAGAAGCAGGCCACGGTCACCAAGGAGACGCAGGCCCACCCGATGCTCCTCAATCTGCTCGATGATCTCCAGCCACACCTCAACAAGGCAAGCAACACACATTCCATGGCAGCACAGAGCCACACAGGCACCACACAGCCAACCAGCTGCATGTGTCTCTCTTGATTGCACTGCATTGTAGATTGGCGAGTACGTAGAGATCCTCATGGGCGATATGTTTACTAGGAATCGGTAAATTGACTGCACACACACGCGCATGAGAAAGATACGTCCATCACTGATGGGTTCCTGATTGTGTGGAATGGCAGGTCTGGATATCATGAGGGCAAGCCCCCGCTCCGTCTGCAGGTGAGTAAGTGTAAGAGCTGATTGGACACAGCCAACTGCCTGGACAGCTACATCTGTGTGCCTGTCTGCAGGGGCGGTACGCCATGGCTCTGACCATCAACAAAGACTCCGCGGCTCTGTCGCACTTCGACTCCCTCGACAGATGGCACACCAATTGCTGTACGCACGCAGACATTCACTCTCTGATATGCACACATGCACACAAACGTGCGGCGGCACAACAGGAATCATATGTTCAGGCATCGCTGTTCTTGGCGACTGCCCGCGGGGATCGGCCCCCTTTGTCGCACACAATCTCGGTGGGTGGGTGGGTGGGTGGGTGGGTGGCTGGGTGGATGGGGGGGGGGGGGTGGCAGGCAAGGAAGGAAGGAAGGAAGCATGGCTACTTCATCCAAGTGTGTAGCATGTGTGCATACGTTGCCGTGGTGTCGTGGTGTGTGCCATGTGTGTGCAGGTTTGAGGTTCCCTGAGTTTGGGCCGCGTGACATATTGTGCCTGCCGTCCATGCTGTACAGCCACGAGGTATTGCCCATGTGTGTCTCGTCATTCTTGTGTAGTGTGGTATTCAATGTCAGGTGCTGGACGGGTTCGAGGGCTTCTCGCGATACAGCCTCGTACTCTTCACACACGACTCATGAGCAGTCATGATCCACGCTGGAGCTGCGCATGAGTGTGCGGTGTGCTTGGACAGGCAGATGGTCCTCCGGCGCATGGAGATAGATAGATAGATGCGCTGGAATGATGTATCGCTGGAGAGCTGTGATGAGACATTCATTCGGACGATTGTGACACGTGTGTGACATCGACCGAGGACTTACCCATATACCACTTAGTCAATCAATGCATTCACATACCCTACAGCAACACCGTCAAGTGACATTAGCCATAAATAGTGACAGAGCATAGACAAAACAGGGCGACGTCAGTCGCGATCTCTGCTTCTCCACCTCTGTGTCGTAAACAGTCAAGATACACAGCAGAGAGAGCCCAGCCATAGCGCAGAAGCAGCTTCTGATCACTCAAGGTGTGAACATCGTGTGGTAAGCGGGGGAACCGTCGAATAAGTTGATGTGCCATCATTTCAGACAGGAGATAGACGCTGACGACGGATGATCTCCCGCTCAAAGAGAATCCACCAACGGACAGACAGATGGGCAAATGAATATGCTCGGATAGTTTTGCTCTCCGAGCCGTTCATGTTCTTTCTTACATTCTTCCGATCGATAGAAAAAAGCCACCGTGCCACTTTTCGTCTTGCCCGTAATAGTGGCCTGTGAATTGAGGCACATCAAGATTTTTGTTTTTAAGTAGATGCATGAAACGGGCGACGAAGTTCGTCTAAGCATCAGTTCGTATCAAGCAAATGAAGCGAAACAATACATGCAGAAACAATGGACAGCGCTCGCTGACTGCGAAAACATGTCGCACACTGCAAACAAGCGCGAGACATGCAACATGACACGCACACTCAGAACCCAGGTCCAGCCAGCCACCTTACAGCCCCGCAGCGGGGCTGGTGTGTGGCCTGTATGGCCCGCGGCTGACAAAGTCCTCCGGAAACGCGCTGGCCCTCCGTGGCCCTCTGGCGGCCGCCGCGCACGACTCGCCACTTGAAACGCGTTGTGCTTCATCAACTCGACGGACAGGAGCTGGCTCCAGTGGTTGACGATGCTCTCTCGGAAAGCTGTGTCCTCCTCCATGGGAATGGATGTGGGGCGAGGCTTTCGTTTGGCGAGCATCTTGAGAAAATCCATGGTCTTGTCTCCCCATCTGCCGAATGTCTCCGCAGCGAGGGGCACGAAGCGGAAGCCGGCCGCTTGGGTGATTGGTCCATACTTGTCGATCTTGTCTTTCTCCGCAAGCTGGGCCGCCTTGCCACCTGAGAGCTGTGCTGGTG